GGCAGTCGCCGGTTAAGCAGGACTGGCGGTGCTCCAGCCATTAGCTATGTAACATAGGGGGCACTTTGATTAAACGCCCGCACGCCGGGCGGGCAAGTCTCCTGTACGTCTTCTGGTTTATCAGTTGCTGAGCTGCGTGTATGATCCAAGTCCCTCACGTTTTGCAAATATAACCCCCCGCTGCGCCAGGATTGTGCGCACAATACAACAAGAAACGGCTTTACGTTTGCCCAACTGGAATTAACACAACATGCCACCAAACTTAATCATGTGTATGCGACCTTGCTTAAACACGGTACGCGGTACAGGGACCCATGGGGCATGGCGCAAACCTTTCACGCTCGGACAGGCGATTTGTAGCGTGCTGACGGACATTGCAGAGTGCAGTAAAGACTATGGTGTAAGCATATATGCAAGTATGGATTCAGTGCACGCAAGTCATAGCAGGACGAATTTCTGTGCGTGTTAGCGGTCCAGGACACAAGGGGCGTCAGTTCATTGTTACAGCAGCATTTGGGTTCGCGACACGTCATCGAACCGGAACGGAGTGCCCAGGAACGTCCATGCATGCCCCTTCACCAACGGCACTGCTAGTAGTCCGCTGACCGTACCGCCCATGCACGTACAACTGCCGCCAAAAGAACGTTGCGGCGTGGCACTCCTTTATCCAAATTAATAAGACCTTAACGTCAACACGGCTTCCGGCCCCAAGGTTATTAACGCATGTAATCCCGCTTTATTACGCAACGGGTATATCCTAGTGCAATAAGGAATGCCTGCTCATTTCTTCTGCGAAGACGGCACCTCCTTAGAAGGCTTCGAATCCTGTCCCTCCTTGGAAGACTTGGAATCCTTCCCCTCCTTGGAGGGCTTCGAATCCTGTCCTTCCTTGGAAGACTTGGAATCCTGCCCCTCCTTGGAGGGCTTCGAATCCTGTCCTTCCTTGGAAGACTTGGAATCCTTCCCCTCCTTGGATGGCTTGGAGTCCGGCCCCTCCTCGGAGGGCTTAGAGTCCGGCCCCTCCTTGGATGATGACATCTTGGCACCAGCAGCGGTGTCAGCAGCCTTGGCGGCGTTGGCGGCCTTGCCCTTCTTGGAATAGGTCACCGCTGCGTCCTCCATGGTCTCCGGGAGGGGCGGGCAGGGGGTGTGGCCGCACGACTTGGCGCAGTAGCCACCCTGAGGCGGGTTGGGAGTGCGGGGGAAGGGGAAGCGGAGGGAGAGAATAAGGACATGCTTTGATGCTGCGCATGTATGCAACATTGGTGTTGGGTAATCAGCAGGTAGGACGGGAGGATTCACGTTAAACAAGGCATAATGACCGCATGTGGGTTGCCGTACGATGGCCGTTCACCCATTAAGTATGTATTCCAACATGGTTACAAACGCTCTCTAAACGCTACTCACCGCAACCATCCATGGCTCCTCGCACTTGCCGAACTCCTTCTGTGGTTCGGAATGGGAGCAAGGAAGGGTCCGTTGGGGCAGCGATAGGTCGGGAACCGAATAGAACGCCCGCTTGGAACGGCGTCGCGTGCGCATGTGAGGCTGGCAGCAATGCGGGCTTGCGTTACCAGGGACGCACGCAGGACATGCGGGGCAAGCGGGGGAACTTCTGCCAGCTAGGCAACGCCTTTCTCCCCATTCATTACTGTAAATTTGCGGCCTGGTCACCCTCCCTTCAAGCCCGCCCCATCCTCCCCAGGCAACCTGGCGTCTACCCCACCACCCACCTGCTGCGTGCAGTTGTACTCGCTGGTGGGGGGCACGTCGTCGCAGGTCTTGCAGGGCTGGCGGCCGCACGTCTTGGAGCAGTAGGCGTAGCTGCGTGGATGCGCGTAGGGGGAGGAGGGAGCCATAGGGGTCAGAGAGGTGGGCTTTGGGTTACTGGCAATGTGGGCGCCTACAAGCGGTGCATTGTGCTGCTTGCAAGGCTGCCCGACTGTACACATGCAACTAACAACGACTTCCTGACGACGTGAAATTGCCGTGTACCGTGGCCATCCCAACCCTGGACCTGGGCTTTGCCTGAATCCGAACCAATACTACCCGCAGAAATTAGCCTACAGACTTCCCCAGCCACCCAGCCCGCCCTCACCGGGTCATGTACTCGGCATCGCACTTGCCGAACAGCCGCTGCGGTTGGGGTGGTGTAGGACATGGATGTGGGATGGTAGGGTTAAATTGGGGTAAGCCATTATGGTTCTGCTCTAACATCTTAACGAAAACATCTTCCTCTGTTGTATTTGGCGCTAGTGACTGGCACCCTTACCCTGCTCTGCCCCAACCCCTCCTCACCTGTTCCTCGCAGGTGTGGCGGGTGCCCGGGGCCACATCGGTGCAGTTGGTCAGACGGAAGTCCAGGGAGGGGGCGTCGGGGGCGACCTGGGAGGGAAGGAGGTTTGGCAGGGCAGAGGGAGGATGGCAGTCGCTAATAATTCAGTATCGCATCTTGTCGCAATGTAACCCAGTTTTTTCGGCAAATGGCACGAATTCAGGACATGAGGACTCAACTGCTAGCTCACGGTTCAGTTCTTACTGGCAATCGCTCGCATTGTGGTCTCCTACTTAAGGTAATAACCCCCAAAACCTTTGTTAATTACTCACCGTGGACGGCTCATCCTCCTCGGCTGCTGCCGGCAGTGCCCCCGCCGCTGCCGGCAGTGCCCCGGCTGCAGGCAGTGCCCCCGCCGCCACCGGCAGGCCCCTAGCCACCCCACCAGGAGCGCCCGCCGGAATTCCAACAGGGACGGCAGCAGAGGTGGGTGCGGTAGTGGCAGACGGCCGCACGGTCACTGCAGGCTTGGCAACAGCAGGCGCTGCAACAGACGGCTTGGCAGCTGCCGCGCCGGCTGGCAGGGTGATGGGGGCCCCCCCTGCGGCGCCGGGCTTGGCTGCTGTCAAGGGTGGCACGACCATGGGGGCGCCTGTGCCGGCAGGCTTGGCTGAAGTCACAGGCGGCACCGCAGCCGCACCGGCGGGGTTGGCGGGAGGGCGGAGGGCTGCGGGACCCGCGGTGGCAATGGGTGGGATGGCGGCGCCAGCAGTGGCGCCTGGCGCGGATGCGACGGGCTCCTCTTCTTCTGGAGGCAGCTGCGCGAATGCAGCTGAGGCTAGCAGGCCTGCGAATGTATGAGGGGAAGAGTGAGGCACGGGAGCAAACGTTAGGAAGGAACATGGAGGAGGTCTCAGAACGGATTGTGTCTGTACCGCTTTGCATGTTTTGGGTGAGCGTTTCGTGTGCATCAGCCATTGCTGGTGACACATGTAACGTCTAAAACGTCTAATTGTTAGATTGCGGGCAGTTGTGAGATTTTGACCCATGGGTCGGGATCCTAGGATGCTTACCCAGCATCAGCAACGCCAGAGGCGTAGGGCTGTATGTTCGACCCATTATCGTTGTTCCAAGGCCAAACGTATGGGAGGAAGAAACAGGCAGTGTGCGAATTCGTATAGGTAGGTCGGTAGGGCTTAAACTGTAAATTTCGAGTCCTTGTGCGGACCTTATGTTCACATGTACAATGTAGCCATCAAGTACGACAGAGAAGTCACGCCGGATTGATGATGGTGATGACAGTTGATGGGTACGGATTTCATTTTCGCCCAATGGATTGCCGTACCAAACTTTGGCTAGCTCTTGAGTGGCACATGTCATGATCAAAACATGCAACGAAACGAACTGACCATCAAGTCATGCACTTGTTCTGCTGGCTGGTATCAATCCCAAACGGCCTACTGCGCGTACCGGTATCTAAGCTACTTGGAATTTACAGTTATCCCGGGTCCAATCGGTTGGCAGGAGGCTGCTTCTGTGTGACAAATCGTGCTCAAGTTGTATGGAAACCCCTCTTCGTTCTAATCCGCTGCGGTCAGCTAGTAGCTAGTAAGGGTTGTGAGCTGTATGTCCAGGGCTCTTATAAATGGATTTGGCTTTCCCCTCCTAGAAAGGTAGCCTTCCATGGGGCAGACACACCCCCTTGTCCAAACCCGACCTCGAACATCACTTGCACCACATTACACTTCGATGCAAAAAGGCATTCGCGCTGTGCGCGGCACCAGCAAGTCATAAGATGCGGCTTAGCAGTACTGAAACCCCAACACAATGCTGCCGGATTCGGCACCCGCAAATAGCTCAGCTTGTGTGCACCAAGTTTTGTTATGTACGTCAATCGCACGACAGCAGCAAATCATTACGGGATTTACGGCTACTAGTGTCCGCGACTTCCTGCGTGTGATTTCGGTACCCCCCACCCATCCACTCGGATGCCTCAACAAACTAAACCCTGCAACCCCTTACACCACCACAACATTCGGTCTATGGGTTCTGCCAAGCGGGAGGTAGGTGGGTATCATTACCCACCCGCCTGCTTTGCTGAGGTCCGGCCCATCCATGGCACGGCTGCGGGGTGGTGCATCCAGCCTACGGTTTGAAATTACGGCACACATACGCAATCACCCCGCCGACGTGGTTATTCTGCAAAGTCAGGTCCACCGCCGCTGCCTGCACCGCAGCTCCTAGCTGCCCCCACCGCCGCTGCTGCTGCTGAAGCTGAGCTGCACCTCGGAGCCCTCCAGCCGTATCAGCACCCGGCAGCCGGCGTGGGCGCGCATGCGAGCCACAACCTGCGCGAGTGGAAAGATATGGAAGTAGTTGGAAGAGGCTGAAGCAGGAAAACGGCCCGTCGCTTACACGCGTCACCACAGATACGGTTAGCTTGGCCGTCGGTCCTTGCAATACTCATGTAGGAGAGCAGCACTACCGCCCTCACCCCTCTCACCCCCTCCTTCCCCGTGCAGCAGCATCCCCCCTGCCCTGCCCCCGTCCCCGCCGCCTCTACCTCAGGGCAGTAGCACCCGGCCAGCAGCACCCCCAGGTTGCGAGCTCGAACCGCACTGTGACTCAGCACGTCGGGTACACCACCGCCTCCGCCTCCGCCTGCGCCTGCCGTCCCAGCCCGAGCCCCAGCCCCAACCCCAGCCCCAGCCGCCGCCACCAGCACCGCCACACAGCCCTGCGGTATCTCCTCGGAGCCTTCGACAGTGAGGGGTGGAGGGATAAGGAGTGAGGTGAAGGGATGAGGAGTGAGGTGGAGGTTGAGGACCGAGACGAATGGACCTTGCTTTTGGGGTAGGGATCTACGGCTAGCAACCGTCTACAGACCACGGTTAACATCTACGCATCAAGTTACCGCTCACCTGTGATGCCGTCCACCAGCAGTACGGTGGGCTGATGAGTCATGATCTCGTGTTGTACGGCAGCGAGATGCGGCTCCTCTCGCAACCAGCCGGCTAACACGGTGTTGTTGCCGCCACCGCTGTCGCCGGTTCCGGAGCCATCGCCACCACCACGGCTGATGATCTGGCGGATTAGGCGAAGGGTCTCGTGTGTCATGTCGCGTTGTTCTTCGCTGTTAGGCGCTAGGTATGAATGAATTCCAGCAATGGCCGTACGCGTTGTGCATGCAGGCTCCCTCCTTGCTCCCCTTCCAATCACCCACCTCTACCTCGCGAATACCAAACAACACGCAACCAACGCGTCAGGCAACGTAGAAACCTTCCTCCCGCCCCTTGGTCTCGTCCTTTCCTCCCCTCAAACACCCAAGTACCCAACCCCGTCAACCCCGTCACAATCAACCCCCACGCACCTGCCACACGCTCCCCCCGGTGGCCCTCCTCAGCGGCGGCTCCAACAGCGCCAGCAGCTGCGCCAGCGGGGCAGCGGGACCGCCCCGTACCGCCTCCTCGCCCGCATGGGGCAGGGACTCCTGAGGGGGGCGGGTGGGCGGATGGAAGGTAGGAGGAAAGGCGGAGAAGGGATGCAGGCCAGGAGGCGTAAAGAAAAACAATGGGGGGAGCGGGCGAGGAAGCCATACAACAGTAGCCGACAGCCGGAGGGAGCGAATGTAGGTGAAGGGATTGAAGGTGCACGAGAGGGAGGCCGATGCTTTATACAAGTTGATACGGTGGGCGTTTCTCAGCAGTACCGTCCTTGAGTGCAATGAACGTGGTTGCCCCTCTCCAACTCGTCCCGCCTCCATCAGTAACTAAAGCCTCTCCGTGCATGCACCTATCACAACGCCAACCCCCACCCCCAACCCCACCCAGAAACCCACCTGCCTGACTCCCAGCCTGCCCCCCAGCTGCTCCGCCGCCGGCTGCAGCAGGCCCAGCAGTGCAACCGCCTGCGCCGCCACCGCCCGCTGCAGCCGCTCTAGCAGCGCCAGCGTCTGCAACATGCGGTCGCGAGCGTCCCGTGGGTCTGTGTTGTGGGGGTATGCGGGTGGGCAGGTGAGGGCGTCACCACAGGGGCAACACATTAGGGGCTTGGCGTCCCATGGGTCACTAAGACAAACGGCGACATCAGTCACTGTTGAGGTATAGCAAAACGAGGATCGGCAGCCGCAGGGTGGCACCACAACAGGCTTTAGGGCGGACAAATGCATGCGTCCTTGCACAGCCTTTCATCGCCCTTGCACAGCCTCCACATGCACGAAAGACACATTCCCGCTGCCGCTTTCGTACCACGCCCTCCCTCCCTCCCTGCCTCTCACCACCTCACAAAGCCACCGCCCCCCCACCCCCGCCCCACCCCGCCCCGCCCTGCCTCACCCGCCTGTGTCGCCAGCAGTCGGAGCCACTTGTTGGCTGCCACTAGGTCGTCATTGGGGCAGCTGCTCAGTGCGACCGCCTCCACCGCCGCACGCAGCACCTCCAGAACCTGCAGGGAGGTGGGGTGGGTTGAGGTGAGTGGGGGGCGCGCAGAGGGATGGCAGGCTACTCAAATGAGTAGAAGCCTAAACGACGGAAGATGGTTGCGCTACTAGGCAAAATGCAGAGCAAAAGGAGCCATCTATCTCCGAAGCTGCGTATCTAACAAATCCAGGCCCTTCGTGCAGCACAACGTGCAGGCCTTTAAACCGTTTTGCTCTGCCACCTATTACCACCTCCTGTGTGGGTGCACTTCATACCGCCTCCGTTTGCCATCCCGTCCTTACCTATCACTGCTCATTTGGCTTACACGAGCTGCACCCCTACCTGGCTCAGCGCATCCGCAGCCGCTTGTGCCTCTGCAACCGGTGCAGCCGGTGGGGGGCGACGCTGCTGCCCCAGACCGCTGCTGCTGCCATTGCTGCCAACATGGGCCGCATGTGAAGCAGCAGCAGCAGTAGAAGAGGCAATGTACGGCTGGGTCGCCTCCGCCACTAGCTGCCGTATAGCGGTCATCTGACCCTCCAGTGTCGTACGGAGGGCGCTTTCGAGCGCTAGGTCCAGGAAAACCACATCCACCAGCCTGTGACCAACGATAAAGAGTAACAAGGGGTGCATTGAAGGGATTATGTGCGGACTTAGGACAACAAACGGGGGTCTCATACCAGTAGCCACCTCCCACCTGGCTAGGGGGACCCACCAACCAGTTTTCCATCCACTGAAACAGCAGGTCATGAGAGCTAACAACCAACTAACTGCAGTACGGAGATGGAAATGAAGCATGCCTGCCATCCATCCACATCCATACCTGCCTCCACACGCCGCCTCCCCGCCATCCAAGAAGGGCCTTATCAAGTGCCGCGCCTCCACCGCCATCTCCATAAACCGCACGGCACCAGGCAAGCCGCACAACGAGGCCACGTCAGCAGGACGATGAAGACTACGATGCCGGACAACCGGCCCTGCTGCTGCTGCTGATGTTGCTGACGCAGCATCTGCTGCTGTGGATGTTGCTGTGGATGTTGCTGTGGATGCTGCTGCTGCTGTGGACACGGAGTTGTTGGTGTTAGCGGTGGCCAGGTGGTCATGTAGGGCTAGCAGCGCTCGGAGGTGGGTGGCCAGTTGCGGAGAGGTGACATGGGGAACGGGGGGGACGGAGATGTGGTAGCCTGCAGGGGCGCGAGGTGGCAGGATGGCGGCAGTGGCAGGGAAGAAAAGGGTTAGGGGGTAAGCTAACTTGCCATGCGAGCGGCAGCAGGCGAGTACACATGTGGGAGTGTAGACACCTACGTGGACCTAGATAGCTACGGCCAGTTGCTGCCCACACAGCAAGCAAACACCCACTAAGCACAGCAGACAGAAGCCACCACCCCCTACCCACCCTTCATGTCCCGCTGCTCGAAGCCCAGCACGTTGTCAGCAGCGGAGCGCAGGTCGTCCCCGCCGTGCACCGCACGCAGAGTCTGATACGGAGGGAGAGAGGGGAGGGGCGGATAGGGGGGACGCAGATGGGGGAGGCGCAGGTAGGGCTGGGTGGTAGGCGGTGCATGCACGTAACGTACTGACTAGACCCTGCCTGTGCGCTCCGTCCATTCTCCATTGCCTGCTGTCAGCAGCCCAAAATGCGCTGCCAAGCAACCCCACCCGCTCCGCCCCCTTCCCCAGCTCTTCGCCCTGCCCCAGCTCCACATTTAGGTTTTACTCTACCCGATACTCTGTAATCTCTATTCTCTACTCTCTGCCCCCTCCCCCCTGCCTCCCTCCCTCCCCCACCCCACCTGCAGGTACGCCCGCAGGTCCCGCTGCAGCCCCGCCGCCTGCTGCCCGCTGAAGCGCGGCTCGGAGCGGATGGGGCGGTCGAAGGAGGCCAGCCGCTGTGCTGTGATGCCGGCAGCGTGCAGCGTGGACCAATAGGCGCGCAGGTCCAGACCGGCTGGGGGGGGAGAGTGGAGGGAGGAGGGGGGGCCGTGTGGGGTGGAGACTGCGCTCAGCAACGAACTCGGGGCTGGGTGCTGGCTCATAGCCGCCGCCACTAGATCCCGCCCGCAAGCACACCTTCAGCCCGTTGCTTACAGCAGTTGCAGTTACGTTTATACCAGTACCGGTGCCCACCCTCCGTATCCGCGTTTGGAAGCAGCTTTCTTCGGTTGCCACACCCGCACCGCACCACTCCCTCCCACCGTCCCCCCCCCCCACCTGCGATGTAGTCCAGCAGTGCCTGGCAGATCACCACATCATCGGGGCTGGTGTTGTTGTGCAGCTTCTGGTGCCACTCCTCCATCATGCCGCCCTGACAGCGTGCGTGCCGTAGCAGGCGTGTCGTAGCAGGAGGCGGCAAGGGGCGAGGGGCAGATGTGTTGTGGGGCATGTTCAAGGGCATGCCTGGATTAACGGAGGCTCCGTTTGTGACCTTGCTGCGTCCCCCCCCCATTTGCCCTGGGTGTGCGTGTGTAGCCATATGTATTTCCAGGTCTCTGAGATGCGTAGGGCGCGTAAGTCATGTTGCATGCATGCATGCTATAACACACATCATACGCAAAGCCGTCTGAGGCCCCCTCCTCCTGAAACGCTTAACCCCTTTTCCCATCCATGCGCCCCTTCCTTCACTCCGCCCCACAACCCCAAGCCCACATCCCACGCCCCCAACCCACGCCCACCTTGCACCCATTGCGGTGCTGCACCGCCAGGATCTCATCCCGTATGCGCTGCCCCACCTCGCCGCACCCGCCCCGCCCCACTGCCGCCAGCGCCACCCGGACCAGCGCCCCCACCCCCGCACTGCCTCCACCACCACCACCACCACCACTGCTGGCTGGGTCCTGGGGGCTGCTGCTGGTGCTGTGGCTCGTAGGGCTGCTGCTGCTGCTGGGGCTGTGAAGGCTGAGGATGAGGCTGCCAGCCTGGGGTCCCCGAGATGCGCCCAGGGCAGCCAGCGCCGCCGCAAGTCGGGCCTGTGCGGTGGCCACCTCCCGCGGCTTGACGTTGTAGTTGCGGTTCCACACCAGCAGCCGAGCTGCGGAGAACCTGGTGGGGGTGGGGGGGTGGGGGGGAGAAGAAGGTACGTAAGGGGCTGGCCACAGGGCGAGGAGTCCTCCGCCTGTCGGCTGGGCCCATACTCCTGCTGCTACAGCAGGCAACCTTTCCTTGCCTGCTCCCAACCCCCTTACGCGCTCCTCCTCATACAGTTACCGCTGTCCGATGCCCCCCACCTGAGCCAGGCAGTGATGACCGCTAGCGCCGCCTCCACCTCCGCATCCGACCTCAAGACAGCCGGCCCGCCTCTCCCGCCTCTCCCACCACCACCTCCACCACTACCACCGTCTCCGCCTCCTCCCGCTCCCCGTCCGCCTCCAGGAGGCAGCAGCAGCATCTCCACCAGCTCCGCACCCGAGTTGTACCTGACGCGCGCGCGGAAACATGGCAGCGAAGCGGTCTAATGAAGGTGGACACCGTTGGTTGGCAAACATGCTAGCTGCGGCCCGCTACCATCACGTTACTACCTTTTCCTGGGCTCCTCAACGCGCATCTGGCACTTCTGGGTCTGGTCTGGACCACGGTAATCATAGCCTCAATCCCCAACCCACCTGTGCATTAGGGAGCGCTCGGCCCCCGGCTCCCTCTGCGCTACCAAGTCGACCAACCACTGCCGAGCTGCCGCCGCCGCCGATGCCGATGCATCTGCCTCGCCAGCTTGACCCATGGGTCGGTTTGACGGCAGCGGCCAGTGCTGTGCTGGCCGTAGCAGTTCGTTCGAGCGGCGAGGTGGGGGCACGAAGGCGGCCGCCACCCCCAACAAGTCCTGGTTTTCTGCGCCCCCACCACCTTTCTCTCTACTGCCTGGTGTCCCGGCTTCTGCCTGTCTTCCCGCCGGCTGCTTATCACTTTGCTTGTGCCGCCTTATGTGCGACTGGTGATGTGGCTCCTGCAGCTTCGCTGCTATAGCAGCAGGCTGGCTGCCAGCGTTGCTGTAGCTGATGGTGGGCCGAGCGGTGGCGGCGGTGGCGGTTAGGCCAGCGGTGTTCGATGTGGCAGATGATGTGGCTTCAGGGGCAGCAGCCGCCATTGCAGCCGCTGCGGAGCCGTCGCTTGGGCGGCCCGCGGGTTGGCTCGGGAAGACCTGCCACAACGGGAGTTTTGGACATCCATCCTCGGATGGGGTACGATCTTATAAAAAGACCCGAGCATGGTGCCAAGTACCATACTCTGCCTAAATAACGGCCACCGCCGCCATATCTCTCCTCCTATGCCTGCACTTGCTGCCCCTCCACCCCAAGCAGTCCCACAACCCCGCAACACCACCACCAACACCTCCTACCAATGGCAAGTTTTTGTCTGGATTTCCAGTACGGAAGGCGTCTGGCAGCAGCGGCCGGCCACTTGCTGCCAGGGGCAGGTCAGAGGTGCCCACCCAGAAGTCGGTTTCGGAGCCGCCGCTGTGCATTATGTTGCTGCTGCCGCCGTCAGCAGCAGATGGGCGCGCCTTGATCCACACGTTGCCAGCAGCCTTCAGGACAAAGCTCACCCCACCTTGCCTGCGGGTGGTAGGTGACATTGGGAGTGCATGAGAGGAGGATGTGATGCACGGCATGGCGTGAAACGTATGATGTAATGCACACAGTTTTACAACTCCACGACGATTTATACGATATGTGGTCTTCAGAGGTTGCCACGTGAAGATCCCTGCTCGTCCTCGCGTCTCCCTTCCCATCATTCCCGTCTTGGACTCACCGGATAGGCCCCTCCCAGGGCAGCTGCAGCATCAGGCTGTACACAGCGACCCATGGGCCACCTCCGGCCCTCGAACTGCGAGCCTCCGGTCGGTTCTGCCCATCCTGTTGTTGCACGGCCTCCTCAATAGTAAGCGGGACGGCTTGTCGTACGACAAACGGGGTTTGCCAGGCGCCGTGACCTTGCGGGCAGGACAGGAAAGGCAGGAAAAAAGCGCGCTGCAACTCAAACATGGAAGGCTAAAAGGCTTCAACCCCGCACAAGAGGCGTACCGGTATCAAAACGGCTCTAAATACCCACGTTGCTTTGAAACCATGCACTTAACCACGCCGCCGTACCTGCATCGTGCGACACAGCAGGCAGCGTGTGCCAGCCAGGGGGTCCGCCGTACCACCGCTGTCCGGGCCCCTGGCAGCAGCCCCAGTGCGCCTCAAGCCCCTCGTACGGCTCCAACATCGGGCTCGAAGATAATGCTGGCGACGCTGTCGTTGCAGCAGGTGCGGGTGCTGCGGTGGAGGGCGCTGTTGCGTCTGCTGTCAAGGTGTCAGCTAGCGCTCCGTTACTGGTGTCATTGCTGTTACTAGCGGTACCGGAATTGTCCTCCCTGCCAAAGCCGGAGGTGGCTGAGTGATGCGTCGGTGGCGACGGCGCTGAGGGCGGCACCTCTGCAGCCAGCAGGGAGAGAGCGATGAGGGCGTGGCGGCGGCCGTCGGGTCCGGCGAAGCATGTGGCTGCGCTGATGAGCAGAGCGGGGGTGGCAGCAGAGGTAGCTGCTTGTTGGTGGGTCTGCATGCAGAGGGGAGTGGGGCGGGGAACGAACAGGGGAGCAAGGTGACAAAACGGGAGAGAAAACGAGCAGAAAGGAACGGGGATGGATAAAGAAGGGGGATGGGACAGGATGGGATGCAAAAAAGCAGCATGTACGACAACGGGAGGATGCATGTGCGGGCGGGGGATGAGGGGCAGGAGGGACGTCCGAGGCCGTAAGCGGCAGGCACAGGAGAACAAACAGAGCGAATGGGTGTAAGGCGTGGCACTGAGAACACGACTCTTACTATGGGACTTGTGGGGCAGAAAGCAGACAAACAAGACCCGGAAATCCCATCACTTCATGATCCCCTTACCATGCTTGCTAACTCACCACCTGTACGGCAAGGTGGTCCCCAGGGCCCAGCTTGCACCAGGTATGTACGGCACGAATGCAGTCGGCCTGCATCAGGGGTGCCGCCATGCATCATGGGATTCGTGGCGCGGGGAGATGCGGGGTTGGTATGTACGGCAGACGGGGGTGTGAGGGCCTGAGCAGTGTGCAGTGCAGTTATGCATGGGATCCAAGGAGCTTCGCCTTAAGGAGTCAGCATATCACCAGCCAAGCCTGCCGTATACACAGAACCAGGCTATGGGCACCGGGCCCTTCTCCTTCTAAACAGGGCATGAAATTGCCCGGTAATATAACTGAACGGGAGGAGACACGGAGTCAGAGCAGGATTTGCTCGGTCCCATGCTACGGTGCCCTCGCCCGCCCACCTGCAATCGGGACACCGTACCAGGCCCCAGACCACATGTCCTAGCAGCCTCAGACGACCCTGGACTCAGCAGTACCTCTTCTCCTGCTGCAGCCGAAGATGAACTCTGGCGTCGCCCTTGTCCTCTCTTAACCCCGCCACCCAAACCAAACGTACGGAATCGAGGAGATCCAAATCCAACTCCTCCTCTGTTACCGGACCCTGCTGCTCCGAAACCGGATCCACGCGCTGACTCACCGGCTGATGCGGCTGCTGCCACTAGGCTTGTCCTACCAGGACCGCCCTTAGACGCCGGGAAATGGCTTTGAGCTTCTGGTGCAAGACAGCCGCTGTTAAAGCTGAAGCTGCAAGCGACGAAAGCGGAAACAAGGTTGGAGGCGGCACAAGATGGCACCCGTGAGCAGCCTGGTGGCGGTGAGCCGATGGTGGGTCCGACAACAGGGGGAAAGGCAGCGGACCCATGTACGGCAGTCCTGCTGCTGATGCTCTTTGTGCTAGGAAGCTTTCGGTTGACGCTGGTCGACGAAAGAACCATAGCGCCAGCCGCTATGCGTGTAGTCCTGTGGGCGATGAACGACAACGTGGAAGCCGGTTAGCCTGCCAGTTGGCATCGCTCGTGGTTACAAGGGGATCTATCTGCGTCCAAACGACCGTAACAACACCCCGTTAAAGGCGAAGTATGCCGTCACTGCCGTAAATAAAGGGATCGATGGCGTGTTCTTGATGCGTTTGACATATGCGTGCGTTCGGATGAAAATAGCTAGGGCTGTTGCTCGCCGTCTTGTGCCCAAATGGCGACGCCTCAACCTGACGCAATTCAGCATGCGACAAGTACTATAAAGCGTTTAAGATGACTCTCAAACCATGATTTTCAAGCGCCGAAACAGTAGTTGCAACTTAACCGCTGTGGCAAGCGCTGCTAACTACGCCCTGGCTTCAGGCAAAACAACAGCTCCTACAGTATACCACATTACTCCAATGCAGTCAAGTGGGTCGTATATGAGCTGAAACGACCGGGCACCACAAGACCTCATCATAAACTACAGGAAGGTAGCAAAGGTACCTTGAATTTGTTTAGGACGTTGTCTGGAGCCAGTTCGATGTTCAATACCCCGTCGACGTTTAAGCGAGGTCGCTCGGCGTCTGCCGCTGAATGTTTGGCGTCAAGACACTAATGGTTTGCTCTTGTAAATTCCTGTTGACACCGCATCCATGAGGGCGATTGCTGGGCTCTTGGAGTCATGACACTGGTGGTACGCTGGTTTGCGTGTGCGGCATCTGTGGTCTGCTGGTCTCAGCATGGTTTCAGGCTTGCGTACGGCAACCGTTCAGCTAGATCATTTGTAGAAAGCGGCCACTGTTGCGGCTTGAAGGATGTTTAAGGTCCAGTGGACGATTGATTGCAAGACTTGCAAATGCAAGTAAGCTGTCAGTTGGTCGTTTAGGCGCAATGCCATTGTTAAGATATCCCATAAAGACATTGTAATTTCTTAGTTCAATCAAGTTAGGTAAACAAATGTATACGTGTACCGGTAGGCGTAAGAAACTGGCTTCAGCACCAGCATCCTCGGTGATTGCGCTGGCTGGAATGCAGCTTGCAGAGATCAGCGACATACCTGAGTTAGTACTGATTTGATCTACAGCTTGCGTATTGATGTAACTATGTTGCAACCAAGGCGACGCGGGGCATGGGCCATGGCGATCGCTCTAGCTGCCACTGCTGGGCTGCTCCTTTGGTGTGCTTTTCACCTACATTACGATGTCCTTCGTTCCCAACAAGCATGCGACACGACTTACATGTACCCACTGTACAAGCGAGTCGACATGCCCACCGACATCCTGGATAAGGATGTTGCCATTACCGGCAACTCCCTTGCAGCCGACGGATACGCACATGACCCGCAATACCGCCGTCATCAGCAGGAGCAGCAGTCTACTCAGGTGGAGCTCCCGCCCTGGGCTCAGGATGTTGCAGAAGCAGCAGGCCGGTTGAAGGCAGCAGCAGGGGCGCTCAGCCAGGTTCAATACGGGCTTTGGCGATACATTGAAGATGACAAGACCTCACCGGGTAGGGGTGACAAGCTTTTGCACAGGGGCTTAGGAGTGACAATAATGTGCTGTAAGAAGGATTGCTTTACATCAGGGTTTGGGACAAAGACTTATTGCACCAGTACCCCGGACCTCACGCCGTCCTCTCACCCCGGCCGCTTATCTCCATAAGCCGTTTTTTCATCTGAATCCTGAGCCGGGATGCTTTCCTCGCCCCCCGCCCTTCCGTCCATGCCCTTCCCACATCCCGCATCCCCCCATACATTGTTTACCCTTCTTCCCCGCCGCCCTCCACCTCCCACTGCTCTCTTTCCTCCCTTCCCATCCCGCTACCAGGCTCCCAAGGCGCCAGCGGCGGCTCGGCCCGGCTGGCGCTGCCGGTGCTGTTCATTCCGGGTCACGGCGGCTCACACGAAATGGTGGGTGGTGGCGGCTGCCCATCGCACGTACCGGTCTGGCCGCCTGGCCTTGCTGCCGTTGCTGGTGCCATTAGAAGAGCGAGGAGGGATGCGTGTGCTACCGGTATAGTAGCAGCCTATTAAGGAAAGGGCACGCAAGGTGCCAATCAATTTCCGGCCGACTTTCCACAACCGGCGTACAGGACGCCGGGAGCAGCTTTTTCCCGCAGGGAGCTCTTTCCACACCCTTTCTCCACCTCACCTCGCCGCTCCTCCCACCCTCCTCCCCTCCGCTCCCCGCCCCAGGCTCGCTCGCTGGCCTCCGAAACCGCTCGCCAGCTCTCCCGCCAGCTCGCCGCCTCCCCCCTGGGGCCTGCCACCGCGGCCTCCGCTGCGGCCTCCCTGGATTGGTTCCTGCTGGGGCTGGAGGGGGAGTGGTCGGCATTCGAGGGGGCTACACTGGTGGGGGCGGGGGGCGGGGGCTGAGTGGTGGGGCTGGGCGGCGATGGTGCTGCCTGGTGGGGTGGGATGAGGGAATCGTGGGTAAGGATTGCTTGAGGCAGGTGGAGACATGAGCGTTTAGGGATGACAAGGTGTAAGGAGGTCGGGCGGGCGCGTATACCGCGGCACTATACCGGTTTCTTCCTTACCTTGTACCCACCATGTGCATGCACCACATGCACGCTTGCAACCATCCCTCCGGACCTGTGCAGGAAGCCCAAGTTCGCTTCACCCTGGCAGCCATGCGCTACATCGCCAGGACCTACAACATCACCACAGCTGGCGAAAGTAACAGCAATTCCATTAGCAGCAGCAGCAATTCCATTAGCATCAGCAGCAGCAACGCAGCAGCTGTTGCCCCCCGCCCCCCTCGCGCCCGCCAGCTGCACCCGGGGATGCTGGTGGTGGGGCACTCCATGGGCGGAGTGGTGGCGGCGGATGCAGTGGCACGGGCCGCGACCGACCCGCACTTGGGTGGGTCGGCATGCGTGTGTTACACTACTCCACACTGAGGCGCGTAACAGTACACTGACCATGCCAGCTGCCACAGCTGTCAACACGTGTGTGTTATGCCGCTGCCCTGTGCGCTGAGGAGGCGGGCGTCTCTAGCTCTGAACGTGGAGGGTTGTAACAGAAACCCGTTGTTGGTTGGTTGGGCGTTACCAACATAGGCCGCGAGGAGACGTTTGCGGCTGCCAGCCGGCTTGCAGCCGGCTAACAATCGCTCTACATCACGCTTGGTCCTACGTAGTATTTCATTACTACTAGATGTATCAGTTGCCTTTTTGCGTTCTGGTTTTCTGGTCGTTCCCTCTTCTAGTCCCTCCTCGTCCCAATCGTACCCATGCCCATCCCCCTCCCCACCTCGCAGGTCCCTCCCTGGTGGCGTTGCTGCTGACCCTTGGGTCGCCCCACACTCGGCCTGTCCTGCCCGGCCACCCGTCGCTGCGGGACTTCTACACTCGCGCTGCCGCCCGGCCGCGACCCGTGGTTCCGGTGGTGGCGCTGGCTGGCGGGCTGGCTGATGTGCAGGTGAGGGCTGAGCGAGGGGATGGCTGAGATTAGACTGGAACATCGCCCATACTTCCTACTGTCGTCGGATGCACTTGGAGAAGCCGCAGGGTGAGAGCACCGTGATAGCATGTCAGTGTTTGGCGGTACCCTGGTTGAATTAGGAATAGCGTCGGTATTTCGGTTTTGTTAGATAGAGGCCTGCACCCAAGGTGCCGCTGTACAGAGTTCGATGCCCTGCCGTTCGTCTGTCGTAAGGCCGCACGGAGGTGTGTCCTAGCAAACGCAAACGCCCCCTCCCACGTGCCTCAGGTGGCGACGGCATTAACGGACCCCTCAGCTCTGGCACCTGAGGTGAGAGGGTCGCTTGCAACCTGCATCCGTCTCGCCCCATACGCTCTACGCTCTACGCTCCCGACTCCTTTTGCTCAGTTGCTCTCTTCTAAACATTGCAAATCCTAAAGACCGTTAGGTCTCGCTTCTGTTTGTCTCCTCCCCCTGACATGCCTTCAATCCAAGGCTTGCAGAGTCCATCCTTCTCATCCTTGCACGCGCTTCTCACCCTCCACTCCAGCCCTTCCCACCGCACCCTCGTTCGCACCCCAACCAACAGGGCTTCACTCGCAGCCTGGCGCTGCCGCAGCTGCCGGGCGGCTGGTGTCCCGCGGGTCACTCGGCGCTCACCAGCTGCAACCAGGCCATGCTGCCGCTGGGGCGGGCGCTGGTGGAGCTGGCCCAGGTGGGGGTGGGGGGAGAGGGGGGGAGACGTGGAAGACGTGGGGGCATATGTTGGATGCGTTTACCGACGTGGAAGACCATCGTGCTTGTTTGTTTGCCCCTATAGATTGCCAGAAAAATGTCGAACCTCTTCGCCCTCCTAGCCACACCTTTCTCCGCGCTTTCTTCCTATTCCTTCCAGGACGCCGTACCAAGCCTACTAGCAGCACGCAAGCAAGTCACTTCCCCTCCACCCAAGGCCGCGGCAACGGCGACGCCTTCACCAGCGACTCCGGACTCCCCATCAATCGCCGCCGACCCAGCTGCGCTCATGCGGGAGGCCCACAGGCCCGATTCGTACGGCAGTGACGGCAGCGGCGGCATGAGCGGCGGCGGCAATGGGTCGCTGTTGCCCTGGGATTGGGCGCTACGACGTGTAGAGCGGCGGCTGTCGCACCCCGCACAAGGCTACCTGGCAGCGGCGATCCTGGCGACAGCTGCCGCACCTGGGGCGGAGCCCACCGGGGAGGTGAAGGCGGAGGCGGCGGAGGCTAGAACTCAAGAGGATGTCGGAAAGGGGCATCAAGAAGAGCCTCTGCTATGGCGCCATGCACAAACCGCCCTGGCGCCTGCCGGCGCCAGCGGCAGCGGCGGCGGCGGCGGCGCGGGTTGCTCTGGCGGCGCCAACCTGGCTTGGTACCTGCAGTACGACAAGCCGTTGCAAGTAAAGTCGTACGGCAGGAAACGCGGCAGCAACCGTGCGGCAACGGTTGTTCGGTTAGCGCAGGACGACATGGAGGGTGTTCCGTCCACTGGTCGCCTGTTGGAGTGGCAGCTGGCGTCCTCGTCACGGAGCCGGAGGGCGGCGGAAGGGGCTAGCGGAGGCGGAGGTAGCGGTGGCGGCGGCGGCGGCGGTTTGCAGCCGCAAGGTTGGGTTGCAGTCGTATCCGGTGCCATGCCTTGCTCAGCTTTCAGAGTCTGGCTCAGCGTTACTGTGGAGCAGCAGCAGAAGCAATCTGGAACGGGAGCTACAGCTGAGGTGGCCGGGGCTCATGAAGAGAGCGACGCCGTCGGAGGTGACGGCGGCGGCAGTGGCGGCGGCGGCAGCATGGAGGGACGTGAGAAGCTGGCGGAGCTGGCGGCGGAGGCGCGGCGGTCGCTGGCGGCGCCGGGCCGTACGGTACGGCATGACGTGGAGGTGACGGGGCTGGCGGCGCCGCTGCCGCCGGTGGTGCGCGAGGGGCGCTGGCCCGTGCGGGTTCGATCGTAAGTGGGGCTCACTGGGAGGGGGGTTGACGTGGGGGTTATCAAGGGTCTGGATGTGGTCAGCACGCGCTCCTAAGCGCGGAGGTGTTGTTCAGTTTAGAGAATTTAACAGGCATGGGTTTAGGGAAATAAACAGGTGGAAAGTAGGCGGTAGGCTAAAGAACCTCCTCCTCCTCCTCACCCTCCGCAGCGACTGGGCGGAGGTGATGCGCGGCAGGGACTACCAGTCCCGCGCAGCCTGGATGCTGCTGCTGCCGCCCTCGCTGGTGCTGCCGTTGATGCAGCGCGCAGGGGTGCTGCCGTCTGACTTGGCTGGCGGAGGTGGCGGAAGCGGAGGCGATCGTACGGTAACGGTGACGCTGACTCTCTGGTTGGGAGAGCCGTCGTACAAGCCAGCCTTTCGTGTGGTGGCAGCGCCGCTGCTGCTGCCTCGCATGGTAAGCGATTAATGACACCGGGGTCAAGGGTGCAGCTGCCTCGCTTTAATCCCTACAAAGGCTGACGTGCTTTCCTGCTGATGCAACAGCTAATACACATACGCACGCCTTCTCACCCGTTAATATGCATAGTGAGGTGGTGTGGTGTTTTGTTGCGTTACATGGTGGGGCCCTATGAGGGCTGTCACAGACCATGCAAGGTCTAAGCGAGCCGGAGACCCACAGACCTGCTACAGGGTTCGCTCACAGAAACAACAAAACTATGCTTTGCTTCCCAATGTGTACCTTCCGCAGCCGAAATCCTCGGAGCCCCGGTCACCGCCTCCACCGCTGACGCCGTTCCATCCGCTAACGCTGCCAGACCAGCAGCACCTGCCGCTGCTCCTGCCGCTTCACCTGCCTTATCTCACAAGCGGCACTGGCAACAGCAGCAGCGGCAGAGGCGACGGTTTCGTCAGGAATGTCGTACGGTGGTTGGGATTGTACAGATACGCTGCCGTACGGATTGTTGCCTTGGACCGCATGAACGAGGACACCGCAGCTGGTGCGGCTGCTTCGTCGAACGCAACAACAGCAGCTTCGGTTGCTACGGAGACAGGACCAAGCGAGCGGTGTTTGTACCCTGTGGTGGTGCTTGTGGGGGCGGTGGGCGGTGGTAGAGGACGCAGCGAGGGGGAAGGCGGCGGCGAGGGAGGTGTGCGGGCCGCACGTCTCGTCCAGGTGCGGAAAGAGGGGCTGGGAAGGGGGCTTTGTGTTTAGCGATTTAGGACCCCGCATTGGTACACACAACCCACTATTGGCAGCCTGTTGCAGCCTGCTTACCTATTTCGCTATGGTATAACGCCACATATTGCGCACGGGACACCTTCTTCCCCTTCCTCTTCCTATTCCTCTTCATCTTCTACTTGCTGGCCCACGCAGGTCTCCTCCAACCTCACCTTCCACTCCCTGGAGCCCTGCACCACGGACCCATGGGGCTGCGCTGCCGTGTCTGCCGTACTGGATCCCTCCTGCTCGTACCACATCGAATTGGTGCCGTACGCCTCCCAGCGCCTTCCCGCCCTGCTGCTCGCCCAGCTGGGTCGGCTGTGGCTGGGAGCTCAGCTGGCTGCGCTTCTGGGGGTGCTGGCAGCGGCGTTGGCGGCGGCTAACTGTACGGCAACAGCCGTAATGCCGTCGCCCTTGCCAGCGGCGAAGGCAAGTGCGAAGGCGTCAGGATGTGGCTCAACGGCTGTTGTGCGTCAGGAGCCCTACGGCGGGCAACGTCGAGGGGCTCTACTATTCTTGCGGCGGTTCGTGGCGATGCCGTCGGAGGGCTTTCGAGTGCTGCAGGTAGGCATGTATAGCTGTATGGGACTGTCATCACCCTCATCATCAGCGCCTGGGGTGTACGTCAACACGTCGCCGGGTGAACCTACATGTGGACGCCACCGTGTTTGCGCTGGTTGCCAGCTGCGCTGTTATCAGCCCGCACGTTCCACGTCTCTGCGATGTGAGTGCCCGCAATATCATCCTTCACATCACCGCGGTTGGCCCCGCTGTTGCCGCTGCTGCTCCGCAGGCTGGATCCCAGTACTGGGCGCCGCTTACCGCCTTCCTGGTGGTCGGTGTGATCTCTGCAGCCCTGCTGTCAGGGGGTGCGTGGATGCTCCCCCCGGGTACCCGAGCAGCTGAGGAGATGGCCCACTGGGGCATGGATGCGGGCACGGCATCTATGCATGGCAACAGCAGCGAAATCGCATTACTCCCGGCGTCAGCAAGGCTGCTTGGCATGCTCGCTTCAGCAGCATCTGGTACCTCGAGGACGCCCGCAGTCCAGCGGCTCGTGCGTCTCCTGGGGCTGTGTCCCCAGCCTCACCTACCGCACTGCGGCTGGGAGACGGCGCTCGCACCCGTCAGTGACGTCCTTGCTGCAGCCGCCGCCTCCGCAGCCGGCTTAACATTGTCAGAGCCGTCCCTGCCATCATCATCAGCGGTAACAGCGGCGGCGGCGGCAGCAGCACCTGCAGCTGATACCCTTTGCGTGCTGGACTGGCTGGTGCTGGCGGCGACGGCGCTGCTGGTGGCGTGGCAGCTGACGGCGGCCTTGACGGCGGCAGCGGCAGTTACTGCCCTGGCGGAGGCGACTGTACGGCAGACCTTGCGGCTACTGTTCGTACTGCCGCTTAGAGTCCTGCTGCTACCGCTTTTCTCGGCGGTAGGCTACATTCGCCACCGGTTCTTGCTGCAGCCCAGGCCGCTGGTGGATGATGCGGCAGTGGCAGTCAGCAACGCCGCCAACATTGACCAGACGAGGAAGGTAACAGGGCTGGCGGCGGCAGCAGCAGACGCGGTCTCGACACGCCGCTGGCAAGTCCTCCGTCTGCTGGCGGCGGCGGCGCTGATGGTGCTGGCAGGTGCGCCGTACGACATTCCCGCAGCCATCTTGCTGACGTCAGCGCTGTCCCTGGCCATGGCTCTCATGTCCTCCTCGCCACAATCGGCGTTGTCAGCAGAAGCGGAGCAAACCCGGGAGGAGCAGCGGTGCGGGCGGCGGCGGCACCTGGTGATGGCGTGGCTGCTGTACTATTCGGTGTACGGCAGTTGCGCCGCTCCGGCAGTGATTGCCGTACTGCGTCGGCTGGTGGTGCGGCGCGCTGCGGCGCTAGAACTGCTAGCAGCGTGCGGCGAGGTGGCAATGAAGGTGTGGACGTTGGTGGTAGCCGAGGGGCGAGGTGTGGAAGGGTTGCGGTTGGGGCTACAGTTGCTGATCTCGGCTGCGTCCAGTTTTGCACCGCTTCTACCGTGGGCGGTAGTGAGGGAGGTGTTAGCTGCAACCAGCAGCGGCAGCAGCGGTGACAGCAGCGGTACGGCAATCAGTTGCGGCCAGCTAGCTTACTTCCTATCTGCCGTACACTGTACGGTGCTGGCGTGGCGCGCTGCTGCGGCGCCTGCACACCCCGAGGGTGCTGCTGACTGCAGCGGCGCGTCGGAGGCCGCCGGCCCTACGTGTGACGCCACGTCTTGCGGGCTGCAGACGTTGACGTCATCAGCTCGTGCGTCGTCCGCAGTTGCGTCGGAGGTGTCATCCGCTGGTACGGCAGGCGGGCGGCTGGGGGCGGCTGCTATAGGGGTGGGTTGTGCGATCCTGGGCCTTGCATGGTGGCTCGGGGCCCCGGATGCCGCACATGTGACGGCAGGGGTGTCGGCCGCGATGTGGCTGGCGTTGGAGCTGGCGAGCCGGACTGCTGTGGAGGGGCCCTGAAGGATGACGTAGGTGTCATAGCACATGCAGCGTGGCTACCGGCATGAGGAGTGTCGTGGTCATTGTGACATGGCCTGCCGTGCGGGTTTTATCCTGTACCGGTGCCACCAAGAAGAAGAGAAGGCGAGCAGTCCGCTGGCTAATTACTACATCCATTGCAATGGCTGCGTGCTTGATACTCCTTTGCAAGCATCGTAGGTGGTTACAGGTACCATTACTCAGTACTTCTGCACGCATGAACGCCGTAATTGCCCATACAAGCACGGCGCGTTAGGTACAGTAACAAAGCTATAGCTCAGAAGCAAACCGCCATTTGGCAACCTACCAATCCGACGATCCTTATCAGCTAGCTCCTGCCTTGCACTGTGTGCGACGGAATCGCACAATGCACGCACGCGGTCTCCATCTCTTCAACAACATGTGCATACCCCATCAACAACATGTGCATAACCCATCAGCAACATGTGCATACCCCGTAGTCACGGCTCAGCTACCGGTACATTTTGCAAGCCATGACGGCAGCTACAGGGGGTCATGTCATGGCTTTCATGTCACGTGCTTTCCAAGTTGCCACCACTTGCATGATGACGTGCCAGTCCACCCAAGAGGTCCACCCAAGAGGACACTTGATCACGTCACAGCTCCACATAACCGCATGACCTGCCCGCCTGCCCAGGACAGCACATGCATGCAGCGGCTAGCTGCTTGCCGGCACCCGCTGGTGGTCATCCACACGCAAATGTGCCCGCCACATCCACGGTCACATGCACGTGTGCCCGCCACCTACATGGCCACACAATGGGATCTCCTGCCGTACGCACATGCGCCAGTCAGCTGCCGTACCGGTAGTCCTGTAGTAGTCGGGACCAGCCGTACATGCATGCCACCACTACTTGAGCTTCTTGGCACGTGTCCGCAGCAGCGACGAGTAGAGCTGCCACCACAGGAAGGGATACACCACAAGAACCACCTGCGGGCGGGCAGAAGAGGGCAGTGTGCTGAGCATATCACTATTGTAGCTTTGTAGGTGTACCTGCCACACGGCCGCCTCTCGCACCGGTCAATACCAGCTAGGCAAGCAGCAGGTCGTCAACTCCTGTAAGACAAAGACAGAGTAGTATATACCTGAGTCAGTCCCTTCCTCTTCCTCATCCCCCCCTCCAGCCGCATACCTGCATGAAGCGGTGGTAGCTGAAGGCCCAGTTGAGGCTGTTGGGCATGCTCAGCGACAGCCGCTCGCTCTCCCTCAGCTGCGGCAGCGAGGCGGCCATGAGCGCCATCTCCGCCGCCACACCCACTGGGAACAGCGGCAGGAAGGCGGAGTACCTGCGCGGGCACACGCATGCACATGCATGCACCGCAGCAACGGCCGCAGCAGCAGTGGCAGCCGCATCAGTCGCAACATGCAGGACCAGAGGGGGCAGGCATAGCCGGCCGCAGCAGCAGGTGTGTAACATAGGCCCTAAAAGGCCTCACGAGATGTCGTGAGGTTTCCCTTTAAAGACTCTTACATTGTATCCTTGCTACAAGGTGGGGCAGAGATAGCCGACCGCAGCAGCAGCTACAAGCACCGCCGCCATGTACACATGCAGCCGCGACGGGCTGCCATTGCCATTGCTCCAGCCCACCAGCCTCCCTTACTATCACCAGCAGCGCCATTGCTGCTCCTCCGCTGGGCCGCTTGGGCCCCAAACCCGTGTCCATCCATCCCGCATGCCAGCTGCCACGCCCTTCTCTTCCCGAGCCTCGACAGCCGTACCACCCACCCATCCCACCATTCATGGTGTCCTATGGTTCGGTCTATCTTGACCACCCACACACACCACCCGCCCCACCTCAGCCATGTCAGCCAGCCCGGGCAGGCTCCGCCCCTGCCCGCGGCGGCCGCAGCAGTGGTGGCCACGTAGTGCGGGTAGCGCACCACCTCCGCGGCGGCCCACGCGCCCAGCAGCACAGCGGCCCACCAGCTGGCGTGCAACTGCGGGGGGGGAAGAAATTCCAAAGTGTGGTGTGATAATGATACAAGTTGCTGACAATCCCTGGTGGAATCAACCGTGAGTCGAGCCGAAATGGTGGTTAAAGCAAAGCGAGCTAAACTTAGTGAACTTACCAATTATGGAGCAACCTTACCATAGGCTTGGGCATGTGTGGAGGCTGCTGAAGGTGAGCTGGAGACCCACCGCGCCGTGGGGCATAGGCAAACAACAGGAACAGCACAACACGAGCACTTATAAAAAACAACACAGACGGACACACGATAAAACACGTACCTAGGTACACAAAGAGGTGTGTACCGGGAAACCACGTGAAGGGCCAGCCGCCATGTCCAGGGACGAATCCAGAGCGAGGCCAGCCAGGGACGAAATATGTGGGAAGGGTGAAAGGGGGGGGGAGGGAGGAAGGGAGGGGGAGGGAGGGTAATAATATATTAGGAGGGAGGGAGGGAGGGCACCGGCACGAGTCAGGGACTGCTGGAGAGATAGCTGCCCAGGAGCCGCCAGCAGCCTCGTCTGTCGTGTTTTGGTCCACGCGGTGAAGCGCTCCTCAACCCCTCCACAGCAGGGGATCCTGCATGCCGCGGCACCCCAAGAACACTTCACCTCTCTTCCCACGTTACAACCCACGCTGCTTGCATCCATCGTCCATCGCGCACCATCAACCGCTTCCACGCACACCAGCCCTTCATCACCCCCACCCCCCGCCCAGCTGCTTGCCTCGGTGATGGGATCCAGTATGAGAAACAGCACGTTGCTCCTGCCCGCCCACTGCATGAGCGCCAGCAGGGGGCTGGAGGGGACCAGACCGGCGGCCGCGTGCAGGGTTTCAAGCAGGGACAAGCCCTGGAAGAACTCTGGTTTGGAGGAGATGGGAAACAGGGACAGGGGAAGCGGCTTTACCAAGAGCGGGCTTTACGTCACCACTGCAACCAGCACCCTAAAAGCTCAACTGGTAAATGGAGCGGCTCTGTCGTACAGCTGCTCCGGGGAATCCCGTTGGAGGAGGCCATACGCCAAACAACCCAGGCTGACGGCCCATCCGCAAGCTTGGAACGCATTATACAGCAGTAAGTACGCTTGCGTGGCTCGCATGTTGGCTGGAAGGGTAAGGCAAGAAAATGCGCTTTAGCGCGTTAGCGTAGCTGGAACTGTATGGCAACCTCAGTGTATTAGTGTGTGACCGTCGCTTTTTAGTTTTACGGTAAATGCAGATCAATGGTGATCCAAGCGCAAAGCAGTGACTGAGTGTAGAACGCGCATGAATGATGCGTAGCCGTATGAGAATCCAGTTCCAAGTGCGTCAGTATGCGCTTGCGCAACATGTTTACCTAACACCCAATCCCGAAAAAGGACATATCAAAAGACATTAGCATCTTCGCTTATTGCCAGGGTTCCTACGCCCTTCGTGACCTTATGCCTGTTCAGAACCAGGGGCTTGCACTGTACAGGGAACTCTTGCGCCAGATCCGAACTCTTCCGAGGTGTGTAATTATAAGAGTTGCATTTAAGCACAAATGCGCCTTATTTCCCGTCCATGGCAGTTGTGTAGGGTTCAATGATACGTTGCCCTTCTCAAAACCTGCGCGACGAGCTTCGCTTGAACACATTACGTAGGAGCACACAGGAGTATTACCGGAATTACGCTCGGCAACATATCGCATCACATGAAGACGAGACCGACGCAGAACAGGTGCAATTCCTCGTGAACCGTGCTCGCCAGAACGCGCAGTGGATTCTGCGCAAGGTACGTTCGACACTCTCCTTGATCTACTTGCTCCCCCGTGCAGATAAGGGTTCCATTAGGGTGGAACGCGGTCAGTTGCCAATCCTCTGCGTGTATGTCGTACAATGAAATGGCTGCGCCCTTCACGTACTACATGTTGAGTTGAGTTGAACATGCAGTAGTTCAATGAACCTCCCTTTTAATTGACCTGCACGCCTCCCACGCTTCGGCTAACGCACCTGCTCAGTAAAATGCAACCGTACCGTCTTACCTGCCCCGCCCTTTGTAGTACGCTCCTGCTTCCAACGACCCCAAGCCCAACTAGCGGACCAACTGCATCCTCCGCTTCCCCAATCTATTCCGGGCTTATACATTGACCACGTCGTCAGCATCCTCGCCAGCTGCCGTGCAGTACAGCGCACTACGGCGCAACAAACGACAGGGCATTGCACGTGGGAAGCCAGCTGCAGCCATTAAAGAAAAACAGCACCGTCACCGTTGCCTGTAACGATAAGGTCCAACGGCGCACTGTCGTCGCTTGCCCCACGCCGGCGTGAATCGTAGGTCCCCCGCTGCCAACCGCCTTTTAAGAACTAGGTGGAGGCTGCTGTGGAGGCGCCATGGCTCCATCCCAACAAACCACTGCTGACGCCGCGCATGCATCGGTCCCAGGTGAGCCAAGAATTAACGCCACCGCCGCCACCACTACCACTACCCCCAGCCCGGAGGTCCGTCTACGGAAACCAGCAGCAGCAGCAGCACCCCCAACAACCGCCTCTGGCACGCTACAGCCCCCGCAGCAGCCTCCCTCCTCTCCTCCTCCCGCCGCTACTGCTGCTGCTGCTGCCACTACTACTGCTGCCGCTGCTGGCGGTGGTGGTGGGGGTGGTTTGCAGCGGCTGCTGGTGGGGGTGTTGGCGACGGGTTTGTGGATGCTGTTCAGCAGTGCGGTCATCATCCTAAACAAGAGCCTCTACCGCCGGGGCTTTGCATACCCCTCCACCGTGACGGGGGTGGGGCAGGTGAGGCGGGCACGGGATTAGATAAACTGGGCAGGCGAGGGAGGGGGTGAGGTGGGTGCGATGGGCAGCGAGGGTGGCAAAAAGGGCGGTAAGAAGGGTGGGATCTCCCTGCTTCCTTAACCCCCTATCCACCCTCCCTCCAGTTCTTCTCCGCGCTCAGCGGCCTGCTGCTGGCCCGCCTGGCCGGCCCCTCTCAGCGCCTGCGCCCGCCGCCGCCCGCCCGCACCTTCTGCCGTGCGCTGCTGCCCATCGCGGGCTGCACCGCCGCCACCATGTACCTGGGCAACCTGGCCTACCTGCACCTCTCAGTGGCATTCATACAGATACTCAAGGTGGGTGGGGGTGGGGGTGGTCAGGAACACCGTGGCGGGCGGACCGCCGGGGCGGGGCGGGGTCAGAGGGGGACGGGCGGGATTGGGGGCCGGGGTCAGAGAGCGACCAAACAATGATGAGGAGCCACAAATCAGGGCAAGGCACTGGGGGTATAGGAGGCAGGAGCTACGAGTAAAGGGGCGGCCACGGATGCACAGGCTAAAAGCAGGCCTATTGACAAACTAGCCTGTCTCCTCCTCCTTTCTCCTCCTCCTCTCCCCCTTTCTCCCCTCACCCCGCCACTCACGGTTTTTCCATCGGAGCTTGTCAGCTTGTTTCACCACTATCACACGACACATTGGAATTTCTTTTTCCCCTCACCCCGCCATCTGCTCCTCATCCCTCCTCCTCCTCACTTCCCACCACGGCTGCCCTCCAGGCCTTCACCCCCGCCATCACGCTGCTGCTGTGCCTGGCCGCCGGTCTGGAGCGCCCCGCCTGGCCGCTGGTGGGCGCGGTGGGCATGATCGCGGGCGGCACCGCGGGGGCGGTGCTGGTGGAGAGCGGCACCCCCGCCTTCAGCGGGCTGGGGCTGGCGGCGTTCATGGGGTCGTCACTCACAGAGGCGGCGCGGGTGGTGGGCGCGGAGCTGCTCAAGGTGTGTGGGAGGGGAGGCGGGGGGGGGGGGAGAATAAATGAAAAGTGAAGCAACGGAGTCACAATCCCATACCCTGACTCATGCAGTGAGCGCATGCGGAGGCACTACCGGTATTTTAGATACATGCAACTCAGAGGCTTACCGAATGCTTGCTTACCAGAAACCGAGACGACTTGGGGAAGAAGCCGCCTTGCAGGGAGATGAGGGGAGTGGGGGAGGAGGAACAGAGGAGAGATGGCACGGGGTAGTGAGGACCAAAGGCTTAATGTACAAGGAAGCTGCCAGCCACGTCCCATCACGTCCGCTTGACCTCCCACACCCTACCTACTTCTGGCCACGTTTCCTCCACTTCCCTTTTGCCATCACGGCCCCTCACGTCCCACCATGCCCCCTCGCACGCCCCTCCGTGCATATGGAGCTACGTAGTAGCTTGGGTCTTGTAAGGGCTTCCCAAGTCCCCTAAGCTACCTGTAAACATCCTCAGCTGCTACCTGTTGCGTCATTCTGCTTCCCCCTTTGCCAAGCTGCTTGTGCTGCTCATTACGGTTCCCATTGTCGCTTTGTTGTCCCTACTGGTCAGTCCCAATTCCTCATATCCCCCATGCTGGCTTCATGTCATGTCCCCCCCTGGCTTGTCTGTGCCTCAGCATGGCTGCCTACCTTACCGGGCTCCCCGACCTGAATGCACCATGCATCCCGCCTCAAGGAAACGAGAACAGGCACAGACAAGGCCGACACAAGCCCCTGGCCCTGATAGCCCAAACTCAGACACCCGTCTCTGATCTTAAGCTGGCACTCCAAAATGGAGTGGCTCATGTGCGCCTCGCTATTGCCTGCTGGATCACCACCAATGTCTGGTGCATTGCTACAGTTGCCTGCATCTGCTCCGTAAACAAACTGCGGATCTCGACCTCCATCTTGCGGTTCTCGGTCTCCATCTTGCTGACCTTCTTGGTCAGCTCGGGGAGCATGGCAATATCGCTCTCCATCTTGCTGACCTTCTTGGTCAGCTTGGGGAGCATGGCAATATCGCTCTCCATCTTGCTAACCTTCTTGGTCAGCTCGGGGAGCATGGCAATATCGCTCTCCATCTTGCTAACCTTCTTGGTCAGCTCGGGGAGCATGGCAATATCGCTCTCCATCTTGCTAACCTTCTTGGTCAGCTCGGGGAGCATGGCAATATCGCTCTCCATCTTGCTAACCTTCTTGGTCAGATGGAGAGCAATATTGCCATGCTCCCCGAGCTGACCAAGAAGGTTAGCAAGATGGAGAGCAATATTGCCATGCTCCCCGAGCTGACCAAGAAGGTTAGCAAGATGGAGAGCAATATTGCCATGCTCCCCGAGCTGGCCAAGAAGGTCAGCAAGATGGAGAGCGATATTGCCATGCTCCCCGAGCTGACCAAGAAGGTCAGCAAGATGGAGACCGAGAACCGCAGTTTGTTTACGGAGCAGATGCAGGCAACCGTAGCAATACACCAGACATTGGTGGTGATCCAGCAGGCAATAGCGAGGCGCACATGAGCCACTCCATTTTGGAGTGCCAGCTTAAGATCAGAGACGGGTGTCTGAGTTTGGGCTATCAGGGCCAGGGGCTTGTGTCGGCGTTGTCTGTGCCTGTTCTCATTTCCTTGAGGCGGGATTTATGGTGCATTGCACAGTGTTGCTTCCCTGCTGGGGTTTTGTGCGGAGTACATCGCCTGAGTTTGGTGTGTTGCGGTAGCCTTGCCCCGTGTTTGCTTTAGTCGGTAGTGCAGTTGCTCTTACATGTCGCCTATGGCTGGACGCGACTTCTTGCTTGAGCTCTTACCACATCTGTTGTGGCTCAGTCAGCTGGGGGGCCGCAATGGATAGTTGCTGTTTTTTGTGGCCTTTGTATGGTTTTGGTGGGAGATGCTTTGGAGGCCTCAGTACCTCCAGGAATGGTCTGCACGTAGATGTTGCTTGGCCTGGTTCAGTGTCTTTCGATTTGCTGCAGAATGCTGCTCGGCAGGTTGTCAGGGATAGCCATGTAGGCTACTGAGAACCAATTCCAGGCATCTACTGGCAACACGGCTGAGCACTTAAGGCTTGGCGTGCTGTGCGTGGTTTGCCCACGTCCCCTATGATTTTGCGCCATCTCGTGATTTCCTATGGTTTGATTATTTCGACACCCACGTCCCCCCTCCAGGACGGCTCGCAGTACAACACCGCGGAGTCGCTGGTTTACGTGGGCGGCCCCACCGCCCTGCTGCTGCTAGCCGCCGCAGCCATCTGGGAATGGCCTGCCATGCTGGCAGCGACCTACGCCTCCACCGCCGAGCGACCCATGGGTCTGGCGCTGGTGGCGGCTGACCCGTGGGTCTTCCTGGCGGCTCCCGCCGTTTCCTCGCTCGTGAATGCGAGCTGCTTCTTCGCGGTGTATGCGACCAGCAGTCTGACATTCAAGGTGGCGGGATGCGTTAAGAATGTGGCGGTGGTGTGGTGAGTGAGAGGGGATGGGGGTGGATTGGTGTTTGTGGTGTGAAGTTGGCAAAGGTGAAGTTCGGGTACATTATAATGTGCTAGGAGCACAGCTGGGAAGCTCACCACCCCTTCACCCACTCATCACAATGCCATCCAGGGTCGGTGTCACATGTGCATCACACATGCGGCTATCCTTCTTTACTTTACTAACGCCCTCTCGCTGGCACCCTCACATGGTACCGTACATATGCAGGTACGGCGTGTTGGCGCACGGCGACACCGTCACTGCGCTGCAGGCTGCGGGCTACGGAGTGAGTACGGCGGGTTTCATGTTGTACTCGCACCTCAAGATGGCGGCGAGAGCTGCAAGGCGGCCTGTTGCTGCTGCTGTTAAGAAGGAAACTTAGAGGGATACGTAGGCTGTTGCTGCTAAGAGGGATACGTAGGCTGAGGAGGACGATGACCACCTCGGGTGTATGTTGTACATGCAAGTGCGTACGGAACGTGGGGTGCTGTTATTAACGCACGTTGTCCCGATTGTGCACATGTGAGTACATACTCGTGTGACTTGCGAGGTGCTTGTTGGCCGGTTGGTGGTCGGCGAGGAAGGGCACGTTATAGCGGCTTGTATTTGCTATTCACTGGTACGTAGGGGTGTAAAAAACATACATGGAAGGGGGTTTGTGGTTTGTGGGGATCGTCGCTCACAACTGTTTTTGTAACGCCGACTCTTCTGAAATCGTGATTTCCAAACAGAGTCCGAAGGTGCGGAAAAACCACTGTGTTAGTGTCTGCTGACGACGCGTAGGTGTTCATGCCGTTGGGTGCGTGAAGCCGTGCACATGTGCGTGTGTATAGTGTAGTGAATCAAATGGCCGCAGTGTACCTGCGCATGGAACTAATTAGGTCATATTCGTGACTTGGGACTTCTCCTTTGCATCTGTGCCCGTTTTTCCGGCGGTGCTTTTGAGATACTGGTGCTTTGAACCAATGGGTGTGTCTGCTTCCCAGGAGGCGGCGTCCCGCATGCGGCGTGTTACTCCTCGTCAGCTGCTGCTGCCGCATGCAACAATATGCAAAACACGCGTCTCGAGAGTGTACTGCACAGCAGTAGCAGTCCTGCAAGCGCCAGCGATAACCTACGACATTACATAATAATTTGAGTTGTAGCTAGGCGGCACCCTAGGATGAGAAGACCCACCCTAATCGTAAACGCGCCCAAAACATTCGCCAAGCGCTCCTGCCCCTGCTAATGCCGTACGCTAACAGCTACTTCAACCCTCGCGACGGCGGCGGCGACGGCGGTCCGTACACTCGTTGCACGGCAGTTAGCAGCGGCGCCGTCACGTGCTCCGGCAGCGCCGCCGCAAGCGCCGCAGGCTGCACTGATTGCGCCCCCGCTAGCACCAACAACCGCAGTACGACGTCTGACCCCATTCGCCGTACAGCCATTCGTAACGCCTTGCTGACGCTGGCATGACGCATCAACAACTCTGCAGACGCCGCTGCAACCTCCATGCTGCTTCCATCGCCGCAAGCCCCTTTTGTATCCTCCGATGTCGGCGCGGCGGTTGCTATCACGCTTCCGCCGCCGCCGCCCACCGTCAACGAAGTAGTCAGGAGCCCCGGCGGGGCTGCGCCTGGCGGCGGCGGCGGCAGCTCTTGCGGCGACGGCGAGAGATCTCGTACACTGGCGGCGGCCGCCTCCGCAGCGGCGGCACCCAACCGCCATGCCGTACATGAGGCGACACACCAGTCGGGAGTGGAAGGATGCGCCGCGACGCAACGCCGCAGCGCCTGGGGGGTGGAGTACGACACCGGTATTATAAGGAGTCAGGGACAAATTCATGCGTGTGAGTGCTTCATAAGCGACGCGCGAGTGCGACCCATGGGACATATATCGGCATACCGGTATATATACACACTCCACCCCGCTGCTGCTGCCGTACTCCGCCCCCTCCCACCTGTACGATCTCCCGCAACTGCCCCGGTCGCGCCACTCGCAGCCACCCGAGCGCCGCCACCACTCGCCGTCGCGTGACGGCGTCCGTATCCCGTACGGCAGTTATAAGGCCCCGGACCATTTCATCATTCAACAGCGCAGGCAGGCTGCGACGGGGCGGCGGCACCGCTGCCGCCGTCTCCGCCGCCGCTGCCGCCAGTTGACGTCGCGCATCGGCTTCCAGCTTCAGCAGTCGTACGACACCCGCCGCCGCCGCCTGCCGTACCTCCGGCAGCTCGTCCAGCAGCGCATCTGTGAGGGCCTCGCACACCGCGGATGCCGCCTCCACGTTGCCTCCGCCGGCGGCTATCCTGAGGGGGTTGAAGGGGTTGAAGGCAGGGTTGTGGGCGGGTGGGTTAGGCGTAGGAGTGGGAGTAGGAATGGGGGCGTGTGGAGTAGGCGTAAGCGTCGGATTAGGAACGGCATCCGCCTACCTGCCTCCAGCCGAGCCCCCGATGCCGCCAATACGTACAGACAACCCCGCTGCTCCTGCCGCCGCTGCTGCTGCCGTACTCGCCCCTGCAGCAATACCACCACTGCCACCGCCGCCTGCTCCGCCGCCGCCTCCTCCAACGGACGCGCTTTCAGCAGCTGTAACGGCTGCTGCCACCACCGTACGGTACTCCCCCTCCGCCAGGCTCGCCATGGCCTCCAGCGTGGCTACCCGCACCTGGGACGATAGGGGCACGACAACATGGGGTGATGGATGTGGCGAACAACACGAACGTGTTAAGTAACGGCAGTTGGCGGTTGTGCGGGAAGCTCGCCCAGGGAGGCTAGCGGGAGCAGGGTGGGGGTCAACGAAATACCAAACCCCAAGCGCGGGGGCAAGGTGGCAAAGGTGGCAAGGGTGGAGCAAGGTGAGGGAGCCGCTGCTATGTGGCCCCCCGCTCATTTGACCCCCTCCTGTCCCCCACCTCCCCGATACCCTGCAGCAGACCTACGGTACACCAGAACGCACCTTGCCTCCGCCCCGCCCTGCCAACACCCCATCACCACCCACCACCCACGACCCACCACCCCATCACAACCCGCCCAGCTCACCTCCCAGTGCTCGTCCTCGCTGCCATGCACGAACGCCCCCACCGCACTCTCAAGCAGCGCCAAGCTATCATCCGAGGCACCTCCACCTCCACCTCCTCCTCCACCGCCGCCGTCCGGGCCACCCCCACCCCCTGCTGCCGCCGCTGCCGCTGCCCCTCCCTTTCCTCTCCCCTTGCCGGCCCCTCGTCCGCCTGCACCCGCACCACCCCCGGCACCGGCAGCAGCAGCAGCGCCGCTAGCCCCCACCCCGGCCCCGGCCCCGGCAGCCCCATGTCGTTGCGGTTGGGGCGGCGGTGGCGGCTGCAGCCATGAGCCCCAGGCGGGAGGAGGGGGCTCCCAGGCTGACGTCGTCAGGCGCTTGGCGCTTGCGGCGTGCGGGCCTGAAGGGTGGGGGTAATGTATGGGAGGAGAGGGAGGAGAGGGGAGGGGGTAGGAAGACCTGTACTCAGCGTAATACAACAGAAGACAGGATGACGGGTGAGGCGTGGCGGCAGGGGCGAGGTGGTCGAGCTGCTCGGGGTGAGAGGTGCGCATCCCCCCCCCCGCCATGTACAGTCGCTGTTGGCCTGATGGATAAACACACACAGCAGCACTCGGTTCACAATTGACACACATCCAGCCCAACCATCCCCAGCAGCAAGGCCATCAGGACGGTTTTTCATCGGGATCATCCACACGAGAAGAACCCTGGAGAGCACCTGGAGCTTGCAACCTGGGCCGGCTTTTGTCATTTACCGTACCTTCTCCGTCACCTGCAGCGCCTGCTGCTAGTGCTCCTGCCGCTGCCGTCGCAGCTGCTTGAGGCGGAGGAGGACCTCGCTTGCTGCCCGGCTTGCCGCTGCCGGCGTCACTGGCGACAGCCGCTGCCGCTGCCGCCGACGCTGCTGCTGCCGACGTCGCTGCCGACGTCACCGCCGCTGGCGGAGGCGCAGCCACACGTAGGGTCGTCTTCTTGCTGAGTGCCTGAGGAGACCAGAGGGGCGCAGGAGGAGGAGGGGGAGGAGGAGGGGGAACTGCGAAACGTCACGTGCTCACGTTACGTCACGTTTGTGAGGATGGACCATGGAGGCCAGGAGTGTAAGGTGGCGTGCGCCCAAGATTGCCACGTCCGCAAGGGAAGGCACAATGTGAGGTGCTCTGCGGTCTGGCCTAGGATCCCTCCTAGCATCGCTCCTGTTTCACGCACTAACGCCCCCACCCCCTGCATCCCTGCATCCTTGCACCCAGCTTCCCGCCATCACCTGCAGCTTCACTCTCAGGCTGGCCACGTGCATGTCTGCGTGCATGCAGGCAGGCAGGGCAAGCGGGCATACACATGCACACTGGGGGTTCTGTTATCATAAAGAGTGGTACGAGATGCTACCGGTACGTTGAGGATGGTGGCAAGGCCGGTACATAAGAGCCAGCCGGAGGTGGGGAATGAGAGAGGAAGACGGAGGAGGCGGACGAGCAGGTGTAGCATACCGATACACAACACACCCACCCACGGTCAGTTTCCTGTTTTTACCCTGCTCACCGCCCAGGGCTCGTAACGCCTGCAGCCGCAACCCCATCTGCACATCCCCCACCCGCCCGCACAGCCGCATGAACGCGTCGTCCACCAGGCGCGCCGCCACGCCAAAGTGGGTGCCGTACGGCAGATCCGGCGGAACCAGCCTGCCCGCCAGCTCCGAAACCAGGCAGATGGCGGCGGCACGCACCTCCTCCGCTTCGTCCTCGAGTGCAGGAGCGGCGGCGGCGTAGGCGGAGGTGGCGAGCGCGGGGTGCAGACGACGGGGTGGGTGGCGGTGGTGGGGGTGGGGGTGGCTGGGAAGGTGAGGGTTGTTGGCAAAGAGGGTGGCTGAGGGGGCGGCAGCAGCAGCAGCAGCAGCGGCAGCCGCCATGCAAACCTGCGGGTGCAGCGACAGCAGCAGCAGCAGCAGGAGCAGCAGCGGTAAGAGCAGCGCATGCTCTGGCGTACCATTGCTAGGAACGTGCTCCCACCATGTTACCCCTCTATGACATCAGTCACCGTCACTACCCCCGCAACATTCCTAGGCGGGAACCTGACCCATTCAAGCACCCAAGCTGGCCCCATGCCTCCCTGTGGTTTCCTCTATCTGGTTTGCTCTATCTGTAACCCTCATCCCTGCCTCATCCCTGCCTCATCCCTGCCTCATCCCTGCTGCTGGGTTATCCTATGGTCACGGTCAGTGGTTCCTCGCGGCTCAGTTTATCTAATCCCTGCTGCTACGCCCCCTGCCGCCACGCCCCCTGCCCCCCTCCCTCCCAGGGCCCACCTGCTGCATGCCCCGCAGTGCCGCCGCCCGGGGCCGCGGGTGCGGGTGCCCGCACAGCCCTCGCAGCGCCGCCCAGCCGGGGCCGTCCACCACCCGGCGACCATCAGCCGCAACCTCACCAACACAACCCTCCTCCCGACGCGTCCCACCCGGCCAGCAGGCAGCACGCTCGCCCTCCTCCATCTCGCCGTCTTCCCCTGCTGCTGCTGCCTCCTCGCGCTCCTGAATCTCTCCATCCTCGGCCCCTGCATTGTCCCCGTGCTCCGCAGCCACAGCCTGCTGCTGCCACTGCTGCTGCCGCCGCCGCTGCTGCGGACCCTGCGACGGTCCCGACGGCCCCCGCGGTGGCGGCGGCAGTAGCAGCTGCAGCTGCATGCAGCAGCCTAGCAGCCGCGCCGCCGCCACCACTGCGTCCACGTCAGCACACCTGCCGTACAACGACGATACGGCGATAGCCGTTAAGCGTTCGGCGTCACAACGCGGTTCGTACAGCACCTCTGACGCTACTGCTCGGAGCGCCGCAATATCTGCTACGGCTTCCCCAGTACAGCTCGGTCGCATGGATGCATGGGTTTCACCCTCGGTGCCGTTTTGCACAGGCTGCTGCTGCTGTTGCTGTTGCTGCTGCAGCCGTTGTTGATGTTGTTGTTGTTGTTGCTGCTGTCCTTGCTGTTGTCGTCTGGTGGCTTGGAGCAGCAGTTGTAGAGCCGCGGACAGCACCTCGGCTAGCGCTGTCAGTGCAGCCCTGATGAGGGGTTTAATAATGGGCAGAGAGGTAGGAGGTGCGAGGGAGGGAGAGAGGTGGGGTCACCATGCTAGTATAGAGAGGAGTATACCAAGGAGGAGGTTTCAAGATTTGGGCGTGTCGACTTGCTTACGGATGCACCCACAAGCCAGTAAAGGGTCGCATTGCTGATGGGTTCAATGTTGCAAAACATGACGGTATGAGCGATTATATCATGCAGTGCCCACTGTTCCATCAGGACCATCACATCTCGGTATAGAGCTGCGTGTATGCCTTGTTACCTAGGCAGGGACCCTGCAATCCCCTGCCCCCTTCCCACGCCGCCAATCCCATCCGCTCCCCCGTGTCATACCGCCTAGCTCATACCGCTTCATCCCACCTCCTACTTGCACCCCACCTGGTCGCAGCCGCCGGTGCCGTCACGTCCGCTGCTGCCTCCACCAGCCAACACACAGCCCCTCGCAGCAGCACCCCTGCGCTGCTGTCGCCGCCACCTGCTCCATCTCCCCCCTGAGGCTCACTGCTAGTGCCCTTCCTAGTGCTACTGCCCCTACTGCCGTACAATCCCGCCCTAGCAGCCAGGCCTAGATCCCCGAGGAGCGCTACTGCCGTCGCTGCTAGCGCGGCTACGTGGAGGTCCGCGGCTGGAGCTTTGGAGCCGTGACGTTCTGCTGCCGCCAGCAGCTGCTGCAGCCGCTGCAGTGACGGCGATGCATGCTGGGGCGGCAGCGGCGGGTGCTGGTGGAGTCGCGGTGGTAATGGTGCTTGGGGCAGTGGTGGTCTTAGGTCTGTTGTTGTAGTAGGCGGCACTGATGGTTGTAGTGGTGGTAGCGATGGGCAGGGTGCGGTTATTGGGGTGTCAGGGGCTATCGCCGCTAGTGCTGATGCTGGTTGTGCAGAAGATGGAGCGGAGGAGGCAGGCGGGAAGTGGCTTTGTATGTGAGGCGGGAAGGGGTTGCCTTGTGCATGGTCGCGGGGTGGGAGTTGTGCGACATCAGCCGTCGTGGGAAGGGACTGACGGGGAACCAAATTGCTGAAAGTAAATGCGGGGTTCTCAGGAACCCGGTTGCTTATGCCACGTGGAATGTCCTGTGAGAAGGGCGGCGGACGTGCGACAAGCGCCGCGCATAGTGCTGTAAGGTCGGTCATCGCGAAAGGCCGCCCTACCCGCGTATCTCCTGAGTTAGAATGAGTGAACTTGATGCCCTTATGATATCAACCGACATGTTTTGTAGCGCCAAATTACTAGTGACGGTGTTGCGCGCTTTTAACTATGGCTTGCAGTGCGGGCGAGGGTTTCAGATCAACAGTGTCGCTAATTGCTAATGTTGTCACCTGACATTTAACAGTATTAAGATCGGCTGGAGTTGCAGGTGGGGAAACGGTTCTCAACGAACGTACTGCATCCTGTGAGACGGGTTGTAACAGCGGAACGTCGTGGAAGGCTGGCGAGGATTGCGATTAGTTTGTCGGGATGCTCTTCATGCGCGTCAAGGAGATCAAGGCCTGTTTCGTATTGGTTGGCTACCGGTATGCGCTAGCCTGAACCCCAGCTTACCAAATAGTAAGCCCACGAACAGTGACTCTTACAAACAAGACCAACTCAAATGCTTAAAACGTAAGCTAGCGCTGCAACTTGCGGGTCAGTTGATATTCGTATCGGCGTTGAATGTTCGCATGCACAGTCCGCTGAGCCTGTACGGCACATCGTTGAGCCTGGCCTTCCTTATTAGCCGTCCGCCTTTCTCCTGGAATAGTGTACTCTGTTTAACCGTTGTATGCTTACCTCACACTTGCGCTCTATAAAGCGCTAGCTGAGCCTTCCTGCACCAGCAGCGGCGACTGCAAGCTTGAGAGGGGAGCAAGTCGACTGACCCTAAAGGTTAGTTGCACCAGCTTTATATGTGCTTCTTGTCCACACTGCAGTTGCTGGGTTCTCAATGTGGGGACACTGAGCGGGACCACTGTGCGGGCACGATCCTAAGCTCTGGCGCCAGCCCTGCTCGCAATAGCCCATTTCCTAAAGTTTATATCGCATACGTTTACGTTGGTTTTGTTTGGATGGAAGGACGGACCAAAGGGCTTGCCTGGAAGGTCCTTGCCCCGTTGACCGTTCTCGGAACTTTGGCCAGCCTGCTGACCAGGCAGCCCGCTCTATGTATTCATTGCAACCGGCCATCCGTTACATTTTTGCGCGTTCCTGTCGGGATATTTTCGGCAAGCTAGTGCAGGGGCCCGTGGGGCATAGGGGCTTGTCGAGCACCAAACGCGGCACATGGTGTACCCTTTTCTGCCGTCGCGCTCATTTTTTTCGTATTGCATGCTATCCGTACGTTTCCTCTTTGCATATTTTGCGGAAAGCCCTATATGTCCGAGTGCACTTGTAATAAGTGCATTGAGCCGCCTAACCCTGCCCTTTTCCATTTCCCACGCGCAGGGAGGCAGTCAAGTTTACACTCGGGACCATCTTTATGAAGGGCATCGAACAAGTGATCAAAGAACAACTTGACAAACAGAAGAAACAACCGGAGGAACTAGTAACTCTCGTCCTTGACAGCACCTGCAAATCCACACACGTTAAGGTACAGGATGCTAACGCTTTGACCTAATTGGTTTGCATGTCGTATAGCGAGACGGCGCTGCCCACATGATCTAGACCTGCCCCCTGTGCATCCATAGCTGTTAGCGGTGGGCTGGGTTAACTTGGCGGGAGCGTTGGCAAGCATCCCCTTGCACCTTTCCAATCTTCACCCCATTCTGCTTCTCCGCCTCCCCACATGCCATGCATCCTAAGCCCTCCAACCTGCAATCCGCAGGGTCTCGACGCATTCGTAAACCTCAAGTCACTCTCACTCTGCAGCCTCGGACTTACCTCCCTCGAGGGATTCCCCAAGCTTCCAAACCTAGTCCACCTCAACCTCTCCGATAACCGCATCACAGGTCGGTGGCCGCACGCGCTCGCGCTGCACACCCCTGTGCGCCCCGCCTCGCCCCACATAGTATAACACCCGTCCGTTTGCCCACATCCCACTTCACACCTCAGATGCGGCATCTTGCAATGCTCCCGCACTCTCTCGCCTTTCCCTCCTACCCCTAACCAACGCCCGTTTCAACGCATGCCGTTGAAAACCCCATACAGTGCCTCTTCTCCAGCTCCAAGCTCCATCCAATACCCGCACCCTTCTCACCCATTCCCATCACCTCCCTCCCTTCCCTTCCCCTCCCCCCCAGGCGGCCTGCAACACCTGGTAGACGCCGGCCTCACCTCCCTGCGCACCCTCGAGCTCGCCAACAACCGGCTCGCCCGCCTGTCCGACCTCGAGCCGCTCAAGTCGCTGCCAGCGCTGCAGGTGCTGGACGTGGACGCCTGCCCGCTCACCCGCACCCCCGACTACAGCTCCGACAAGGTATTCGCCATGCTGGACGAGCTCAAGTACCTGGACTCGTACGACCGCAAGGGCAACGGTGAGGAGGGGAGGCGGGGCGAGGAGTGTCAGCATGGGCGTGTGAGGATTGTGTGTTAGGAAAACGGTGTGTGTCTTTGAGGATGGGGACGTGAAAGGGGGGCTTGATATAGCTGTGGTGGTGTGATGGAGTCTGTCTGACAACATGAAGCAATGAAGCCCCAGAAGGTGCTGACTGACACACCCACCGCTGCTGCTGTTCCCCCGTACCACCCGCAGAGCGGGACGGCGACGAGGAGGAGGATTTTGATGAGGAGGGAGGAGAGGAGGAGTTCGACGCTGAGGGCGGTGGCGAGGTAAGCGGACTCGCCTTTTAGCTGTTGCCGCTCTTTACTACCCCTAGTTGCACTACTAAAGCGCCAGCTGCGCGATGTTCAGAAATACCGTATTCCGCCGAGCCGTTCCGCTCCGGCCGCTGCATGCCTCTTACGGCTAACCATGCCCCGTCTGCGGTCGCACGCAGGAGGAGTATGAGGACGAGGAGGGCGGCGAGTTCGAGGAGGAGGTAAGCAGCTTGGGCTCTTGAGCTGGGATTAGGGGTCGCTGCTGCGCGAATGCGGGGCTGCCATAGCAGCAGGTGCTGCCGGGGTTGTATGATCCGCGTCCTTGCTGACGCTTCTCCTCCTCCTCCCTACGCCCTCTCCTCCGCCTCCTCCCAGGATGAGAAGGAGTATGCCATCCTTGTGGTATGTAGCGCGACGGCTGCCGCTGCTGCTGATGGGGACATGCCATGCACTGCACCGCTAGTTGTTGCCGCGGCCTTCGCTTTCACTTGTCGTGCTGCGGTTGCGTTGTGTGCAGTACATACCGTTGCAACGACCTAACCGTCCCTCCGTACATTCGTTGTCGCAGGGCCCCGATGCCATAGGCGAGGACGAGGAGGGTGACTACCAGGACGAGGGAGAGGGCGACGACGAGGACGAGGGCGAGGATGAGGACGAGGGTGCCGCGCAAGGTAAGGGGTGGGTCCCCAACATGGGGAGCGGCTGATCAAGGATGAACTTGTTACTCTTTGCTCTTGTGAGCTAGCCTAGTATTGTTTGCGTGGTCTGAAGGTTTCGGTGCCTTGGGAGGTGTTGTTGTGGGCTCTGTCGGTTTCCTTGTTGACGTCATCCTTCCCTTGTGCAGGCACCAAGAGGAAGCGCGAGGAGGAAGAGGAGGAGGAGGACGAGGGAGAGGAGGGCGACGAGTAAAACCCTTGCCTATCGTTGGCTTTGCTTGCGGGGACTGTCCTTCGGATCTTCGTTTACTCTGAATTACATGTTGCTACGCCCCGTAACTCTACTCACCACTTGACGCGTAAAGCATTGTTGTAGTTGAAGATACTTGAAGTGTCGCGGAGTGTCGTTAGCACGCCAGTGTAACCTATCATCATCCTTGTGGCCGCAATCAGACACCAGACAGGCGGTGGCGACCAACAACCCCATTGATGGCGGTGCTGCCTCACATGTGAACATCGGGCCGTTCTGTTGTACCCCTTGAAGCTGTGTAGACGGTTCACCATGCATTCTCGATGTGTACAGACCACCACAACTGAGTAACTCTCCAGACCGGGCGACTAGCGTGTGTGTGTATAGTTGAGTAGCGTGTATGTGTGTACGACATGAACCCAGCGGCCGCATGTGAGTGTTTCCATGTGAGCTTCCTGTTACCCGCTCGGACTGTCATCGTGAGCATTTCCTTGTAACAACACCTGCGTCAGTCCTTTTCACTCAAGCCGTGCGCTAGGAGGCTGTGAGTGTTCCAGTGAGTTGCAGTGTTGATGTTGCCGTGGGCCTCGTCTCCCAAGCAGTGATACGGTATATATATCGCACAAGCCCTCAAGTACAACAGCACTGCATTGTACGGCACAACCAAGCGTTAACACCAAAACACCTGCCTCGCACCAGCGCACAACCATGCGCTTGCTTTCTTCCGTGCCACCATATGGTTCCCCCTAGCTCAACCCACTTCCAGGAAGCTTCCTAGGTTCTCTAGTAACGTACTAAGTTACCATTCGAAGCAGGCGCCGCAATGCCGAGCCCCCTACTCCCTAACTGCCGTCCGGGCAAGCTATCCGGGCCTCGCGCATTACTTCCTTATTTACTCGCGCACATGTACACTACGTGTGTCCAGGACTGCGAACCCAACCCCCCTCCCTCCTACCCAACCGCTCTGGGTTGCACCGGGTGCTGCACGAACCCTAACCGCATCCCCCTCCTCCTGTGCGGGGTTAACCCCCAAGCCCGACTCCGAAACACCTCCTAACCAAGACCTTCACTCAGGCCAATACCATACACTGCACGCATATCCAGTAATATGCGTTGTCTGCCACCTATATATACGCAGGCGCCCATGCTTGCTGGACACCAGAACAAGGCCGCCTCCAACCCAGCCCAACCCAGCCAGTTGATTAATCCTTCCCTTCCATCCCATGCCAATCCAAGCCCAGCCCTCTCCTCGCCACGAGCAACTCCTTAAATGTTGACGGAGAACTTGTTGGCCAGGTCCTGCCGTGACAGCAGCGCGCGGAACTCCTCCATGTCCAGCTTGTTGTCGCCGTCGCGATCGAACTCGCTGCGGGGTGGGGGGGGAGGGATAGGGCTCCTCATTAGGCTGGATAGTGGGGTGGAGGGGAAGAGGAGGGAAGGCGTGCATGGGAGGGGTGCAGGCAGGGTAGGATGGCCGCAGGTGGAGAGCGGAAACACGCGGATCGATGCGCTACTTCCTAAGTGTTGATGAAGCTACACAGATGAAGCTACACAGAAGCTACGCGGAATGAGGAGCTACGCGAGGGAAGCTGCGCACCTCATGGTATTGTACACGACCTGTGCAGCGCCGGCAGGTGGCGTCCGCGATATGCAACGGAAGGGGGAAGAGGACGGGTAGGGGGAAAGTGCAACATACACACAAGGACATAAGATGCAGCCTTGACAAGCAGCAAAGCGCGAGCAGAAGGGATGATGCGCGAGAGGCGTCACACTCCATGGACGCCTGGTTAGCAGTGCTCTTTTCAAATCGGTGCATCAGCTACCTTCCTCCCCCACCCGGTCCCCGCCTCCCCCACCTGCTCCAGCTGCGCATCCGGGTAGGTGTTGCCCAGCAGCATGTGCAGCACGTCGAAGAGCTCGTCACTGGAGATGAGGCCGTCCTTGTCAGTGTCGTACAGCCGGAACGCAACTGGCGCGTTGGTGGCGCAATTGGTGGTGGGTAGGTAGGGAGGGAGGGGGGAGCAGCTTAGGGCGGAGGAGTGGGTTTGTTGGGTGGGGCGGGCGGAGGGACGAGAGAGAGGGCAGCGGAGAGAGGGCAGCGACAGGGCATGCAGGCAAGCAAGGTCGTATGGGGATGGACGGGCCACTACTCACATTTGTACTGCTCCTCCTCGTCCTCAAGCTTTCCAAAGTACTCGAGGGCCTAGAGCAGATGGGGTGGGTCGGACAACGAGAACAACGAAGTCATAAAGCCACAAACACGTGCTACGAGTACCGGTAGGTAAAAATTGTGGTACGGAAGTCGCGTTTGGTTAGAGTTTAAGCGACAGGGGTGAGTAGCTGAGTACTAATTCAGGCAACGGATACGACAGCTTATGGAAGCCCGCAGGGGTTCCTGGATGCCTTTTATGATCAAGGCTCTTGTGTTCTAGGGTTTGGGCGACGTTTGGTGGACATTAACACCAGTCAGGGCAAGGTAAGAAGGGTGGCGGAGCCTGCTGGCTAAAAGAGAACAGGAGATACGGAATGTGCTGCGGGGTTAAGGCCCGACGCACCTGTGTGAACTCTTCGAGGTTCAGTGACCCGTCACCGGATGTGTCGAAGAGCTTGAAGATGCGCGGGATGAATGGATTGGCGCCTAGCTCAACCATGCTCTGGAATGCTGAGATGTTGACCTTTCCATCCTTGTTGGCGAGCCGAAGGAATCGACGTTGAAGCCGCTCAACATCCTTTTTATTAAAGCCGCCCTCTACGCTTTTTCCTTGTTGATTACCCATAATCACCTATCGGTGTGACGCTTAATGCCAAACCCCGTCGAAATCATGTAAGGAACTGGGACAAAGAAGGCGGAAGGTTCCAAATGTAGAGCTGACACTATTCCTCTGCCACCCAATTGTCCTCTCCAGCAAGCTTCACGGCCTTAGTATAGGATTGTCCAGGAGGTTACACAGCGTATGGAATAGCTAGGAAAAGTTTACGCGATTTGGGCTGGAAAAACTTCCAAGTATATGCTCTACCTACTGTTGCAAATGGTCTCTAAAAATTATGCCTGCGCTTTTGCGGTTTTTTGCCATAGCAGTAGATCGCTACCTTCCGTCGCAGCTGGATCCAGTGCCGTATGCTATGCATGGCTAACAGGAGCTCCGGTCCCCCTTGTAACTTTCGCATTCTAACAGGGAATCGTGCAAATCACTGCGTGGTAGACAGAGTACACCTGCTATGCATGCGCTTTCCGGGCTGTCAACTTGGTGAACAACATCGACATGCACACAAGGTGTACGACCTGTCGCCTACCAGTGAGCATTCCGAGTCAGAAAAGAATATACCGTAGTGCGGCCTGGTCGTTACCCGTCAAGCCAAGCTGCCATTTCGGTTGCTTGCCTGGTTAAAGTCCACCAAGTCCACCAAGCCCAAGTACCATAACACCTCCAAGCCATGCTTCATGTTGCCACGAGCCGCCCCTCACGCGTGCTGCTAGGACTAACCTCATGCTAGCCCTTCGCGGGGTGACACCCTTGCCACATTTCAGAGCAAACGCCGCTCAGTATGCGCCCGTGAAGTCACATAGGTTGTTGAGGCACCCACACGTGGGTAAAGAGCATCAGGACGGACCTTAAGACATGAGGCGTATGATACAAGCTAACCATCACGACAGGGCCCATGCCACGAGTATTGGCAGGTTACGGTAAGCAACCAACGCCGCTCAAGCTCCTAGCGTGTTCACACACGTAAACCTTGGGCACCGTGTAGGCAAAGCCACAGCCAGCAAGCTACCGGTCTGCTAGGTCTTGCTGGCTGGGGTGGCAGCCGCTGATGCTGCTGTTCCCTCCCGGTCCGGCCGGAAGCGCTGAGCCGCATTCGCCAGCGCCACGCACGTCTCCAGCACTGCGGGGGTGGGCACACACCAGGCGCCAGGAGGACCAGGCAAGGCACATTTGATTCGGACATTTTGGATTGGACCTTTCGGTTGTTGTTGTGCGGTTTGAACATGGCTTAACACACAAATGGACATTGGCGGCCGGCGCCGGTGTGCTGGTGCGTGTAATCAGGCCCCTTGAAGCAGATCCCGGGCCAAGGAACAGCAGCAGCATAGCTCGCCGGGTGCCCCTTTCCTAGCTGACGACCTCGTATAACCCCTTGAACGCCACATGCAACACCTCTTTTCGTACGACTAACAAGTCCCCATCTTTTAATGCCCTGTATGCCTCTACCTTAAGCCTCACAGGTAGCCAAGCTCGCAAGGTCCTGCAAGACTCACCCGCTTTGAACTGCCCCTGCGCCTCCTTCAGCGCCGGCGGCAGCAGCACGCCAAACCACTGCAGCGGATCCTTCGCCACCCGCTCCTTGCGACCGCCCCTTCCTCCCTTGCCACTGCCGCCACCACCGCCCCTCCTACGCCCGCTGCTGCTCTCGCCCTGGCTGTCGCCGTGAGCCCTGTCGCGCCCCTTGCCGCCCTCCCCTCCTGCCTCGTCATCCTGGAGGCCATCTGCCTGCATGCGCATGCGCCGCAGGAACTCATGCGCCTCACGCAACATCTCTTCCTCCTCTTCCTCCTCATCATGGTCCTCCCCGTCGCTCCCTCCGGAGGAGGAAAACACCCCCGCCAAGTCCTCCTGCTCCTCGCCCTCCTTCGGGACCCTCTCCCCGGCTCGACCAGACGGGACTTCCCCTCCACGCCCTCCTCGCCCTGCCGCTGATTGCTCCAGCTGCTCCGGAACCGCTGATTGGGCAAGCGGAGCTTCTCTCCCAGTCGTATTCGTGGTTCTGGTGCTGGCCGGACCTTGTGTCGATGCTGCTGATGCTTGCGAGCCAGCCGCCGAGGGTGATGTGTTGTTTGTCTCTGTCGAGGGGCCAGAGCCAGGCTGGACGGCAGGGTTGGCCTTGCTGAGGCAGAGGTTGGTGCGGCAGCGGCTGGGGCCCGGCGGTTGTGTGCTGCTGCTGGTGGCAGTAATGCGGGCGGTGGCCGACATGTCCATGTCGTACTGCGCCTGACCGATAGGACCCATTGAGTATTTGGCCTTGGCAAGGCTCAGCAGTCCCTGGGGCATGAGGCACATGGGGAGAGAGTTGGCGACGCGATGCGACGAAGTGCTAGGTTGCGGAGAACGCAGACGCGGAAGATGGGACAGAGCGTGCTTGACGCAAGGAGCAACGTGAATAAGGAGGATTAGCGGGGTTTACCTGTTTCAGCTGATCTTGGAGCTTAACTTGCAGTTGCAGGTACTCCTGAGCAGAAACGAAATATGTCACATCCGCATGGCAATTGGCACTGAGCGTCCCGATCAAACGCCATACAATAAAGGAGCGGTACGCTTCAATAAGCACATACCTGTATTGCATCCATGGACTCCACGAACTCCAGCTCCGCAAGTTGGCAACCACCATCGTCGCCCTCGCGCCCAGCTGCCTGGTCATCACTCGTGCTTTGGGAATCAGACATGTTTTAGACACCGTACCTTGTTGAAGATTCCAAGGCAATGCACGCTGGCCTATGAGCAATGACCTTCTAGCCGTGCTTCGGAGCAGGCTATCATAGCACGCGAAGACGCCACGCCAGACGCCACTATCCCGCTCATCACCGATTTATGTAGTGGCCTGAACTGTTCTGTCGACACTATACCTTGTTCAACGTTTTCTAGCTGAGAAACGGCTGCTCAGTTACTCTTAAATCGTGGTTCTGGTTCCAACATCAATTCAGCAGCAAAGATGTGCACTGACATATATGCTTTATAACGTTAAAACTATTGAGCTGGCTCGTCAACGGCTTGGGGCAGCTTGCTGCGGCTGTCGAGCGGTCTTGTACCGAGGTGGCTGCCTCGAACTCGCCCGGCCGACTTGCCCAGCATGAGCCTTGCGGGATCAGCGTTGCTCTCCGGTGGTCTTCGTAGCGCGTCACAGCTTAGCACGCCGCTTGCTTCCGGGGACGCCGGCACCCCGCCCATGCGTCGCGGACTCTCACGCCTTGGCTCAGGCCTCACTGACAACGGGTCACAGCTTTTCATGCTCCAGCGATGGGTGGGGTCTGGAATGATGACTGGGCCGCTCTGGGGCCTTGGCAGGTGCGTTGGTAGCTTGCAATGCTCTTAGACATTTGTGCAACCCAAGCCTTTCCTCGTCAGTCCACTCGTCTAACAAAGTATTGCGACCTGCTCTCTGCTCCTTGCCTAAGCAGCCCTCGTTTCTTGGCGTCCTTGCAAGCCTTAATACCTTCCTCCAACCGTTCATGTCGTACGGATGCTGTCCGGCAGGCACCGGCTGTCTGACGCGGCGGCCCTGCGAGCGTACGGCAGCAGCACCAGGCCTCAGCCTGGGGGTCGAGAGGTGCGTGGGGCTGCTGGGTTGGTGGGCTACACGTTATAAGGCTTAAGACGCTTCATTAAGCCATATGGGAAGAGAGGAAACGGTAGAGGAAACTGGAGGCACGTAGCAGGGGATGCTGGAGTCAATACCAGATCGCCGTACCTCCCGATCCGGATCCGAATCTCAGCCAGCTGTACCGTACACTAGTACTCGCCGCTCGAAGGGCGCAGCGAGCGAGTGGTCGAGCAGGTTGCTTCAGACGTGGGATGGCCGCCTTAAACTTCCTAAACGCGCCTCTGCCCCTTCCTCAATCGCCTGCCCCTCCCTCCAATTCTTCGTCATCCAGCAAGCGCCGGTGCCGCACGTGCCGCTGGACAAGGAGCATGTGAACGCACAGCGAATGCAGGTGAGTGTGGGTGGGTACATGTGTGCTTATAAAACTGGCCGCGGGTCGCGGAACGTGAACTGTGATTGCCGCCGGAAGGTGAAGCCCCCCCCACAGAGGCGTGGTGGCGGTGGATGGGCGGGGGACCTGGGGCCTGACTGCGGGAGTGAGTTCGGAAACAGGAACGTAGGAAGTTGGGATTGATGTGGATTAAGGTTTGGAGGCGATGACGCAATGTCAACGCGGCCGTTTCCTTTGCAGTCCATAGCTGCTTTAACTGGAAATCAACTGACGACCGCTAACCTACCCTTTTTCCGCGGCCCTGCTTCACTGATATCCACCCGCAGAGGGAGGCAGCGCGCCTGAGCAAGTAAGCAGCCGGGGACCGGGCCCGGTTGTGGCCTTGTTGGGCTGTTCCTGGGGAAAAGCCCTACAGGCTGGTTCCTGCATGCCGCATGTTTATGTTCTATGTTTATCTGCTCCTGTGTTGCATGTTTTGCGACGCATCTCAAGCGCTATGTTTCCTCGCTGCATCCCGTAACCAAAAGGACGCCCACATGTACTACATGCTGCCACACGCGGAGCCAGCTCCCTCCCTCCGCCTGCACCGCTATGTACTTATTAGCACTTAATGAAATCATGCAACCCTTGCAACCGCGCAGGCAGTACGACAACCCCGACCCTAGGGAACTAATGCGCCTGTCGTACCAAGCAACAAAGGCCAGCGGGGGCCAACAGCCCCACACGGCTCCCATGCTCCTTCAGGAGCGCTCGGGGCCAGCACGGCTGCCACCGCCACCGCAGCAGCAGCAGCACCAGACTGTACAGCAACAGCAACAGTCGCCACCGCTGCAGCAGCATAATCAGCTGCAGCAGCAGCAACAGCAGCAGCCACATGTAGGGTGGCAATCCACGGTTGCGTCACCGCAACCGGCAGTAGAGGTTGTAGAAGCTGAGGAAGCTGCATGGGAAACCGCAGCGGCTACAGCACCAGCAGCAGCAGCAGCAGCGGTGTTTCAACAGGCACCATCACTGCATGCCGACCTGGGTCCCGCCGCCCCCCCGCAGCATCCCGCTGCCCAGCTGCAGCAGCAGCACCACCAACAGCCCTGGCGACACCCGCAGCACCCGCAACTGCACCAGCAACACCAGCCGCAACTGCAACACCAGCAGCAGCAGTATCTTCAAGAGCAGCAGCCGCAGTACCCACCGGAAATGCAACAGCAGCTGCAGCCGCAGCCGCAGCAGTATCTTCAAGAGCAGCAGCAGTCGCATTATCCACAGGAACTGCAGCAGCAGCAGTATCTTCAAGAGCAGCAGCAGTCGCATTACCCTCAGGAAATGCAGCAGCAGCTGCAGCCGCATGGGGTGCTCCAAGACCAATGGGCCCCGCAACACTATTACGGCGGGCAAGGGCAACCACAGTATTATGGGGACACGCAGCCTGAGCAGCAGCAGCAGTACTACTCACAGCAGCACTTGCCATCGGAGCTGGGCTCTTCACCCTGGGCCCTTGAAAGCCCGGAGCACCCGCAGCAGCAGCAGCAGCACCCGCAGCCTCAGCTGTTCCATCCCGCTCTGCATCCCGAGCAACACAACTACCCGCAGGAGGGGCAGCCGCAGCAGCAGTACCTGCAGGACCAGCAGCAGCAACACCAACAGCACCCGCAGCAGCAACACGAGTTGTATGCTCTGGCCGCAACTTGGCCCCAGCACTCGCACGCCGCAGCAGACGGCCAAACCACGGCAGCCTGGATACACCCGCAGCAGCAGCAGTTGCAGCAGCAGCAGTTGCAAGGTGACCACCTCCTAACAGCCCAGCAACACCACCCCTCCTACTACCATCAACAGCAGCCGCAGCTGCTGTATCAGCACCAGCAAATACGAGGCCTGCACAGCCAGCAACAACCTCCAACCGCCACCACCAATACCAGCCACCTGGAAGCCCAAGACAGCGGGCTGGACGACCTGTCATGGGCGGAGCCCCCCTCGCCGCTGCCACTCCCGCCACTGCCGCCTCCTCCACAGCTTCAGGTCCCCGAGGAGGGGGGATTGCATCATCATCATCAGCAGCAGCAGTCATGGCAAGCGCACATGCAGCAGCAGCAGTCGGAAGCAGCACCAGCAGCCGCACCAGCAGCAACAGCAACAGCGCTGTCTGAGGCTATACTAGACACCTTGCGTCGCAGTAGCAGTCCGGGGGGGCCGCGGTCCTCCGGTGCAGGGGAGCCGCCCGAGCACCAGGGGGGCTCCATGTGGGCTGGGGCCGAGCAGGGGGCACCCGCTGGCGGCAGCAGCGATGCGGGCGGAGAGGGAGGCGGGGCAGGACAAGGGGAGGCGGGGGCGTTGCTGCCTATGTTGGGTGGACGTCGCAGGAATGCGAGGAGCTTGGTGAATGAGGTTGAGGCGGTGCGCAGCCGCGTGCAGCAGCAGGTGGCGGCGGCTGCAGCAGTGGAGGCCACAGCTGCTGGCGCAGGCGGCGGAGAAGCTATTCTAGCAGCGCCACCGCTACTGCCACGGCGACTCCGGCAACCGTACCAAGACGGAACGGGCGAGGTAGGGGCGCAGCCGGCGCCGGTGGCGTCAGCCACATGGGTATCCCCAGCGGAGGGTGCGGCTCAGGAGGGGCTGGGTGGCGGCATGTACGGCAGCGGCATCAGCGGCAGCGGCGAGGGAGTGTACGGCGCTGACGGAGGCGTGGCCGTACAACAGCCCCTAGCGGAGGCGGAGAGATGGGCCGCAGGGCCGCCGCTGACGTCAGCATTGACGCCGCCGCCGCCGCTGCCACCGCCGCCAGCCGGCTCCTGGGGTCCGGAGGCGGAGGCAGCGACGGCGCGGCCGCCGCCACCTGTCACAGAGGCGCCGCTAGCGGCAGGGGCGGCGGTGGCGGAGGCGGTGCCAGAGGGCGTTGCCGTACTGTCGGACCCCTCGTCCACGAGCGGTACGACGGCTTCCGTACTTCCTGAGGCCGCAGAGGCCGCCGCGGCGGAGGCTCCCAAGAAGAAAACCACGAAGAAGCGGATTCTGGGAAAGACGAAGAAGAGCGCTGCAGCGGCGGCGCCGGATGAAAGCGGCTCCGCTGGCGCAGAAGGGGAATCTGCCGCCGCCGCCGCCGTCGCCAGCCCTGCCAAGCGCACACGTAAGAAGTCCGCCGCCGCCGCCGCATCGCCGTCGGCCGAAGCTGGCGACGCCGCCGCCGCCACCGCCGCCGCCGCCGTTACTGCTGCTCCGATAGGCCGACCTCCCGCGGCTGCCGCCGCCGCCGTTGCGCCGTATTTGGCGGAGGGGCTGCTGGCGCCGGCGGAACCGCTGACGATTGATGGGGGATACTACCAGGTAGAACACGGAGTAGGGCCGAGTCACAGAGAGTTACTGGTACTTCCTCCCCTCCCCGCCGCCACCTATTCAACATTCGTGCTTTCGACTTCTTCCACACGTGTGTTTGTTGTCGCCGCACGGGTTTCCTGAACCCCTTATTCCCTCCCTCCCTGCCACCCCCCTCCCTGCCCCCTCCCTCCCTGTCTTCCTCTCCCCCTCCCCCCCCACCCACCCCCAGGTTGTGGAGGGCTACGCCACCCGGCAGCCGCTGATGACTCAGGCGGCTCCCGACATCCTGGTGGTGGACACACGTGAGGGGGAGGGGGGATTATAAATAACGTGAACAACACAGTCCCAATCCCGAATCCCGACTCATGCAATGGAGGGGGGGGGGTAGAGGGCGGGGGAGGGGGTCAAGGGGAAGACACTGGCGAGGAGGAGGGTCAGTGACAGGGAGGGACGGCTATGTGGGGTGGTGAGTGGTCTCGGACACATACACAAAGGGGGGGTGTACCTCCGGGCTGACCGAAGGCTCTCTTGATTGGCCTCTCACTGTTTGGCGCCTCCTTGACGCCAACGAACCTCCTCATGTCCCCCTCCCTGCATGCTCCCCCGCCTCCTCCTTCCCCCCCTCCTCCATGCACTCACTGCCTGAGTCGGTATTTGGGATTGGACTCTAGTTGTTTGCACTTATTATATAATTTCCCCCCTCCTGCTTCCCTCCTCCTCCCCCAGCCGAGGTGGCCCGGGCGGTGGTGGACCGGCTGCTGTCGGTGGCCGCCAGCCCCTACCCCGCCGCCCTCGACCGCAGCAACCCCGCGGTGCAGTACCGCTACTTTGGATGCGACACGGAGGTGGGAAGGGGGGATGTTAAGAGGAAACAACTAATTGACTGTGTGATGAGGCGTCATCGTGGTTTACATGGTGGTGGGGGGGCGGGAAGGGGGGTGACCGGGGGAGGGGATAGCAGTACGGCAAAGTACGGCACATGGCTTCACCCACTGGTTTGGCATAGTGAAGTGCGCGTTCGCCGCCCAATTCGCAACCTTTACCCGCTTTTGCGGTTTCGACGACGGTACACTTAAAACATATCATGCATCTCCATGTTTCCCCAACTCCCCCACCACCCCTCAGGTTGCCTTTATCGACGTCACCTCCGAAACCCCGGTGGGCCATGGTGCCGTACTGTGCTTCAGTATCTACGCAGGAGACGACCTGGACTTTGCGGATTGCGCACTGGCAGCCGCCTCCGCCGCCTCCGCCGCGCCTGGAGTGACCCATGGGTCATCACCCGCCGTTCGCAAGGACCGCATCTGGGTTGACATCTGGGGCGAGGTGGAGCTGGGGGAGGACGGGAGGCCCATCTGGGATGGCAGATACGTGAGTGGGGGGAGGGGGGGGGGGATTAGGTAAACCGAGGCGCGGAACTGGTCTGTGTGGGGCGGTGCTGTTGCTGCTGCTGCTGGGTTGGGATGATGGGTTCGGATAATGAGACAAGAAGGTTAATATACGATAAATTATGGGGGGGCGCGAGCCAATGTCCAGGATGCCGTAATCCCGCGCATACCTTCATCGTTGGGTTGCGTAGGCGGCCTGTTCTTTCCTGAGCTGTGCTTTGTTGCTTACCCCCTTTCTCCCGTTCCCTCACCTCGCCTCGCCTCGCTTCTCCTCACTCGCCCCAGGTACGGCTGAAGTCGCATCACCCCATCCTCGAGGAGTTCCGAAGGTTCTTCGAAAACGATGAAGTCAAAAAGGTAGGTGGGACATCTTCATTGCCCTGCCTTGCTTCATCGCTCAACGCGCGATGAAGCAACGCCTTCCTCTCTCTCTCCTTTCCGCACCTCCCCACCTCCCTTTCGCCCCACCATCTACCTCGCTACCCCCTTCCACCACCCATTCACACATCTAAAGCTCGTCCGTTTCCCCTTTTGTTAACACAAACCCCTTCCCCCCCCCTCTTCCCCGCCCTTTCCCCCCCCCAAGGTGTGGCACAACTACGGATTTGACCGGCACGTGATGGAGAACATGGGGGTCTGCTGCCGCGGTTTCGGAGGTGACACGTTGCACATGGCCCGACTGGCGGATGCGTCGCGATCCGGGCGCCGTACGTACGGACTGGACAACCTGACTGCGGATAAAGATGTACGGCAGTACGGAGGGAGGGAGGGAGGGTGGGAGGGATCTGGAGCAGTACGGCAATGGGGAGGGGGAGGGGGAGGACGGATGTGTTTAGCACTGTCTGAAACATTACTGTTGGTGGTTGGAATGAAGAGGAGATGATTAGGACGAGATGTTTGAACGTGCAACACACGCTGCCTCCACCCTCCACCATGCCTTTCCACCCCTCACCCCCCTCACCCTCCTCCATCCTCACCCCACCCCTCCCCTCCTTCCTTCCCCTCCCTCCCCCACCAGATCATGAAGTACTTCACGCCCTACAAGCGCGACGCCCCGCCACGTCAGCGCATGGGCGACCGCCGCCACCTGGCTCGCTCCTCCTCCTCCTCCTCCGGACCCCCCACCCTCCTCAACCCCTTTGCCAACACCAACACCACCTCCTCCTCTCCCGCATTCGGAGGCCCCTTCCACCCCACCGCATCCCCCACCTCCTCCTTCTCTTCCCCAACCGATAGCAGCAGCAGCAGCAGCCCGGGGGCACAGCGCAGTGCTGCGCTAGCAGAGCTGGTTCGTGCCAAGATGAGCATGAAGGAGCGGTTCGGCATGTACCGGCTGCGCGGGGGAGGTGCGGTGGGCAAGGTGCCGGAGCTGCCACCCATTCATGAGCTGCATGGGCGGCCGCTGTTCCGACCCACCTGGATTGATTACTCGGCGTTGGATGCCAAGGTAGGGAGGGGGGGTAAGGAAGAGGGAGGTAGGGGGCTTAATTGGGACCAAACCTTAGGAAACTATGAAATATGGCAAAGCAATGGGGAAATGAGGCGGCAGGGTGTTAGAAGGCAAAGGGAGGGTTAGCGGCCCCTACCGTGTGACAAGGGGAAGGGGAAGGTGTACGGAGGCCCATGCATCGAGCAAGCGATTGTCGTGGGTGGTGACATCCAACTTTGTTGAGGTCTTGGCGGGCGCTTGCGATGCATGTGTGAGGGGAGCGGGACGAGAGGCTTGTGCGCGGTAGTGATGGACTTTGAAAGAGGATGCGCCGCTCACTCCCGCTCGCCGCCCCCCCGCCGCTGAACCCCTTAGCCACTCCCTCCTCCCTCCTCCCTCCTCCCGTGCTGTTTCATGTTCGCTTCCCTCTCCCCTTCCTAATGGGGATTGGGACTTCGTTGCTTTACCTTTTCATTTGTTTACCCTCCCAATCCTTCCTAATCAGGCCACCTGGCAGCTGCGCGAGGCGCTGGAGGGGCGGCTACGTCGAGAGCGGTGGGAGATGGAGCGGGCACTGGCGGTACGGCTGGGGTACGGCGGGGAGGCGGCGCACGAGTACCTCAACCTGTGGCACTTCTACTGCGCATACTGGATTGACTTCGGTGAGGGAGGGGAGGGAGAGAGAGTGGGGAGGGAGAGGAGGAAATAAAAGATAAGTGCAGCAACGGAGTCCCCAGGATGGTAAGGAAGGGTACCCAGCATGTTGAATGAGGAAGAGGGAGGAGAGCGAGAGGGAGGAAAGGGGAAGGGGGAGGGAGAGGGGAGGGATGCCCCATGGCTTCCCCATGGCTGCAAGCACGAACAGGGTATGCATGAGTGAGTCCCCCTGCCGCGCGCATGGCCTTTGACCTCCCCCCCTCTCCCCTCTCCCCTCTCCCTTCCCTACCCCTCCCCTATCCCTACCCCTCCCCCCTACCCCCCGCCCCCCCCCAGGCGAGCTGCTCACTGAGATGGAGCGGCGGGGTATGATGGTGGACCGCTCCCACCTGGCGGCGGCGCAGCAGGCGGCGGAGCGGGACCGGCAGGCGGCGGTGCGCGAGTTCCTGGACTGGGCGGACAGCAAGGTGCCGGGAGCCAGGTGAGGGGGGGGAGGGGGGGGAGGGAGGGGAGAAGGGAAGGAGAGGAGGGGGGCTAGTTTGTCTTCAGGCCATCCACCACGGCCACACGGCCAAGGCCAAGGACAAGGCCAAGGCGGTCTCCAAGCTCCAAACCCCAGCTTTGGTTTCTTCTTCGACTTCTTCCCCACCTCAAACCTCCCCAACCTCCCCCCCTCCCAGGTTCATGAACGCCGGCAGCGGTGCGCAGATCCGCATGCTGCTCTTCCCCGACTTCCCGGGCTACACCACCAAGGCGGCGGCAAGTGAAGCGGCCAAGGCCAAGGCGGCCAAGAACAGGGCAGCAGCAGCGGGGGCGGGAGGGGGGGCAGCAGCAGCGGCGGGGGCAGCGGAGGCGGATGGCGGGGAGGCTGCAGCGGCAGGAGGGTCGAGGGTCATCCGGGTAGGTGGTTGGGTTAGGTGGGGTGATGTGTGGGGTGGTGGTTATTGGCGGGTTGCCGTAAAGGCTAGGAACCGAGCCACCAGCCTCTCGGGCCGAATGGGAGGATTGCTGTCTGGCTGCTGCCAACCACGATATGCCCCTCACCCCTCACGCTTCTCTTCTCCCCTTCCCCACCCGCGCCCTCCCACCCAATGGGGTATTCTTCTTCCCCCCCACCCCCAAGGTTGAGAACCCCAAGTACAAGGAGATGCTGGAGCGAGGGGAAAAGTGAGCCGGGGGGGGGGTGGTTGGGGTGCTGATGTGTGTAGGGGGCTGTTAGGTTGGGGGGGGGTAAAAGAGGAAACAACTAACTGACCGTGTGATAAGGCGCCATCTTATGTTGAAGAGGGGGGGAGGGGCTGGGTGGGTGGAGCAAGCCGTCCTCCCAACACTACTCCTAAACCGTAAACCTATCTACCGTACCACCCTTCCTCGCTCGCTTGCTCCCACCTCTTCGCCACCTTCTTTCAGCAGCTACCTGATTAATTAGCTGTGTGATCCTGCCAGTAGGCATGTGCTTTTCCCAAACATCAGGCCATGCATGCCTAAGTATAACTGCCTTATGCTGTGAAACTGCGAATGGCTCATTAATACAGTTACAGTACACCTAATGGTTCCTTATACCGTAGTAACAGTTCTTTACTAACTAGTAGCTATTTAGTAGCTAAGACACGAGCACAACCCGATCTTGGTATGGTCTTTGACCCCCCTCCCCCTCCCTCCCCCCTCAGGCCCAGCTGCGGCAAGTACATGGATGTGGAGCTGCACGGCATCTGGGGCCGGGGGGTGCCGGGGCGGCTGCAGCCCGAGATCATCACAGCCACCGGGGCGGCTGCGGTCAGCATCAAGGTGCTCAGGTGAGGAGAGGGACCTTGCCCTTGGGACCTTGGGTGTCCCTGCCACCTGGAGTGTCCTCGGACAGTCCTTCCTTTCCGCGCCGCTACATACATACCCCTTTTGCTCATGTGATGTGCTGGGTGTCCAGCCTATGATGAATGCCCTCTAGTCTCCGGCTTGGTACGGACATTCGCGTGGGCACCGGCACGCCTCCGCTAACCCCCTCCACTCACCCCCCCAACCCACCCACCCCACACGTTGGGTTATCTTCTTCCCCTCCCCTCCCCTCCCCTCCCTCGTCTTTCAGTTCGTCAGTTTTCCTTATTTTATTCCCCTCCCTCACGCCCCCCCCCTCCCCCCAGGGGCCTAGCCGGCAAGCCCGGCGCCGCCCGAAAGGAGCTCACTCGGCTGTACGAGGCGCGTGCGGCGCAGCAGCAGGCGGACGAGGAGGCGGCGCGGGCGGCGGCGGAGGCGGCTGCGGCGGCTGCCCGCACCGCGGTGCCGCTGGTGGGGGACTTGCTGGAGGAGAGCCTGTCGGAGATGCGGGTGAGGGGGGGAGGGGAGAGAGGTGGGAGACGAGAGGGGTGGGAGGAAGAAACCATATGAGAAAGCCCCAAAAGGGAGGGGGAAACGTGGAGGGGGCTACCTTGACTGCCTTTACCTGCTGCTGTCGTGGCCCTCATGGGATGGGTTTTACCGTGCTGCCGTGCCGCTGCCCCCCCCCTAATGGCCCCTGACGGCCTGTTGCGGTGGTTTCCCGTGCAGGGAGGTGACGGAGAGGGCAACGGAGTGGGGGGAGGTGGCGAGGGGGAGGCGGAGGCGGAGATGCCCTTGGAGCCAGAAGGTGGGTGGGGGCGGGGAGGGAAGGCGGGGGTTTGGGGTTTGGATTGGGTTTGGAATGGAGGTTATTTTCAGATCTGAAAAATTATAGAAATAGGACACGTGTTTTAACGTGAATTGGATAGCTTTGGGACCTGCAAATTGAGGAAGCTCAAGCTGTTTCCGCCCCCCCTCGCCTTCCGTCCGGCCTCACTCACCTCAATCCTCACTCCTTTCCCCCTTTCGTTTACATCCGTTTCCCCGCTCGTGTCAACTCTCTCCTCCTCCTCCCCCCCCCCCCCCGACCCTCGCAGTCCTGGACCCCACTACAGACGGCTCATCCGCATCGTCCCCCGCCTCCTCCTCCTCTGCCGTACAAGCCCCCCCCGGCAGCCCCTCCTCCTCTCCCCCTGGGTTGCCCCCCCAGCCTGCTGCCGACCCCGCCCAGCTCGAGGCCCTGGAGAAGGAGGCCAAGGACAAGGGATTGGGGCGGCTGTTTGTGGCGTGCGGGGGCGGGGAGGAGGGGCTGAGGGCGTGTGTGGCGATTGAGGCGCTGTGCGAGGTGAGGGGGGTCAGACATATGCCAAAACCACTGGTTAGGGCAAAACAGGGAGGGAGTGGGGAAAGAAGAAGTGGTGCATGGTGGGGAGGGCGCGGGTAATGTGTATGGGGGGGGGTAATCGCACCGGGCTACGAAGGAGTGTGTGAGGTTGGGAGGGAGTGGGAGGGAGGCAGGGAGGGGAAGAGGGGGTTTCGGGGAGAGTGTGTCGTGTCACAGTGTGTGTGTTTCTGCACTCGGGTTCGAACCCTGCCTGCCCCCTACCTCCTCTCCTATCTCCCCTCTATCTGCCCTCTATCTCCCCTCTATCTGCCCTCTATCTCCCCTCTATCTGCCCTCTATCTGCCCTCTATCTGCCCGCAGGTGAATGCGATCGACAAGCTGCTGAGCGCCTTCATCATTCCGCTGCAGGTGGGTGTGGGGAAGGAGGGAGGGAGGGGGGGAGTCGAGGGTGAGGGGGGAGTCGAGGGTGGTGGCGGGGAGGAGCCAGCGCAGGGGGGTGCACACAGCAGCCGCACCCCTGCTGACACCACGCACCCCATCCCACCCCACGCCGCTCTCTTCATGCCGCTACTCCGCAACCCATAATAACCCTAAAATCCCACTACCCACTACCCCCTCGCAGGGTGACAACACATCCACCACCACCCTCCTGCCCCTCCCGCCCCCCACCACCACCACCGCCGACCCTGCTGCGGCACCCTCCGATGCCCCGACTGAGGCCGCGGCAGGAGGAGACCCAACCAGCTCCTCCCCCACCTCCCCCACCCCCACCTCCACCTCCCCCTACCGTGCCGTACACCGAGTGCATTGTTCCCTCAACATCAACACGGAGACGGGGCGACTGTCAGCTCGCAGGTGGGGGAATAGCAGGTGGCGGTTAGGGAAGAGGTGTGTAGCACTACATAGCATACTGGTATAAACCATTGTCGTTGAACCCAATGTACAAGTACCGTACGCGGAGAGTTTAAATCACGTAGGGGTGTGAACGTCGTGCAGTACGCAGGTGGGTCATCACTATATCACTACCACTACCACCCCTCCACTCCACTCCTCCCTCCCGCTCCCCCAGGCCCAACCTGCAGAACCAGCCCGCCCTGGAGAAGGACCGTTACCGGGTGCGTAAGGCCTTCACCGCCGACACCGCCGCCGACCACACGCTGGTGGTGGCGGACTACGGCCAGCTGGAGCTGCGCATCCTGGCGCATATGACCGACTGCAAGTGAGTGCGAAAATGGTTGTGACTGTTACAGGCTTTGCAGTGGAAAGGCAAACCAGAAGACAGGGGAAAGCGGACGATACCCCCAGCCCGACACTGCAAGGAAGTGTACTAGTGTAGTGAGCTGTGGGTGTCGAGCGAGGAGAGGTGCACTGCATTGTTGTGCGCGGCTGTTATCGGGACGATTGGTGACCTGGTGGAGAATCAACCGTCTTTTTTTCCATGATTTTGAAGCATACCCCCCCCTCTCCGCGCTTGCTCGTGCCCCCCTCCCCCCCCCCCCAAACAGGTCCATGCAGGAAGCGTTCATCCTGGGAGGAGACTTCCACAGTCGTACGGCGTACGGCATGTACGACTACATTCAGAAGGACGTACAAGATGGTGAGAAGGAAGGGGGGGATGCGGGGCGCGTGTGTGTGTATGTGTGTATGTGCCGTGGATGCGTGTGTCTGTGTGTTTTTGGTTTCTTCCCCTTTCCTCCTCCCCTTTGAAACCCTTCCCCCTACCCCCCTGACCATGCGCTCACTGCATGAGTCGGGATTCGGGATTGGGACTTCGTTGATGCATTTATCCATATCTTTACCCCCCTGACCCCCCCCCACGTCCCCACGCCCGCAGGCGGCTGCTACCTGGAGTGGGAGGGCAGCGGAGAGCCCGACAAGCCGCTGGTGAAGGACAAGTACGCCTCGGAGCGCAGGAAGGCAAAGGTGCGGCAGGGGGCGGGGGACTCGGTGGGGCTCGGGTCTCGGGAGTGCTCGGGTCTCAGTACTGCGTTTCTCGATAGCGGTTTCCCACCGCCTCACACACACCCGCACCCACCGCTTCCGCCCCCCCTTACCCTTCCCCCCCCTTACTCTCAGGTCCTCAACTTCTCCATTGCGTACGGCAAGACCGCCCACGGCCTTGCAGCGGACTTCAAGACCACCAAGGAGGAGGCGCAGGCCACCGTAGACAGGTGGGCTGGGGGGCTGGGAGGGGGAGGGGGGGAGATGAGGAGGAGGGGGTTCAAAGACCATACCGAATCATAGGAAACGGGACGGGGAGGGAGGGGTGGCAGAGAGGCAGTGTGGGCATTGCTGGAGTTTGGCTCGGTAGCTGACTGGTTGCCTCTTTCTTGGAATAGCCTGCGGCCGAATGAGCGCTAGGGGGGCACTGTACGAGGTGGCAGCGGGAGAGGGCCAGAGGGGCCAGGGCTGAGGGTGTGGTGCTGGAGTGGGCAGGAGCGTACCCTACCTCATCCATGTTACCTCCTCCTGCTGCTGCCCTTCTTCCCATGGCTCCGGCCCCAACACCCGCTCACACACCCCCCTTGCCTACCCGCCCCCCCCTCAGGTGGTACGCTGACCGTCCGGAGGTGCGGCGGTGGCAGAAACACACGCAGGAGCTCGCCAAGCAGGTGGGTAGGGGGGGGAGAGGGGGATACATGAGGAGGGCAGCAACTTGGGAGGGGGAGAGGGAAGGGGAGGTAGCACGGTGGCGCATGTAGGCCTACAGGTAGCAGAGGCCTTCGTTTGGACCATTGTTACGTCCTGGCCGACCCACGCATCTAGTCACTGGGAGCTGTCACCTAGTGTTGTAGCGTCGCAGCTACAACACCTAGGGTCACCACCCTCACCAGGATCCTAACTTATCACTGTGGTTCACTGGGTGGCACTTTCTTCTCCTTTTTCTCACCCCTCCCCCCCTCCCTCCTTTGCAGGAGGGCAAGGTGCGCACGCTGCTGGGCCGCACCCGGCCGCTTCCCAACATCGACTCCCACGACTTCAAGCTGCTGGGCCACAGCATGAGGGCGGCCATCAACACACCCATCCAGGTGGGGGGGGGGGTAGGAGGAGGAGGGGGAGGAGGGGGGGCAGTGTGGACATCAACACACCCATCCAGGTGGGTAACAGGTATACAAGGAAAACTGACGCACCCCCATCAGCAATGCCGAACACAGTGCACCCACCCTTCTTCCTCCTCCTCCTCCTCCCTCCCCCCTTCAGGGCTCCGCTGCTGACGTGGCGGCTGCAGCCATGGTCGCCATCCACAAGTCGGAGGAGCTGCGGGCCACGGGGTTCAAGCTGCTCATGCAGGTGGGGGGGTGTGAGGGGTTGAGGGGATTAGGGGAGGGTGAGTGAGGAAACCTAACCGGAGTTTACCAGAGGGTTTGAATGTGGATTTGATGTTGTCCGTCTCTTGACAATCCGCTGATGTCTGGCTTGCCTCCTCCCTTCTAACAGCTGGCGTCATGTAACCCTATATACGTTACCCCTCTCCCTTCCCTCTCCCCCCCTTCCCTCCCCTCCCCTCCCACCCCTTCAGATCCACGATGAGGTCATCCTGGAGGGGCCCAAGGCCACCTCCGACACCGCCCGCCGCCTCGTCATGCAGCTCATGGCCAACCCCTGGGCGGAGCTGGCAAAGCACTGGAACGCGCCGGGGGGTGCGGACCCGAGCAGCAGCGCTGGCAGGGGCATGCAGCAGGGCCCCGACTGGCACCGCATGCCGCCCAAGCGACCCGGGGGTCACTTGGCGGGCGTGTGGCGGCAGGCGCCGGATGAGAAGGGGGCGGGCGGGGGTGGTGAGGGGGGTGGGGAGGGGGGACACGGGTTTGCCATGCCGCTGCTTGTGGAGCTGGCTACCGATTGCAACGTGGCGGATACCTGGTATGAGGCCAAGTGAGGAAGGTTAAAGAGGAAAGAAAACAACTAACGGACTGAGTGATAAGGTGTCAACATGGTTTGCAACATGTGAGCCAGCCCGACCCGCCCAGCCCGCATTAAGCCAAGAGGAGAGAGGAGGAGAGGTGAGGGAGAGAGGTGTAGTGAAGGAGGGGCAAGTGGGAGGTGGGGAGTACTGGGGAGGTCTGTTGTTGGTTGTCTGGTGGTTCGCTGTTGAGGCAGGAGGGGGGCTAAGCAGTTATCTGTGTGGGGTCGGGCTTCGGTTGGTTGGCAGCGGACGGGGTTATGCTGCTAGTAGGGAAGTGGCGGAAGACGGGTTGGTGGCAAAGGTTGCTGGCACGGTACCTGTGGAAGGGAAGCCAGACGCCCAAATTGCTGTAGCGGATGAGGGGAAGGGTGCTGGTAGTTGCGGAAGGGGGCGTTTAGCGTACGACAGGACATGGATGTAGCTGCTCCTGTTCCCAGCCGCCACTGCGGTTGTATTCGCGTACGGTAAAATTGTTTTGCGTAACCATGCAAGAGTGAAGCATCATCTGATACGGTCATCTTGGGCCCAGGCTGGACAAGTATATGAAGCGGAGGATGGTGCGTCTTCAAAGCTGAGCGCACTGGATTTGAGAGGTGTTAAAAGTGCGTGTGGCACGTCGATGTGCATAACATGTATAGGCACATGCGTTGCATATGATACATGGTAAGGTAACTGAGCTTCGTAACAGCCGCGTAACAGTATTGGAGATAGCCGTCAGCTGAGGAGCGGCGCACCGGCGGCTGAGGTAAGCAAGCATCCTCCTCCTGTGGTGTGCGTGTGTTTGCGAGGTCTCTGAGGGCACCTGGCGACATAAAGGGCAGTAAAGCAGTAAAGCGGAACTAGAGGGATTCAACACGTACGGCTACAGTGAAGTGCTGGCAGTAAAGGCCCCAAAGCATGCAGTTCATGTTGCCTCGCATACCTCCAACCCCCGATGATGCCTGTCGACGTGCGGCGCTGTAACCCTCTCCGTCTCCTGAGAGGCATCCAGATCGGCCGGAGGAAAGGAATGGAACGTATGGCAGCTGCATTGCTACTTGGTTAAAGGGCGCGGCTTCCTTTTTAAGTTCGGGGGTTAGCTACGGCATGCTGGCAGAGTGCGCAAAGTTAACGTAAGCCATGTGGGACCCAACAATTGCTTGCCCGAGCTCCCTATGAGCTTAACCTCCTATTGTCCTCCCTAAGTGGACACGTGTGGGATGACCCTCTTTGCAGGGTTTATGGGGCCCTGGGTATCCCTTGCAGGAGCTTTGATGGACAAAAGTGAAAGCCATGCAATCTGTGCTTTACTGCTGGCAGTGCCGAACTGACAAAGAGTCCTCACTAATGCATAGATTGCATCTTTGCGTGTGTCCGTTGCCAGGTTTTTTGACGGTAGTTGCCAGCTAGCGGCAGGTTCCTCATGGGTCCGCATGCTCGTCGGTTTTCCTGTGAAAAAGAAACTCCCAAGTCTACTTACTTCTGTCTAGGACAATGCTAAGAGGCTATTAAAATACCAGCGAAAACCTGCGATATGTTTGTTTCTGCTTGCTGCAGCATACATAGCGGAAAGGGGTTACTCCTGCAGATTCGTCATTCCATAAGTGCGATGACATCCAATGTATACGCTGAATAATTATGTGCAGTTTCCTTGAGGACAGTTCAAGCCTGGGCATATGCAACATATGTGCATTGTATTACTATATTTATACTTATATGTTTGTTGCGGAAAGTGACCTTACCATTGTTATGGGTCTTAAGGACCACTTAACCATGGTATTTATGTACAAAGCTGCACGCGAGCTGCCTAGAACCGTGCTGGGCGTGCTGAGGGGCGCCCGCCAGACCTAACCGGCAGGTGCTACTGGCCCGAAGCCCCGAACCGTACCTCTGCGCGACAAGCAGCTAGTTCACCACCACCATCACTAACACATCACCCTTATAGCTTACAACATATAGACGCGCTCCTGTAACAGTCGGAGCAGCGTAGCCAGCTAGAGTTCCATGATGCGCGCCGGCTAAGTGAGATACAAGCCTCGCTAGCATCGCCCATTAGATAAGATTTGAAGAGATAAATCCTCACTTATACTTAACCTTGCCACACGACATCCTGGCAAGGGGTGTGAGCTCTGTGAACCCATACACTGAGTCTATTACCTCATTCTATACCAAACAATACAATTCATACACATAGCGGTAAGCGTACTGGTCAGTATACCTTTAAATACTGCCGCCACCTCCGACTCGCGGGCATGTTTTATGCATGCGGTCTAACGCGGTGAAATAGGTAAGTGAATTGCGCAGTTCTAATAGGTTTGACTATGGTATTGAATTATATTGATAGCAACATCAGCGCTCATAACTGACTTTGTAACGCCAAATACCGGCGCCCGCTTCGCTTTTCGCCACAGTATCCTGCCATGCAGTCTCAACTGTTAAAATGAAAACACATTAAATGGGCATGTTGTTTTAACTAGCGCCTTTCCCAGCCCATGTGTCAACCAACGGGTCTTCGCCATCCATGCCTCGCCTGCCCTGAACCGTAGTGAATTTCTCCGCGCCATTCCACTATCCACAGCTCACAGCTACGACCCCTTTCCAGTCTCTGAATCAACTCTAATCAAATTACCTTTCCTTTCCTTGGGCCTTTCCTTGTGTCCTTTTGCAGCCCACTGCGATCCCATTGCGAGCAGGACATGGGCTCGTACCGTGAAGGCCACACCGCCGCAAGGTGGAGGGACAACGCGGAGCCCCTCCCCGCATCCGTTGCGTTCCCAACTACACCGCTTTCAGCGGATGTAGGAACTCGGGATTCTAGCTCAGCAGAAACACGCCTAGCTAGCAACTGCTGTTCAAGCAGCAGCGGCAGCAGCCAAGGCGACAGCAACAGCAGGGGCATTTGGCAGTGGCTGTCATGGGGTGCTACACAACACCAACGGCCACATCCCCTCGAACGCAAACAACAGCAACAACAGGGGCCAGCCGCCGGACAGGCTTGCAGCCGCGCCAGCAGCTCCTCAGGGCTGCAGGACTGCACGCACGCAGCTGCATCGTGCACGGCTGCAGCTGGCGCGCGTAGTAATCCCCACGCCTGCTCTTTGGCTAGCTTAGCAAGGCAAAGTATGGAGGTGGAGACGTCTGCAGCGCTTGCGGAATCCTGCAGCCAGATTGGAGAAGGGCATGAGAGGCGGAGGGATGTGGTGGAGGCGCAGGCGGCCGGGTCAAGGCGCCGACTGCAAGGAGACGACACGGTATGTGGTGCCAGCACATCAAGGTGCCCGGCAGAGCGGCACAGCGATCCGACGGTCGCATCTGGCGAGGACCTGCTCTCCAGGGCCAACAGCAGGAGCAACGGCGGTGTTCGCAGCAGCGGGGATTGCAGTGTATCGGCTGCTTGCGGAATAGGGTGGGCGAGAGTTAGAGCAGCGGTAACAACAGAGGTGGCGACAGCGGCGCCTGCTGAGCCACGCGGTGCCGGCTCCTCTGCTTTAGAAATAGGCCCTCCAGGCTCGGGCCTGTGTGGCAAAGCAGCTGAACAGCAGCAGCGGCACTTTCAGCAGCGGTTCACACCTCCGGGTTGTGCAGGATCCGCTGCTCCACTTGGCGGCGGGTCGCCACACCGCCGCAGCAGGCCCCGGCTAGCGCCCCTCCTGGCGCCCTGCAGAACCGCAACGCTGGCACTGCTGGTGCTCTTGGCTGCCGTACTTATGCCGGCCGTGACAGTGGCTGCCGCAACAGCAGCGGCAGCAGCCAACGCAGGCAACGGTTTTGAATCCCTGGTGCCACCAACCTACCCAACCGTGCCATTACCCGACTTTGGCCATCCACTGGCCTACCCGCAGGCGCCGCCTCCGACCTACATGCAACCGCAGCTGCCGAGCTCACCCGAGCCCTGGTACTCAGGGGTGCAGCCGCCTGCGAGCCCGCCTGCGGTACCGCCAGCACCGCCATCTCATCCTCCCTCGAGACCCCTAAAGCCGCCCAGCCCGGCACCTTTGAGCCCGGATGAGCCGCCGTCGCCCGAGCCGCCGTCGCCTGAGCCGCCATCGCCCGAGCCGCTGTCGCCCGAGCCGCCGTCGCCCGAGCCGCCGTCGCCCGAGCCGCCGTCACCTGAGCCGCCGTCACCTGAGCCGCCGTCGCCTGAGCCGCCATCACCCGAGCCGCCGTCGCCCGAGCCGCCGTCGCCTGAGCCGCCATCACCCGAGCCGCCATCACCCGAGCCGCCGTCGCCCGAGCCGCCGTCGCCTGAAACACCCAGCCCTCAACCGCCTTCTCCCCGTCCACCCAGCCCTTCACCACCTCCTCCCAGCCCGCCACCTCCCTCGGCCCCGCCTCCCAGTCCCCCACCTCCCTCCACCCCTCCCCCAAGCCCCAAGCCGCCCTCTCCCCGTCCACCCAGCCCGCCGCCTCCCTCGCCTCTACCGCCCAGCCCGGCGCCTCCCTCACCAGAACCCTCCGCTCCGGGAGAGCCTTCGGACTACCAATCACCACCCGACTCAGACTCCGGGTCCCTAACTGATCCCCCATCCCCGCCTCCTCGCCAGCCGCCCAAGCCCCCCAAGCCCCCCAAGCCTCCCAAGTCACCCAAGTCACCCAAGGCCCCCCCTGTCCCGCCCAATCTCCCGCCGGTTGTAGAAGGGCCGCCGCCCTTTGAGTGGATGCCTCCGGAGACGGAGAAGCTCAGCCCCCCACCGCCCTCACCACAGCCTCCTTCACCCGAGCCGCCTAGCCCGGAGCCTCCTTCACCCGAGCCGCCTAGCCCGCAACCTCCTTCACCCGAGCCGCCTAGCCCGCAACCTCCTTCACCCGAGCCGCCTAGCCCGGAGCCTCCTTCACCCGAGCCGCCTAGCCCGCAACCTCCTTCACCCGAGCCGCCTAGCCCGCAACCTCCTTCACCCGAGCCGCCTAGCCCGGAGCCTCCTTCACCCGAGCCGCCTAGCCCGCAACCTCCTTCACCCGAGCCGCCTAGCCCGGAGCCTCCTTCACCCGAGCCGCCTAGCCCGGAGCCTCCTTCGCCCGATCCGCCTAGCCCGGAGCCTCCTTCACCCGAGCCGCCTAGCCCGCAACCTCCTTCACCAGAGCCGCCTATCCCGGAGCCTCCTTCACCCGAGCCGCCTAGCCCGCAACCTCCTTCACCCGAGCCGCCTAGCCCGCAACCTCCCTCACCCGAGCCGCCTAGCCCGGAGCCTCCTTCACCCGAGCCTCCTAGCCCGGAGCCTCCTTCTCCCGAGCCGCCTAGCCCGCAACCTCCTTCACCCGAGCCGCCTAGCCCGGAGCCTCCTTCACCCGAGCCGCCTAGCCCGCAACCTCCTTCACCCGAGCCGCCTAGCCCGGAGCCTCCTTCGCCCGAGCCGCCTAGCCCGGAGCCTCCTGCCTACCCAAGCAGCCCGGCAACGCCCTCTCCACCACCTCCCAGCCCCGGCCCCCTCGCCCCTGCCTACCCAAGCAGCCCGGCAACGCCCTCTCCACCACCTCCCAGCCCCGGTCCTCTCGCCCCTGCATATCCAAGCAGCCCGGCAACGCCCTCTCCACCACCTCCCAGCCCCGGCCCCCTCGCCCCTGCCTACCCAAGCAGCCCGGCAACGCCCTCTCCACCACCTCCCAGCCCCGGCCCTCTCGCCCCTGCCTACCCAAGCAGCCCGGCAACGCCCTCTCCACCACCTCCCAGCCCCGGCCCTCTCGCCCCTGCCTACCCAAGCAGCCCGGCAACGCCCTCTCCACCACCTCCCAGCCCCGGCCCCCTCGCCCCTGCCTACCCAAGCAGCCCGGCAACGCCCTCTCCACCACCTCCCAGCCCCGGCCCCCTCGCCCCTGCCTACCCAAGCAGCCCGGCAACGCCCTCTCCACCACCTCCCAGCCCCGGTCCTCTCGCCCCTGCATATCCAAGCAGCCCGGCAACGCCCTCTCCACCACCTCCCAGCCCCGGCCCCCTCGCCCCTGCCTACCCAAGCAGCCCGGCAACGCCCTCTCCACCACCTCCCAGCCCCGGCCCCCTCGCCCCTGCATATCCAAGCAGCCCGGCAACGCCCTCTACTCCACCTCCCAGCCCCGGCCCCCTCGCCCCTGCATATCCAAGCAGCCCGGCAACGCCCTCTACTCCACCTCCCAGCGTTGTACCTCCTTCATCCGCGCCTCTAAGCCCCGATCCTCCTTTGCCTCACCCTCAAAATTCTGCACCTCTCTTACCACCAACTCCAAGCCCCGAGCCACCTTCATCCCAGCCCTCTACCCCTTTAGCTCCCTTCCCCCAGCCACCCAGCCCTTCACCTCCTTCATCACCGCCTAATCTTCCTCCCCCTTCACCCCAACCTCCCAGCCCTTCACCTCCTTCACCCGAACCTCCGAGCCCGGCCCCTCCTTCACCTCAACCGCCCAGCCCTGAACCACCTTCACCCCAACCGCCCAGCCCTCCGCCTCCTTCACCCCAACCGCCCAGCCCTGCACCTCCTTTACCCCCACCGCCCAGCCCACCACCTCCTTCACCCCAACCGCCAAGCCCACCACCTCCTTCACCCCAACCGCCAAGCCCTGCACCTCCTTCCCCCAAGCCACCAAGTCCGGCGCCTCCTTCTCCCCAACCGCCAAGCCCACCACCTCCTTCACCCCAACCGCCAAGCCCTGCACCTCCTTCCCCCAAGCCACCAAGTCCCGCGCCTCCTTCTCCCCAACCGCCAAGCCCACCACCTCCCTCACCCCAACCGCCAAGCCCTGCACCTCCTTCCCCCAAGCCACCAAGTCCGGCGCCTCCTTCTCCCCAACCGCCAAGCCCACCACCTCCTTCACCCCAACCGCCAAGCCCTGCACCTCCTTCCCCCAAGCCACCAAGTCCGGCGCCTCCTTCTCCCCAACCTCCAAGCCCTCCGCCTCCTTCACCCTCGCCCCCACCCCCGCCCCCCAGCCCCTCCCCTCCCTCGCCTCCGCCCTCGCCTCCCCCGCTTCAGCTGCGGCGGGTGCAGGCGCAGTTCGCAGTGGACGCCAGCCTGGTGCTCGGGGACGAGGACACGCGAGCGGACTTCCTGGAAGCAGTCAAGGTAAGCGAGCTGGGTACTGCAGCCACTAGCTGTGTGGTGTGTGAGGTGCACAGATTGGGGACTTTACATTACACTTGCTCATGAGCCTGAAAGTCCTGTGCTATCCTGAATGTAGCAGCGCTGCTTCTCTTCCTTTTCCTGGGATCATCTCAACATGCATCTTACAAACCCCCTGTGTTCTCTTCCTATATGCCCCCAGGATACCATTGCCTCAGCTGTCAGCATGCCTAGCGGCGCCGTCACAATCCTCGGTGCCTACGCGGGAAGCGTGGTAGTCGACGCCATGGTATCAATTGACCCGCGGGTCACTTCTGTTACGGGCGTGGACCAGGGACTTCGCAACTTGACACAGAACCCCTTGAGCTTCTTTGGCCAGGACTTCCGCTTTAGGTTCGGTGTTGAGAGCGTGGGTATTACTCTAATGATGCCGCCGACACCGCCAACACCACGTCCCCCTCCACCGCCGCCACCGCCGCGGCCGGCCAGGCCCCCGAAACCGACACCGCCGTCAAAGCCGCCGAGTCAGCCCCCTCCGCCGTCGCCCCTGCCTCCCAGCCCGCTTCCTCCCCAGTCGCCGCTGCCGCCGTCGCCTGCGCCTCCACAGCTGCCGCCGCCAGCGTCCCCCTCACCGCCCCAGCAACCACCGCCGCCTCCGCCTCCATCTCCGCCGCTGCCGCCCTCACCTCCGCCGCCTTCACCACAGCCGCCGTCGCCTTTACCACCGCAGCCTCCGTCACCTTCGCCGCCACCGCCACCGCCACCTCCATTCCCTCCGCTGCCGCCGTCCGTTGCTCGCATGCTGCAACTGAACCTGTCATTGCCGTACGACCAGCTTAAGGATAAGACCACTCGCGACGCCTTTTACTGGGGCATGCGAGTAGCTGTAGCAGCGCACTTTGGCTTGGCGCCCCAATCTGCCGTGGTGGTGGCTCTGCTGCCTCTGTCCGGAGCTCTGCCGTACACAGCCCGGGTCAATGTGCTGATCTTCTTCACGCAAGCAACCCTTGATCCGGCTGTTGTCAACATGGCCATTGCTACAGCCATTGCTGATCCGCTAGCCATGCTACAGCCCCTGGCTAGCCGATACGGCTTGACAGGAGCGCAAGCGTATGAGCTAGCGACATTCAACTATCCGCCTCCGCCGCCCAGCCCTCCAGAGCCTCCCTCACCACCGCCGCCCTCGCCCTCCCCGCCGCCTCCTTCCCCCGAGCCACCTTCGCCTGAACCGCCCTCTCCTCCACCAGCCTACCCCTCGCCTCCCAGTCCCGAGCCTCCTTCTCCCCTACCCCTTAGCCCAGAACCACCCTCACCCCTCCCTCCAAGCCCGGACCCACCGAGCCCCGAGCCGCCGAGCCCCGAGCCCCCACCATCTCCATATCCCAAGCCACCGCCCCGCCCGCCCTCACGCCCGCCCAAGCCTCCATCGCCACCTCCTCCTTCACCGCCCAGCCCCAGCCCACCCCCGCCATCCCCGTCGCCGCCAGATGCCCCGCCTCCTCCCCCGCCCCCACCGCCACCACCGCCGCCTTCTCCATCGCCTCCTCCACGCCAGCCCGTTTCAGCTCCACGCCCCCCATCCCCTCCTCCGTCGCCACCGCCACCGCCCCCCGCCCCGCTGCCGCCCAGGCCGCCTCCGGCGCCCCCGCAGCCCCCAGGCTCTATCGCCCGATACCTATCCATCGACTTCAATACCAGTCTCGGAGCCACGGCAACGCCCGACTTCTCCTACGAACGGTCAACCTTTGGCATTGCCGTACGAAGCAACCTTGCTACAGCCTGGCGGCAAGATGTACGGCGGTTCGTGGAGGTTGCCGTATTCAGGATGCCGTACAACGGAAGCTCAACCACCGGCGGCGCCAGCTCCCCCTACGTTGTACGTGTCAACCTGTTGGTCTACTTCACTGGTATTTCCGAGAACGCTGCCAACACACGCTGCAATGACTTTGTCGACGACCCTGCTGCATCCTTCTCGTCCGACTTCCTGAACACGTGGCATGTATCCAGCATCGATGCAACACGTCTGCCGGCCTCAGTGTATCGCCAGCCTCCGCCGCCACCTCCACCGCCGCAGCCGCCTACGCCCCCGCGACCTCCTTCGCCCCCACCTTCACCCCCAACACCACCGCCCGTCCCGAAACCACCCAAGCCTCCTTCTCCCTCTCCGCCTCGACCCCCTCACCCTCCCAAGCCGCCCTCACCTCCCTCTCCACCCAACCCTCCGCCCAGCCCCTCCCCCTACCCGCCTCCCTCCCCATCACCTCCCTCCCCCTCCACACCCTCACTACCCCCCGATGCTCCCCCGTCCTGGCCCGATTCCCCTAGCCAGCCGCCTTCCCAGCCCCCACCCCCGCCTCCACCTCCACCTCCCCCACCTCCTCCGCCCCCCTCTCCACCACCTCCACCCCCGTCGCCACCTCCTCCCTCGCCTCCACCACCACCCTCTCCCCAGCCGCCCCCCGCTCCCCAGCCCCCTTCACCGCCTCCCTCCCCACCGCCCCCTCCTTCGCCTCGGCCGCCTCCCTCGCCCTCGCCGCCTCCCTCACCCCCTCCTCCTCCTTCTCCCAAGCCACCACGCCCGCCACCGTCTCCATCTCCCCCTCCTCCTCCTCCTCCCCCACGAGTCCGCCCCCCACCGCCTCCCCCGCCCCCCAGCCCCTCCCCTCCCCCGCCTCCGCCCTCGCCTCCCCCGCTCCAGCTGCGGCGGGTGCAGGCGCAGTTCGCAGTGGACGCCAGCCTGGTGCTCGGGGACGAGGACACGCGAGCGGACTTCCTGGAGGCGGTCAAGGTAAGCGAGCTGGGTACTGCAGCCACTAGCTGTTTATAGTAGAAGGCAGCGGGATGTCTTTTTTACTTTTAGGTTTGTACGGCATGTTACGGTGTGCCGGCTCCTTCCGCTTTTCATGTTCGCGTAGTGCAGTCCTGGATAGACGTCTTTTTTTACTGCTGGCGCTGATAGCCCCCATCGTTGCTTGCATGCCTGGACAACACTCCTTACAGGACACGGTTGCCGCTGCTGCTGGGGTCCCTAGCAACGGCGTGGCTGTCCAGATCATTACCTCCTTCGAAGACAACCCTGCGGCGTCTAACAGCACCGCCGTTGATTCTGTGGTTACGTTTGACCCACGGGTCACCGCCGTGGCGAGTGTTGACCGCGGGCTTCAAGCGCTGCAGCAGAACCCAAAGACCTTCTTTGACCAGGCTTTCCTCTTCCGCTTCAGCGTAGACAGCATCGCTGTTGGGGTATCGGCGCCGCCGCCGCCTCCTTTGCCGCCCTCCCCTCCACTGCCACCTTCACCACGACCTCCGAAACCGACACCGCCGTCGAAGCCGCCGAGTCAGCCGCCGCCGCCGTCGCCCCTGCCTCCCAGCCCGCTTCCTCCTCAGTCGCCACTGCCGCCGTCGCCTGCGCCTCCACAGCTGCCGCCGCCAGCGTCCCCCTCACCGCCCCAGCAACCACCGCCGCCTCCGCCTCCATCTCCGCCGCTGCCGCCCTCACCTCCGCCGCCTTCACCACAGCCGCCTTCGCCTTCGCCACCGCAGCCTCCGTCACCTTCGCCGCCACCGCCGCCGCCGCCTCCATTCCCTCCGCTGCCGCCGTCCGTTGCTCGCATGCTGCAACTGAACCTCTCCTTGCCGTACGACCAGCTTAAGGATAAGACCACTCGCGATGCCTTTTATTGGGACATGCGAGCAGCTGTAGCAGCCCACTTTGGCTTGGCGCCCCAATCTGCCGTGGTGGTGGCTCTGCTGCCTCTGTCCGGAGCTCTGCCGTACACAGCCCGGGTCAATGTGCTGATCTTTTTCACGCAAGCGACCCTTGATCCGGCTGTTGTCAACACGGCAATTGCTACAGCCATTGCTGATCCGCTAGCCATGCTACAGCCCCTTGCTAGCCGCTACGGATTGACAGGCGCGCAAGCGTATGAGCTAGCGACATTCAACTACCCGCCTCCGCCGCCTAGCCCTCCTGAGCCTCCCTCACCACCGCCGCCCTCGCCCTCCCCGCCGCCTCCTTCCCCCGAGCCACCTTCGCCTGAACCGCCATCCCCGCCACCAGCCTACCCCTCGCCTCCCAGTCCCGAGCCTCCTTCTCCCCTTCCCCTTAGCCCAGAACCACCCTCACCCCTCCCTCCAAGCCCGGACCCACCCAGCCCTGAGCCGCCGAGCCCCTCGCCCCCACCATCTCCATATCCCAAGCCACCGCCCCGCCCGCCCTCACGCCCGCCCAAGCCTCCATCGCCACCTCCTCCTTCACCGCCCAGCCCCAGCCCGCCACCACCATCCCCGTCGCCGCCAGATGCCCCGCCTCCTCCCCCGCCACCACCGCCACCGCCCCCACCGCCGCCGCCTTCTTCTCCCCCTCCTCCACGCCAGCCCATTTCAGCCCCACGCCCCCCATCCCCACCTCCGTCGCCACCGCCGCCGCCTCCCGCTCCGCTGCCGCCCCGGCCTCCTCCGGCGCCCCCGCAGCCCCCAGGCTCTATCGCCCGCTACCTATCAATCGACTTCAACACCAGCCTCGGGGCCACGGCAACGCCCGACTTCTCCTACGAACGGTCAACCTTTGGCATTGCCGTACGAAGTAACCTTGCTACAGCCTGGCGGCAAGATGTACGGCGGTTCGTGGAGGTTGCCGTACTCAGGATGCCGTACAACGGAAGCTCAACCACCGGCGGCGCCAGCGCCCCCTACATTGTGCGTGTCAACCTGTTGGTCTACTTCACTGGTGTTTCCGAGAACGCTGCCAACACACGCTGCAATGACTTTGTCGACGACCCTGCGGCACCCTTCACCGCTGCCTTCCTCACCACGTGGAAAGTAAAGAGCATCAACGCAACACGATTGCCAGGATCGATCTACCGCCAGCCTCCGCCGCCACCTCCACCGCCCCTACCTCCATCACCTCCGCCGCCTCCATCGCCCCCACCTTCACCCCCAGCGCCGCCGCCCTTCCCCAAACCGCCCAAGCCTACGTCTCCCTCCCCACCTCGACCCCCTCACCCTCCCAAGCCGCCCGCACCTCCCTCTCCACCCAACCCTCCGCCCAGCCCCTCGCCACCGCCATCTCCCCTGCCACCCTCGCCGCCTCCCTCCCCATCACCTCCCTCCCCCTCCACACCCTCACTACCTCCCGACACTCCCCCGTCCTGGCCCGATTCCCCCAGCCAGCCGCCTTTGGCCCCACCCCCGCCGCCTCCCCCGCTGCTGCCGCCGCCACCCGAGGGCCCTGCTGATCCTGACCCCCTGCCGGCACCCCAGCCGCCAGACCACCCCGCCAGACCTCAAGCCCCAACCCCCCCAGGAGGCCCGCTCGCTGCCGCGTATCCGCCTCTCTACCAGCCGCCGCCCCCGCCGCCGCCGCCGCCGCCGCCTTTGTACCCGCCGCCAACCGCCGCCTACCCGCCGCCAGTATCCAAGCCCCCTGCACCGCCCTCCCCGCCGCTGTACAAGCCCCATCCACCAGCCCATCCACCAGCCTACACACCTTACCCTCCACCACCCTACCCTCCAGCGTATACAACCCAACCTCCACCCTACCCACCGGCCTACCACTCTTATCCGCCCCCCTACCCTCCGTCATACCACCCACCAGCCTACCCACCAGCCTACGCACCTCCACCCCTCCGGCCAGCCTACGACCCCTACCCGCCGTCAAGCCCACCGGTTTACGCGCCCCGCTCCCCTCCGCCGGCTCCCCTACCTTCACATCCTCCTCCCTATCCACCAGCCTACACGCCCTCCTACCCGCCTCCACCCTACCCTCCCACCTACCAGCCTCCGCACCCTCCCACTTACTCTCCTCCGGCCTATCATCCCCCAGCCCACACACCTCCAGCCTACCTCCCTCCGCCCTCGGCTCACCCCACCATCCCCTCGCCCCCTCCGGCTTCCCCTGCCTCCTACACGCCAGCCTACCCGCCGCCCCACCGCCTCCCAGCCTACCCTCCTGCCGTCCAGCCCACCTATCCCCCAAGTCCTAAGGGCTCGTCAGCACCTCCGCCGGCACTACCCACCAGCGTTACTCCTCCGTCACCTCAGCCGCCCAGCCCCGCCCCACCACCTCCCTCCTACCCACCCAGCCCCGCCCCTCCGTCGCCGCAGCCGCCCAGCCCCGCCCCACCACCTCCCTCCTACCCACCCAGCCCCGCCCCTCCGTCGCCGCAGCCGCCGAGCCCCGCCCCACCACCGCCATCTTACCCACCCAGCCCCGTGCCGCCCTCTCCTCAGCCGCCCAGCCCTTCGCCGCCGTCTCCTGGGCCGCCCAGCCCCTTGCCGCCATCTCCTGAACCTCCCTCGCCTGAGCCGCCCTCACGGGAACCTCCCTCGCCTGAGCCGCCCTCACCGGAACCTCCCTCGCCTGAGCCCCCAAGCCCAGAGCCCCCAACACCACAGCCGCCCTCGCCCAAGCCCCCAAGCCCCCTGCCGCCACCTTCACCCCAGCCACCAAGTCCACCACCTCGCCCCTCACCACCTCCTCATCCCAAGCCCCCTAAGCCGTCACCGCCCAAGAAGAAGCCACCATCGCCCAAGAAGTCCCCACCCCCGCCACCGCCCAGCCCTGCACCTGCTCCCATTCCCGCCTCGCCCTCACCCATGCCACCCCTTCCTCCCTCACCCCCGGCACCCCTAGTTCTGGAGACCCAGAGTTTTAACCTGGTGATATCCTTGAAGCTATCATGGACGTCCCCATCAAACTTTAAAACCCAGGCCGCTAAGCTTTCTGTCGACGTTGCAGCTGAGATGGCGACCTACTTCCACGTCCCTGCGGGACAGGTCCGGGTGGTTATCCTAACAACCTCCGCTACGGCAACGACCACTGCTGCTGACGCGGCGGCGGCAACTACTGATGCGACAATCCTGGGCGCACGCTCCGCCGCGGTTGCCATGGACGTAGAGGAAGGCAACGCTGTGCCGTCGCCACAAACAGACGCCAGTACGCAGGACACTGTCACAGTCAATGCTGCTGCGAGTGCTGCTGCAGCCGTGTTGCTATCCCCGCCGCCCTCGCCCCCCTCTGCGATTGTGCGCCTATTGGCGGTGGCCTTTGTTGACCTGCCAGCTGTGCAGGATGCGGTGTTGACGGAAGCGGTGTCGAAGTTCTATGCTAGCCCCCTGGAAGCGTTCAGCAGCAGCTTCAACAGCCGTTGGAGCGTCATCAGCTTCACGGCCAGTAGGGACCCCGAGACGCCTCCCATGGCGCCGCTGTCCCCACCGCCGCAGCAGCCGCAGCTACCGCCGCCACCCCCGCCGCCGTCAGAACCGCCACCACCACCACCGCCGCCGCCGCCACCGCCACCAAGCCCTTCCCCACCACAGCCGCCATCACCGAATCCTCCAAAATCGCCGAAACCACCAAAGCCGCAGCCGCCTTCACCACCGCCACCACCACCACCGCCGAGGGTACGATCCCCACGCCGCCCACCATCTCCGGCACCGTCACTGCCCCTGCCTCCACCTAGCCCTACCCTACCACCCCTACAACCACAGCCTCCGGCTCCGCTGCCACCGTCTGTAACCGGCGGAGACGGCAGCAGCAACGATGCTAAGGTCGTTGCGACCAGCGTGCCGCCGCCTGGGAAGGCACCCGTGGGTGCGAACACTGAGTCTGGCAGCGTGGCAGGGGCGTCAGCGCTGGGCGGCGGCAGTGGAAGTGGCGGCAACAGCAGCGTGAACGCAGGTCCCATTGTCGCCGCTGTGCTGGTGCCGATAGTCGGGATCGCTGCGATTGGGGTGGCGCTGTATCGCTGGCAGCGCAGGCGGCTGATAGATGAGGTGAGTGGGTGTGATGGAGGAGTGGAACGCCCTTGCTTGCGTCGGCCCTAGAGTCTGCACCGTTTGGCTGGTCTGATACTGGTCAGCATGCATTTCCTGCATTTGCATACTTGGACAACGGCACTAAGTGTTCCTGGGCAGCAGGAAACTTCGCGTGCGTTTTTTTTTCCGATGTGGACTGTTACAGAGGAAGGACAGGAAGACCACCAAGAAAACCAGCGGAAAAAACACCCACTAGATACCAGGGAAGCACCCCTGGAAAACACCACCTGCAAGCCCACCTGACAGAGGAGAAAGGAACTGCAACAGACAACACACCAGACAGGACAAGGACAAGGACGGGTGACCTGCCTGAGAGGTCAAAACCTCACTCTGACCACCTGGACAGGCGAGGGGCAACACCACCACCACCGAAGGCTGAAAACAAACAAACAGCCTCCCTCCACAGGAACGACTACGAAAGGAAAACCACAAAACCACAACAAAACACAACACTCCAACAGAAGAAACCAACAAACAAAACAGTTAACAGAAAAAACACCCATGCAACCCCCCGAGTTTTGGGGCCCCTGATACCCCCGCACATTCCCGAGTTTCGGGACCCCTGATACCCCTGCGTACCCCCAAGTTCAGGGACCCCTGATACCCCCTCGTACCCCCGTGTTCAGGGACCCCTGATACCCCCTCGTACCCCCGTGTTCAGGGAACCCAAGCAACCCTCAGCTCTGCCTCTACAGACCCATACCAACTCTGAACTGCTACCTACCGAACAACGCCTACTCCTCCTGGCTCTCTGGCTCACTGATACATCCAACCTGCTCTCTACTCCCTACTCCCTGCTCCTTGTTCCAAACTCCCTGCTCCCTGCGCCCTGCTCCCTGCGCCCTGCTCCTGGCTCTCTGCTCTGTTCCCTACTCCCTCTCCCCCTGGTCCCTACTCACTGCAACCTCCTTCCTGCTCTCTACTCCCTGCACTGTCCTTGATCATACAATCCTGGTCATACGCAAGCAACTATAGACACCCCTTTCCACTGGCCTTACCAATAATGCACATCCGCCTCCTCAAACGTCTCCGCAGGCTTTCAACTCCATCATGACACCCATTGAGGTCGACGACGGGGAGTTCACACACGCTAGCAGCGCGCCCTCGGGCACACCGCCCGCGTCCACCCTCACCGTCGCCTTTGGCGCAGTGCCTGGGTCACGAACCCCCAGCCCCCGCAGCACCATTGGCGGCTACCCCGCCCAAAGCTTCAGCCGCGGCGACGGTGGCCCCAGTGCTAGCGGCGGGTTTGGCGATGTCTTCGGCCACCCTAGGAGCGTCAGCACGGGTGGCTTCCCCGCCGGGAGGAGTGGCGTCCCGCCTTCTCCGCCTCGCAGCCCCCGATCCATGTACTCACGTGGCATGGGTGTGAGTAATACCAATGACATGGAGCCTTCGGCGTCGCGGGTTGTCGTGGTGAATGGCGACCTGCCTTTGAACTACACGATCCGCTTCTCGTCTGCGTTTTACGCGGCTACCTACGGTTTGACCGACTTTGGCGTCCGAGAAGGACGCTCACCGAAGTAGGGAAACACGAAGACGGGGGTTGATGTCCTGTCTCTGTAGACAGCAAGCAGCTGCGAGAGAGCAGCGTGCTGTGATGGTTGCGTATGAGCAGATGCGTGCCGGTTGATTCTTTGGTTAATCGTGTGTACTGGAAAAACACTGGCACCGTGGAAGGTGCCGTACATGTGTAAGTTTGACCTCATTTTGTCTGCTTGATGAGGCGGTCTTGTGTGTGCTCTGTGTGTGTGTGACGTGCGTCTTGGCATGGTGCAGTTTGTCGTACAATGACGTCCGCTTGCTCCTCCGTGCGTTTCTACGTATTAGCGTTTTATAGGCGGACGAAATCCACGTCTGCTTGCCTGGCCGTGGCGTTCATGCCGCTCATGTAGGGTTGTTCGCCGCCAGGGTTTACCGATGTGGACTTTATCCGGTTTGTACGTACCTTTCAAATGCAGACGCACGATGTGGTCTGCCATATCCGTACACGCGTGTCACTTAGTGCATGTCATTCACTTTGCTTATTGCCTAGACCTATGATTAGTGCTTGTAGGTGCACCGGCCCAACCAGGGTTCCGTGATTTCCTGCCGCACCCAGGGCCCCCTCTCTGGCTTTGTCAGGTGATCAGCCATAGCGCTTGGATACTCATGTGAACCACTGAGGATTGTGACTCTCCGAATACTCTTTCTCAAAGTGTGGGATGTGTGGGTACTAAGAGATTTCCCAATGTTGTGCCCGGATTACTAACGCTCAGTAAGCAGGGAGGACTGGGGGTAATCGTGGGTTGTCCTGTGTTTGGAGTGGCAGGGAACTCCAGGGGCTCAATGAGTTGTCTGGGGAGCAATTCTAGCAAGTATCCGACGGCGGTGCGCCTGGGGTACAGCGGCTGCTGTAGTGGAATCTGGCATGATGCTTTGTTTCTAGGTGCGCAGTCATGCGCACCTCACTGCTGCTGGCTGAACTCGCATTAGGTTACTAGGGACACGGGATGATGGGGGTGCGGGATGGATGCAGTCATGTTTGTGCGGACAAATTAAACAGCAGCCAGGCTTGGCCAGGAGCTTGGTTGCTATGTATGTATGCATGCCAGTCGGCGGTTGAGCGCACTATTGAACTGCCTAGTAGGGTAAATGACACGTGCAGTGTTCGGGACCGTGAGCCCTGCATGTATGAGCCGCTGGCAGCAATGTTGCTGCCTTTTATTTGCATACGGGCTGGCGTCTGCTGGCGCCATGAGACACTAACCCATGATGTTACCAAACGAGCTATAACAAGCTCCGGGCTGCAGCTCCGCAAGAAGGAAGAGCTGCGGGGGATAAAGAAGGAGATCCATTGTGTATAATGATAATGGCAAACAAGTAGTCGACAAACTCCTGGCGCAATCAATCAAGTTAATCGAGCCGTACGGATGGACCGGTAGCAAGCTTACCAAACGTACCAAGTAGGGACCAACTTTCAGGTAGGGTTTCATCAGGTGTCAAACGCCTCGGATCTGGACGAACATGGGCTGGAGACCCACCGCGCTGTTTGGCAAACAACAGCAGAAGCACAACACGTACGAGGTAAGACAGTGACCGATACACATGCATGCACGGAGATACGTGCAACAGGGGAAAAAGTAAAACCTGACGTGCGGAAACAGGCACGAAAAGCAAAAGGAGAAGTCAAGTGTAAGCAAAGAGTACTAGTGGCGAAGATGCGAAAAGGCAGGACTGAAGAAGAACCGACAGGCCTACGACACGAGACTACACAAATAGGGCGGCGAGGTGGGGTATGTGGGAAGGGGTGCGGATGCATGTTTAGGGTGGATAGGTGCGTGAATGCTTGAGGTAGGCGTAGGGGACGGAGCCAGCCCAAATACTCCGGATACATCTATCGTTCATGACTTACCGGAAGGCCTCGAGCAGAAATCCAACATCGTCAATCTGCCGCACCGGGTTTGGTTCGAACCGGTGACCGCCAAAATAACAAAAAAATTTGGAACCATTTCTCGATTTGTGCGTGTCATCCTTGCGCAGGGGCCATGCTAATCTTCTCTGTATTTTTCCAATTTTAACAGTTGTGCCGAAGCACGTCAGTAAGGGTGAAGTTACGGCATATATATGAGAAAAGCCCCGTAGGCCCCTTACCCGACCGCATACCCCAAGTAACACACACACACACATAGTCAGTTTTTAACGGTCATCCAGTCTGCTCCATACAGACTCCCTACGCCACGCCTGCTGTCAGCACGAAACTATGTGGTAAGCCCGGCCATCCGACAGGCGGAGAAATCGGGACTTACTAGGGTCGGTCACACGATGTAACGTACATATATAGGAATCCCTAGTTATACATGTATATAGCACGGCCATAGTCTAGTCATGTGTATGTCCTGGGTGGACCAGCAAAGAGCAAAGCTGTCATGCGATGCCATGGATGGTTGCAACGTCAACTGCAACGCTGCCACTTCTGTGCGTCGTCTGTTGAGATGCAAGCTAGATGGCATCAATGTACCGGTCTCAAGGCGCGTACTAGCCTGCGCATGAACTTGATGCTTACCAAGCAAGGCGTTGGCTAAACCCTACCTCCATAGGGTACCTGAAACATCGTAACCCTGATGCGACTTCGCACTCGCAACAGTGCCCGACTTCATAAGGCGATTTGGGTGGTTGGGAAACACGTTGGAATGCCGGTTCGTTCGTCCGGCACATGCATGGCATTTCCCCATGGCGCTGCACATCTACCTTGTTGTGCCCCCGTGGTCTGCAATACTAGCCACGTTTAATACTTGTATCTTCCTGGCCTAGCCTTTCTGTAAGGGCTGTCACAGCAATGCTTCTTTGCTCTTGCTCAACGAACGGTCCGTGCGACTCCTTCCAAATAGCATAAGCTACTAAGCATTAGTAGACGAAGCTTTAGTCGGTTAGCACACGCGAAGCTCGGCCCTATAGGATTCGCGTCGCTCTTTGCGGTCTTCCCCGAATCTTAGCAAATGAAGTTCCTGGACCTACCCCCTCTACAGCGGTAAATATCAATAGTGTTGCGGACCTGTATGTAGCTGGTTGCCGCTGCTCCAGGTTGAGAATGTTTTGGTCATGCCGCAGCCTGAACGCATTCTTAAAAAGCGTGGACGTGGGCGATCACATCTTGCAAGGCGACTTGGAAGCCTACTCATGTGAGCAGTTAACGCTGCTCTTCCTGCAAGTCACCGCCTGCATGACCCCGAGGCTCACGCATGCAACACGTGCCCGTGCAGGCAAGCTTGCGGGGCTTGACAAGAAGCTTTCAAAGAGCCTAGACCAGGAGGTAGCGACAGGCAGCTCTCCGTTGGAGCTCAGCGCCTCCCCTGTGGGGCCCCTTGCGGAGTCCAGCAGGTCCGCCACGTGCCCTCGCCTGCAAATGGGTTCCCCTCCTAACCGAGGGACTTCCCAAAGTAGCGATTCCAACACCCTACATACCCCTGCCGGGTCATACACGGCATACCTGCATCCACCTGTTACCCAGCCCACATATCCAACACACACGTACACAAACACACACGCGGAACCACCTGTGCCGCTCCTCCCCTTCCCATGCCCCCTCCCCACAACGCGCCCCCTTCCTCCCTCCACCACAGCCGCAAGACGCTCATCTACCTGATCCTCACGCTCAACCACATTTACCCCGACTACGACTTCAGCCTGCTTCGCGCGCACCACTTCCAGAAGCAGGACGGAGTGAGTGTGGCGGAGGAGGCCATTGACAGCCACCTGCTGGAGGTGTCCAAGGTGGGAGGCGGCAGGGGAGGGGGAGGGAGGGTTGGAACGGGAGGAGGCGGAGGCGGGCGGAGGAGACGTCATGGAGCAGAAGGAGGCGGGGGACGGGGTTGGGCGAGAGGCGGGGAAGGGGAAGATGGGGGGGGCGCATGGAAGTCCGGGGCTGGGGAATGGGTGAGGCTATAGGATGAGGAGGCTGTTAGCAGCAAGAGGAACGCAAGTACCACTAACGTGACACGGCAGCAGGGGGCTGGGGAAGGGTGGGCGGGAAGCAGGGTGTCACACACCTCCATGGTCTCATTCCCTTTGACCCCGCCCGCTGTGCAGGTATGGGCCAAGACGCCGGGCATGGGGGACATCCCCTTCCTGGAGTGCCTCTGGAGCTCGGTGGACGAGGTAGGCCGCGGCAGGGCGCATGAGGGGGTAAAGAGGAAACAACTGGCTGACCGTGTGATAAGGCGTCATCATGGTTTGCAACCAGTGAGCCAGCCCGCCCAGTGGGGGGGCGCTAGGCAGGTTTGGTGTGCCACGGCGAACACGAGCGGGGGGCGGCGCGGCCGCTAGACGGTAGCTTTGGAGCTGGGAGTCCTGGGCTTGCTGCCTGGCTGGGGTTTGTGTCAGCCGCCATGCTGACTCGTGCATGTTGGGTACACACCCGCCGATCCCCCGCACACTCCCTCCCGGCACCACCTGCAGGCCATCTGCCTCAAGGAGTGCGATGTGTACTGCTACAAGTCGGACCTGGAGACTGACCCCTTTGGTGGGTGTGGTCTATGCTTGCAGCACCAGCGTTTGCACAAGTGCCGTACACGCGCCATTTGGCAGTACCAACTACGTGCTGCCGCAAAGCCATAACCAGCCATAACCAGCCTATCACATCCCATGCGTGGCGCTGTGATTGTGTCATATCCCTTGGCTGCTGCTGGCCTGTGTGTGAGCAGGTGAGCAGGCCAGCGTTTGGTCCTTCAACTACTTTTTCTACAACAAGAAGATGAAGCGCATCCTGTACTTCAGCTGCCGGGCCATCAGCAAGCAGGCAGCGGACGAGGTGAGGAACGAGGAGCGCGGGTGGAGGATAGGGTGAGGGGGTGCACCTCTGTAGGGGCCGCCCTTGGAAGGGGTGGTATGTATGACCCCAACTTGCAACTAACGGACTAACTGAGCATCGCTGGTTACAACTGGAAACACCCGTGCTGCGGGGTTCGGTATCTCGTCAGGCACCGGTGCTCGGTGCATGTACCTAACCGTTAATGACGATGGTGATGAAGGTCTCTATCTCAGAAACCTTATGCTGCCTGTTACCGTACTTCCGTACAGGAAACCGAGTCCTCGTCCAAGTACGACAAGTACAACACGGATACGGACGATGACGACACCGACCGCTACGGCATGGCCACGGAGATGGACGTCTAACGGGCTGCTGGAGGCCACCCGGACTCTTGAGACACTCCTGTGGCAAATTCAGACATTTCAGTGGATACTAGTGACGCTGCGTCCCTGCCCTTCCCGCACTGTACGTGGCAGCTTAGTTGCAGTAGCAATCAAAGGATGTGGACGCACAGGCTGCTCACGACATTACTCAAGCGAGGTGTGTCGCAGCTGTGTTGTCGGTACCGCCTGAGCCGCACAGGCGGTGCAATGCGGGGGTTGATACGTTGTGTCCAATCCGTCGGCTTGGGTGCCTTGGAACGTCGTCCGATACGACGGTTAGCCGTGTTCCTTGGCTGGGCGGTGAAGGCAGGCTTAGGTTGGGCAAAAAGGAACGGAGTTGCGTGGGGCGGGGGCGACCTGGTAGGAGGACTGCCGACGAGGGCGAGGCGCAGGGCACGGACGGCAGGCAAAACGCTGCTTGCTTTTGCAATGGGCCGTTGAGAGCTAGCAGACACCAACACACCACGACGTGTGTCACTGATACCCACATAAGGGATTGCGAGCCGCATGTGCGGATTTTGTTGTGTGGCTGTGTGTACTTGGGAGGCTGTGTGTACTTGGGAGGCGAGGGTGGTGCTTGGAAAGAAGGCATCATTACTCTACAGGCTGCGTCGGATTATCACCCACCACCCGTGTCGCTGTTGTGTCTTCACGGCTTCATTTTCCTTACGAGTGCGGAGGATTGCGGCAATATCAGCAGCCATTTGTTTAAAATCGGTCCTGCAGGGGATCGATGCGCTCCTGCTGGCAGTATTGCCCTTTCCTGTTTCCTTGTGCACCGGTACGTGCCGGTCTTTGGAGACGTGTCTGTTAGCTGTGTTGTGCAGCGCTAGCGTTGATGGGCACTGCAGGCGGCTGGGGTGGCGGGAACCTAAAGGGAGCCGCACAGGCCTTGTCCGGGTTACTGCCCAAGTTCGGCACCTTGTGTCATTTGGGAATTGTGCCGATGGACCTGACATAAGTCACATGACATGACGAGCATGCATGGTTGTGAATCACACACTGGGGACAAGGCTGCGAACGTCCCGGGAGAAACCTAATAAGTACGGCAAAACGTTTTTACCCCGCTGTATGAGTGTACGGTTATTTTCGCATGCCGTTCCAGTTGAACTGATTGAATCTCTTCGTGCATCCACAACCCCTGGCTTTCGGACTCAGGGCTCCACTTTTCTCGTCTTCACCTTTTCGCAGCACCTGGGTTCAATTAATTGGAAACCGCTGTTCTGTCTCGTCATCAAAGGAAGCTGTAGCGCTCTCACTCGGGGTGTGCAGTAGTAAACATGGCCCAAAGCAGACGCGGTGGGGGTGTGTGTGGGGCTGTGGGGCAGTCTGGGCGAGGGGTTGAATGGCAAGGAGGTGTGGCTCCCCGTGCGGCCTGCAACGCAGGCGAGGAGGCAAGGTCTGGGTGCGTGTATCTTTTGTAGTATCACAGCTCTGCTGATTGGCGGCAGGCAAGGGTAAACGGCGGTGGGGTTGGTGGCTGGGCCTGAATTGGCCCCGGCAGCTAGCAGCTGACAGCTGGTAGGTGCCAGTACAGCATCAGTACGTGCGGAGGCAGCTTGGAAGTTAGGACACTGGCATTGGCCCGTTAGCATAATATTGAAAACATTCAATGGCTTTATGTGAAAATAATTTGCAATTTAAGCTTTGCTTGCAACCCTATCCTTGCAATTGACTCGACACCTTCACCGGACAACGGTCATAGAACCCGGGTCACAAGACTCAATCAGCATTTTTAGCGACTTCTAAACGCTCGTCGTAGCGCGACGACGTCAATTATCCGAGGCCGCGGGCATTCGCTCCGATGTACCCGACATCGGCAGCAGCCCTTCCTGGGCAAGCGCCGATAAGCGCTGGGAGCCCTACAGGAACCGCAGCACCCATGATTCCACCTGGAACCCAAGCCAGCTTTAGGGGAGCACCAAAGTACGTACTTGCATCCAACATCCATCAAAGTGCTATCAACCATGTTTCCTTCAGTTCATTCGTGGGCCCTGTGGCTCTCTGTACTAGTTACTTCGGCTGTCCGTGCTTGGTGTCGGTGGTTTGCGGCCTTTCTGTCGGGCCTGGTGTGCCCCCTGGGGTAGGGCGGTCAACGCTCTGTTGGAATGTACGTCTAACGATTGGCCAGTACGGACTCCTTTCTGGTTGGTCCTCCAATGTAATCCTCGCTTCCTAAGCAACCAACGCGTTACCCAGTTAACATCCGCCTACAACATCTCCCACGCACCAAACCCCCTCCCTTTCATTTCTCCTCCCTCCCTTCCTGCACCGAGCAGGCGCCCCAAGGTGGGCAACCTGACAGTTGTGTGTCCCATGCTTGTGGGCGCCATGGGCACCGACCTGGGCTACGTGCCGCTTCCCGCCACCCGGCTGGTGACAGCGGCGCAGTGCCACATCAGCATGGCGTTCGTACAGACAACCCTGGAGTGCTATTACCCGCAGGTTGGGGGGAAAGGGGAAAGGAGGGGTGAAGGGGGAGAAAGAGGAAGGAACGAACCGTGAGTGGCAAAGGGCGAAAGGCCCTCCATCATGGGTCGAATCGTGGTTACCTGGCGATGGGAAGGAACACATGGGGTTGGCGTAATGGGAGGAGGGCAGACGTGGTGTGGTGGTGGTGGTAATGGGGTTGGGGAGGAAGCGGGGCGGCGCGGCGCGGCGCGGTGAGGGAGTTGTACGGAGGGTTGTACGGTAGTGGGCGGGGAATGGGGAGCTGGGGGGGGGGCGGAGGGTATAGTGAGATGGCCGCCACAGCTGTGGTATCCGGCTCTCTCAGCATCCGCATATACGCCAAATGCACACAGATACTGGGACTAACCTCGTTGCATTTAAACCCCGAACACCTCCGACTCCTCTGCATTGCGGCTTCACTTGCTGCTTCACATCCTTCTCCTTCCATGATGACGCCTTATCCACAGTCAGTTCGTTGTTGGCCCGCCCACCCGGGCGAGGACCAAGCACTGAACCAAATGCACTTTAACGACACGTCAGCAGGACGAAAAGCGCAAAAAGTGCACAGACGGCTCCTCAGCAGGCCTTTTGCGTGCGGTGGGCGGGCTCAGCTGCGCTCGCGCGGGGTTTCCTCTTTACCTCCCTCCCCTCGCCCCTCCCTTACCTCCCCCCACCGCCCTTCCCTCACCTCCCCCCTTCCTCACCTCCCCCCCTGCCCTGCCCTGTCCTGTCAGACCTGGCGCGGCTCGCCCCTGCAGCTGCTGCTGCCCAAGCTGGCTGCCACGGTGGTGTCGGAGGTGGTGGTGGAGAACATGGTGCGGGACCAGGTGAGATGCGGGAGGGGGAGGGGGGGAGGGAGGGGAGGGGTCATTGGAGCACCATACCACAAGGCAGGGCAAGACAAGAGGGGCGGATAGGAGGTAGGCGGCAGGGTGCCACAAGACAGGGGAATGAGGCGGGGAGGGGGCAGGTATCGCAGCCTTCCATCGCCCTCCCCTCTTGCCCTTCCTGGATTTACTTCCTATTGAACACAATATCATTACCGTTATGCTTCCGGAGCCTCTTACACGCAGCGCCCTTCATGGCCCCCACCCCGCTTCCCTCCCCTGGGAACGCACGTTTCTCCTTCCTGAGCCCCTACCCTCCTCCTCCTCCCCTCCTCCAGGTCTACCTCACAGCCATCATCCCAGCAGACGACGCGCACAAGGGCAACTACAAGACCAGCATACCCTACGGTAAGCCCCACTGCACTGCACCCCATCAACCCGCCATTGCCTAACCCAGCACAGCCCTAGCGCCGCCTTAGGGTTGGGTTGGGTTCGGCGGGTTGGGCGGTTTGGTAGCACATTACAACTGCTCCCATGAGTCGGAACATGGGATTGAGACTCCAGTTGCTTCGCTTCTCATTCGCGTTTCCCCTCCCTCCCTCCCTCCCTGCTCCTGTGGCTCTGGTACATCTCTGACCCTCCCTCCGCACCACATAGACTCTTCCACTCCCTCCCCTCCCCTCCCTCCCTAAGCCTAAGGCGGATTACGTCTCCAAATTAATCCCCTCCCTCCCACCGTCCCCACCCTCAGACCCCTCGGGCCAGGCGCTGGACTCCGCCGCCTCCAGCGACCCCGAGCTCTTCGCGCTGCCGCTGCCGGGTCGCGGGCAGCCCGGCGACTCCTTCCGAGTGCGCATCAGCTCCTTCGAGCCGCTGGCGTTTGAGGAGGGCAGCTACGTGCTCAGGCTGCCGTGCGAGCTGCCGTACAGCATGGTGCCGGAGGTGGGGGGGAGGGGGGGAGTGCCGTACAGCATGGTGCCGGAGGTGGGGGGGAGTGTCGTACAGCATGGTGGATGGTGCCGCTGCGAACCTGTCTTCTTCGGGTGCTGTATGTGGGCGACTACGCTAGTGGAAGCGCTGTAAGGGGTTGCCCCACCAGGTTCAGCCTCTACTCCCTCGCCCCTCCTTCCACCCCGCCACCCCCCTCCCCGCAGGGTTACAGCCATACACAGATGCTGGACGTGATTGTCACCATCAACACAGGTGGGGTGGGAGGTGGGGTGATGTGGGAAGCGGGGTGAGGTGGTATGGGAGTTGCGGTGAGGTGGTGCAAGGTAAACGCAGTAGCTGCGGTAACCCTGCTCCTCCTTTCCCGCCACCGTCGCTGACCCCCCCCCCGAGCCACGTCCCCTCCGTGCCATTAGAAATTCTCATCCCTCCCTTCTACCTCACCCCCCCAAACGTTGGAAGAGCCCTCGCCCCCTTCCTCCGCCTCTCCCTCCTCCCCCCCCCCCAGGTTCCCCCGCCCCGGTGAAGTACCAGGTGGCATCCGGCCACCCCATCACCCCCGGGGTGGAGGCGCCCGGCACCGCCACCCTGGCAGTGCACAAGTCACCAGAGGTGGGGGGGAGGAGCGGGGGAGAGGGCGTGTGTGTATATGCGTGCATGCGGGGTGGGGGGGAGGGTGTGTGTGCTAAGAAAACTGGCCGCGAGTAGCAACGATACTATTTGTGCATGCGGGGGCGCGGGACCTCACAAGGCTTCCCAACCCAAGACTGCATGGCAAGTCATAGCCCATAGTCCTCCGCTCCCTATCCGCCTGAATGTCCTCCTGTCATCCTCCCCCTTCCCTCGCCCTCCCCCTGCCTCACTCTTCATTCATTTCCCCCCTCCTGCCCCTGCCCCTCCTTTTCATACAGCTCGTCTGTTTCCTCGTTTGTTTCCTCACTTGTATCCCCCTCCCCCCTTCCCCTGCCCCCCTCCTCCCTCCCAGCTCCCCAACAGCGACCTGGAGGTGTCGTACCGCGTGTGGGGGGCCGACATGCACCTCTCCCTGCACGTCACCCCGCCCCGCACCGGCTCCCACCCCGCAGCCGACCCCGACCCCCGCGGCTCCTTCCTGCTGTCTGTGTCCCCTCCCGCCCCCGAGGCGCTGACCCCCTTCCCGCGCGCCTGCGTGTTCCTGCTGGACCGCAGCGGTAGCATGGCGGGGGAGCCGCTGGAGTTCGCAAAGTGGGGGGGGGGGCGGAAGAGGGAGGGAGGAGGCGGAAGGGGGGGGGGAAAATGGGGATACAGGTTCCGCATTAGGCTGTGATGGATGGGGGAAGGGGGGAAGGCGGAAGGGGGGCCTTGAAGGGCTTTAAGAGGCTTTACTTCAAGGGCTTTGTAAGGGCTGTGTAATGAGGAGGAAGCGACGCACTGTGATATACCGGTAGAGGAGAGGAGGGAGAATTGAGGGTAAAGTAGGAAGGGGGTCGCTGAGCTGTGGGCGTGAGCCGCGATGGCACCACGGCCGTGGAGTGAATGAGGGAGCGAGCCCTGCTGTCCGGTGCACCGGGTCCACCCTCCCCCATCCCTTCCCCTCCCACCTCTCACCCACCCCCGCCCACTATTGGATCGTTGTCAACATGTCTCCTCATCCTTTTCCCCCTCCACCCCCTCCAACCCCTCCAACCCCTCCAACCCCCTTCCAGATCCGCGCTCATCTTCGGTCTGCGCTCGCTAACCCCCCTAGACAGCTTCACCGTGGTGGCCTTCGACCACGAGCAGCTGTGGTTCACTCCGGGGGGGCAGCTGATGCAGGCCAGCCAGGAAAACGTGGCGGCGTGCGAGGTGGGGAGGACAGAGGGGGGGAGGGGGCGAGGACAGAGGGGGGAAAAGAAATTCCAATGTGTGGTGTGACAGTGGTACAAAGGAAAGGGGGAAAGAAATGAGAAGTGGGAGGGTGGGAAAGTAGAGTTCCCAATGTGTTGAAGGAGTGGTAACTGAGGGGCGACTGAGATTGCGTGTGTCGAGAGGGAGGAGGTTGAGAAAGGAGAGAGCGGTCGGGAAGCCGGTGGTGATGGTAGGCGAGCCGGTGGGAGGGAGCTACAACCCCTGCCCCCCGCTGCCCGTGCACCCGCGCCACCACCCATCTCACCATTCACCCTCACAACCTAAACCCCAATGCTGTCTTTCCCATTCCCTCCTTTCCCTTCCCCTCCCCCTCCTCCACCTCCCGCCCCTCCTCTCCCGTCCCCTCCAACCCCCAGACCTGGGTCCGCGGCTGCATCGAGGCTCGCGGCCTGACGGACATCCGCGGCCCGCTGCAGGCCGCCCTGGCCGCCCTGTCAGCCCGCCAGCAGCAGCAGCCGCCCGCGCTGCCCTATGTGTTCCTGGTCACGGATGGGTGCGTGCAGGTGAGGAGGGGATGGGGGTGAGAGGGGGGGGGTAAAGAGGGGTCATGCCGTACCATAGGAAATCACAGGTTAGGGCAGAGCAATGGGGTTAGGAGAGGGCGGCAGGGTGCCACACGGCGCAGGTGTTGGCTTGCGGGGATGTGGTAGGAATACGGTAGTGAGCCGCTAAGAGGAAGCACTGGCCGTGAGGATAGGAAGAAGGTGAGGGCCGGGGAAGGGGACGTGGAAGTGGAAGGGGCTACTGCTGCCGTCGAGGAAAGGCACGACCGTGATTCCAATCCTACTTGATCCTTCAGACCCTGCCCGTATGCGCCCTTTCTCCCTTGCACACACGCCATGTTTCTACTTGTGGCCAGTTTTCTTAACACCCCCCTGAAAAACCCTCACCCTCACCCGCACCCTGCGCACATCAGGACGAGAAGGACATTTGCCGCTTCGTGGAGGCTCAGACCGCAGCCCTGGTGCAGCAGCAAGCAGCCACACAGGCAGCACAGCAACAGCAACAACTGCTGATGATGCAACAGCAACAACAACAACAGGGCCCGGGGCAGGAGGGGGGAGGAGGTGGCATGGTGTTGGGCATTCCGCCGCCCCCCGGGCTGCCCCGCATCTGCACCTTTGGCATCGGGCCCTACTGCAACCACTACTTCCTCAAGCAGCTGGCAACGTACGGGCGGGGGGTGTTTGATGTGGCCTTCCGACCGCATGCAATTCAGGTGGGGGTTGGGGTTGGGAGTGGGATTGGGTGGGAGTGGGTGGTAAGTGGGACGGTATGGACTTGTAGTGGGCACATCTCAGCAAACCTTCACACTCCCTCACCCTACTACTTCATCGGCACGCGCCTCCCCTTTCCCTCCCTCCTCCCTTACCTCCCACCCCCCGTCTGGTTTGCCATCCTCGTTCAACACATTAAGTATTCTGGTTTCATTTGGTCTACTTTGATCCCCCCACCCCTCTCCCCCCCCCAGGCCCAGATGCAGTCCCTGCTCACGGCCGCTCAGCGCCCCGTGCTGTCCGACCTCACCCTGACACTGCCCGGGGTAACCGCAGCGGAGCTGTATCCCTTCCCGCTGCCCGACCTGTGCTGCGGCCTGCCGCTGCTGGTGGCGGGGAAGTACGAGGGCAGCTGGCCTGGAGCGCAGGAGGGGGACCAGCAGGGGGGCATCTGCCTGAATGGAACACTGCCCAGCGGAGCGGGTGAGGGGGAAAGTGGGTGAGGGGGCGGGCAGGGGTGTAGGAAAGCAACTAGGGTCCAGTGGGGGGCGGGGCAGGGGCAGGGAGGGGCGGTTCGGTTTGTGCTGCGATGGGTGGCTACATGGCGAGAGGCGCATGCAAGCATATGCGGGGCGGAGTTGGAGCTGGCTGGTTGGTTGGCTGGGAATCTGGTTGGTTGGTCTGGTTGGAGCTGTTTGGGGGAGTGGTTGGTACTGCAGGTGTGGTGTCAGCCGCGCTGGCCCTCGGCTCTGCTAGTCCGGGTCGTGCTACTGAGTGGCAGAGAGTTGTACTGCACTCCCTCCATCCATCCCTGCCTCCCTCCCTTCCAACGCCTTATTACACAGCTCCACGTCACCCCCACCCATACCCCTTCCCTCCTCCCCCCTTCTCCCTCCTCCTCCCTCCTCCCCCTTCCCCTCCTCCCCCGTACACACAGCCTGGAGCTCCAACCCGGTGCTGCCCAGCAAGGACAGCGGACTGCCGCTGGACAAGATATTCATCAAGAGCCGCCTGGACCTGCTCACGGCAAAGGTGGGTGGGTGGCGTGGGGTTGGCCTGGGAAAAAGGGCTCGGGAGGGGGGTTGGAACAGGTGGTGTGTTTTTGTCCGCTGGGTTGCTGCTAAGAGGTAGGAACACGACTACAACAGCGGTTGTTACGGGCCACGGACAAGGTCGGTATCTGCGCTGCCCCTCACATGCGCTTCCGTCATGACAACCGAATGTTCCCCCCCCTCGTCCCTCCACTCGTCCCTTGTCCCTCGCCCTCCCTCTCCTCCCTCCCTCGTCCCCCTCCCCCTCGTCCCGCAGGCCTGGCTCGCCGGCAACCCGCCCAAGCTTGTGGGGCAGATCGTGGACCTCTCCATCGCCACCGGTGAGCTGAGCTGAACCAGCCATCTCGGTCACATTATACGGTCGTACATTTGCTAAAACATGTCCTACATACTTTACAGTTAACAATCCCGCGACCTTCCCACCGCCACCTCCTCCCCTTCCTCTTCCCGCAACCTTCCCACCTCCTCCTCTTCCACCTACTGCTACCCCCGTACCCCGCCACCTCCTCCTCCTCCTCCTCTTCCCGCCACCCCGTGTGTCCCTCTGCAGGCGTTCCCTGCGCGCACACTCGCGCCGTGGGCTTCGAAACCAGCCGCTACCACTACCAGCAAATCCAAGCCACGCAGGCCATGTCGGGGCCGCGGCTCTCCACCAGCCAACTCGCAAAGTACGCGGCGGGGGGTGCGGCGGGCGTGCTGGTGCTGGCGGGTCTGGGAGTGGGGGCGGCGTTCGCGTTCGGGGACCTGGGGGCCACGGTTGCGAATGTGGGTACGGCAGATGCGATGGCAGGGGACTTCGGGATGGGGGACATGGGGGTTGGGGACGGTGGGGATGGGTGTTGCGGTTGTGGGGATGGGTGTGGAGATGGGTGTGACGGGTGCGATGGTTGTGATGGGTGTGATGGGTGCGATGTGGGGGATTGCGACTTGGGAGGTTGTGTCGTCTCCTGAGCGGGGTGGGGCGGGGGAGGGGAGAGGAAAAGGGGGCTGGATGCCGTAATCGGAGGGGGTGGGACTCTACGTGGGAGGGGGCGGGGGGCAGTCACGCGCAAAAGCGGGGTTGCCGGAGGGTGCTGTCGATGCACGTAACGCGGGTATGGGCATCGCCGGTAGCAAAACGGTGCTCTGAGGACGTAGAGACCCACGTTGACCCAAAATTTGACAAGCGCTGATTTTTTACGGACGTCCAGTGACTGCTTAATACCGGTACTCCTGACAAACCCTCTGGGGCGTGTCATTGCATCCAACCATGACGCTAGCTGCATGCCCGGGAGCAGTTGACATTCAGGTTGGGCCGCTATTTCGCGCTTTGGGGGTAAAATGACGAGTTGTACGACAAGGCTTCAACATGGGTCACTTGGGGGGGGGCTTGGTGGCTGTGTCGTGCAATTGGTGCGGTAAGGTGTGCTAATTTGGACAGGAGGGGACGTGGCGCATGCGACATGCCTACTTCATTATCACTTTTTGGGTGAGTCACAACTGCGAGGAAGACTGTTGCTACACTGTACGGCAGAAGCAAAGAATAATATTGTTATAATAGCAAACTACTCGGCGCGTTGCGTATCCTCGTTTTCTAGGCATACCGTATTGTTCGTAACCGTTGAGACCGTTTTTGAATTGAATTGTGTCAATAGGACCGTACGTTGCTGTGTAACTTGCTAACGACAAGGCAATCTAATATGGGAGCCGTTGCAGTCGATGTTTAGGGCGTCCCGGCTGCCCGGCGTGTGTTACCGGTATGAGAACCAACTGGCCGAGGACGTGACACACCGACCTTGGAAAGTGCAGGAGAATGAAGGTATCACACCAGGCTGTGTGTATTGGCTGTGTGTACTGGGATGGCAAAGGAACGGGGCGATGAACACTACGCCTATGGGCTATGGCTATAAGCCCGGTGTATAAGCCCGGTGCCGGAGGGGCTCCACGCATGTTGGACTCCCTCACCAACCATGCAGTGCCACGGAACAGGCGATGCTGGCATATGCCGGTACACTTGCATGTAGTTTGTTGCTGCTGCCTACACCTGCCTTCATCACCCCAGGTAAACATCGGCCCTCCAGCCAGCCAGCCTGGGATGCAAGGAACGGCCACCCTGCCCCAAAGCGACACGCAGCCTGTGCCCGCCAGGACTCCAGCTACTGGGGCGCTCCCCGTAGGTCGCACTCCCTGCAACCGCTGATGAATGAATGACTGTTTCAAAATGCTCCACTTACAGTGCGATGACCCTGATGAGCCATGAGTCCTAATGCGGTCTCCGACACCCCCCCCAAAGGCATGTTGCAGTGGATGTGGCTGGGGGGCACACCGGGGCAACGCACACAAGGCCCTTTGCAGTACCTTGCTGCCTTCGGAGTCGGCCACGCTGCCGTACGCGCTAACAGACCCCTCGCAACAAACCCGCAACTCTTCTTGACGCCTCTGCAGGAAGAAGGGCACAAACAACGTTTCAATCACGGCCTCCAACATCTCCCAACCTCCTACAACCAGCAAAGCAACACCACCGAATGAGCACCGCCCACACCCTTTATCAACACTCCGCATCACAGCCGCATCCGCACCGCCAGCATCCCCAGCAGCCCCACCCTCCTCCCCCTCACAACAGGCTGACTCCCTCCAGCAGCTGCACCAGCGGCCCTCTGCCCGCAGCAGGAGAAGCAGGGCCCTACGAAGCGGTACAGCAGGTGGGGATGGGGGCGGGAAGAGGGAAGAGGAGGCGTTAGGCGGTACGCAATTGTAAGACCACTGCCGATTCACCGGTTCATATTAATGTGCACACCCGCACCCAACAATCCCCCCGCCGCCCCTTCACTCCCCCCACTCACCCCTCACTCCCAACCCTCCACCTGGCCCCCCCCTCTCACCTGCACCGCCACTATGCCCACATCAATGTTGCAGCCGCCCCGACTCTCGTTGAACTGCGGCCGCAGGTCCTCACAGCTGATCAACTTGGTTGCCAGCAGGTTGGCGCACCAGGGCTGTTGGGGGCGGCAGAGGGGAGGTGGCGCAGGTAGGGGGTTGGTGGCAGAGGGATTACACAGGAGGGGGTGTGATCCGTGTGAATGACGGGGTGGGATGCCGTTACATAGGTGCACACAGGAAGGGTGGCTTTAGTGGTTTCATCACGACACGCGCCACCGGAGCGAACCCCCAAAACCCAAAAGAGCTAAGAGCACCACCCTCTACCACCATGTGCCTTTGGCTTCGGGATGTGGCCCGGGCACCAAGTAGCCAATCAGCCATGGTATACCGGAATGCCGGTAGCCTCCACGCCACGCCCTCCTAGGCTCCCCTGGGTTGCCAGCTGGCCGCTACCAGTATCAATGAACGCATGGTGGTATTCTTCTCCCCCCGGCCCCTACGGTCAGGGTCAGTGTTTCCGCGGCTCAGTTTATCTACCGGTAATCCCCCTCCCACCTCACCTGCCGCAGCGGGATCCTCGCCAAGTGCTTTGCGTGCGCGCGAGATTCCCATCCGAACATGTGTCCCACTCCTGGGTGCAACGGAAGGGAGCGGAAGGGAAAAGGGATTAGGAAACACCGACCCTGACCGACAGAAAACACAACACAACGAGTTGCATGTGAAGGTGCACGGCGCATCGTGCACAGGTTGTCAAAACCCGATATCCTCCACACACACCCGTCCTCCAGCCCTCCTCGCCCCGGCTCCTGCCGCCCGCCACCCTCCCACCCCTCACCGGGAGCTAGCGCTGTCAGGTTGGGCGAGATGGGGAAGATGGGCGCCACAGGGGGGAACACGGCCTGAGCCCGCAGCGGCGGCGGCGGCGGCGTCGCATCCATCATAGCCACTGCGCCTCCGTCACCACCGCCACCGCTGCTATTAGCCCTAATCGCCTCCGCCGCCAGCTCCGCCTCCACCTCCGCCAGCGTGTCGTCGCATGCCGCCGCCGCCGCTATCGCAAGAGCCGTGCCGTAGAGTATCGCACTTTCCGCTGCGGCGGCGGCGGTGGAAAGAACGGCATTCTCGTCGGCGTCGTCTTCATCTTCGTCATCCATATCTATCAGCCCTTCCTCTTCCTCATCTGTTTCCAACTCTGAACCGGACTCTGCGCCTGACGACTGGTCTTCTTCTTCTTCTTCCTCTTCTTCTTCTTCGTCGTCGTCGCTGCTTTCGCCCGCGCTCTCATGCTGTTGCAGCTCCTCCCCAACTCCTCCTCCCAAATCCCCTCCCTCCACATGCGGCCCCTTCTCCTCGTCCTCCTCGTTAGCCACACCACCATGCCAGCCACCTCCTCCGCTGCCTTCACCACCGCTGCCGTGGACACCCTCTCCCTCTCCTCCACCCGCCCTTGATGCCGCCACCGCCGCTGACGCCGACGCCGACGCACCAGCTTCACCGCCCTCGCCACCGCCGACGCCTGCCACAGCAGCATCCGCCGCCGCCGCTGCCGCCGCCGCCGCCGCCACCATCGGCGCCGCCGCCGGCCCCATCGCCGCTGAGAAGAGCTCCTGCTCCCCCACTCTGATGCGCACCGTGTCCCCCTGCACCTCAATGCGCGGAGCCAACCCGTGTTCCCGACCCGCCTCCACCGCTGACAGCGCCGCCGCCAACGCCGCCGCTAGGCCCTTAACAGCAGCCCCCTGCTCCTGCGGCTGCGGCTGCTGGGGCGGTTGCGACTGGGATGCACCAGCAGCACCTGCGGCGGCGCTGCCAGCTGCCGCCGCCGCCGCCTCCACCTGCGTCAGCTCCGCCATCAGCGCCTCCGCCGCCGCCAGCCGCTCGTCCACGTCGGCAAGTTCCGCCGCCGCCGCATGGGCGGCGGCACCCGCTGCGGCAGCCGCCGCCGCCGCCGTCGCAGCAATGGCGGCGGCGCTGGCGCCGCCGGCGCCGTCAACCGCTGTCGGCGGCGCTGCTGCTGCGGCGGCAGCAGCTGCTTTGCGCCGCAGCTCCGTTCGCTCCCGCCGCGAGATGAAGCGGAACCAGATGACGGGCAGCACCCTGCAGGAGATGCCATGCGGCGAAAGGTCCAGCCGTAATGCTGTTGCCTCGTCACCTGGTTTTGGAGCAGGTTTCGGAGCAGAGTTGGAGTGAGGTGCGGGTGCAGCTCTTGCCGGCTCGGTTGATGGTGATGAGGAGGAGCCGCCGCCTGCTGGCCCCCTTGGTGCTGACGCCGTCGCTGCTGATGCCGATGCTGTTGCCGCCGCGGCAGCAGCAGTGGGCCTCCTGAATTCCAGCCACTCGACCCTACCCGTAGTGTAGTACCCGGCAACGGGCGGCAGCAGGCCCCTGCGGGAGGCTAACAGCACCGTACGGGCGTCTTCGGCGTTGTTCAGGACCTGCATGAGGGGCGGTTGGGGGGTGGTTGGGGGAGGGTTTGTTGCTGAGGAGTCCTGAGGGTGAACGCGGTAGGCGGTGTACCTCACATCCGCCTACCGCAAACACGCATTCCTTGTAGCTGCATGCTTGTCACCGCTCACCCCACGCATGTGCCGCTTCCTTCACTAACCAGATGCCCCACACCTCAAATCCATCCTCCCCCCCGTTCCCAACCCAGCACTACCCGACATGCATGCGCCCCTTTCATCCAATAACAAAAGCAGATCCCCCCCATCATCCCCCCCCACACACCCACCTGCACGTGCGGCACCCCCGCCAGCCCGTTCGTCAGGCCCTCCGCCAGCGATGCGGAGGGGTCGGTGGTGGTGTTGGGGCTGCTGCTGCTGCCTGGCTTCATGGAAGGAGACCCAGAAGCACCCGCAGCAGCCTCACTAGCAGCAGCAGCAGCAGCACCAACAGCGGAGACGGTGCCATCCGGGCCAGTGGCTGCGGCTGTGGCTGCAGCGGCGGGCTCCCTGGACGCAGCAGTGACGTAGGAGCAGGAGGAGGCGGATGGGCAGGCGGCGGAGGCGAGTAGGGCAAAAAGCGCTCCGCAGCGCAGAGGACAGGTGACGTTGAAGGGGCGGCTGAGCAGCACCGAGTCGAACATGCCTGCGCGGGGGTAGGGGGGGAGGGAAGCAGGCCGGAGGGAGGGAGGGGAAACATGTGTTTACCGTTTTACTCACAAGGCCCGTAGTCTGTTAATTCTTCTCGCAACTGGATGTGAGGCGGCAGGAAGACCCTAAACACATAAGCGGGCTGTACACTTTAACAAGCCCGTCGCACAACCTGTCCCACCGCACTCACCCACGGTGCGGTTGAGCGGGGCGTCCGGCCGCCCCCCCGCCGCCGCCAGCAGCGGCCGCAGCGGCGGCTCGCCGTACAGCAGCCTGGGCTGCCGCAGCGGCGCCGCCTGGCTGATGGTGTACGGCACTGACCCCTGGTTGTGCCAGATCTGCACAGCGGCGTGTGTGTGTGTGTGTGTATGACAGGAGTGTGTGGGGGAGTGTTGGGGTTTTCCTGACGACAGTGTGTGCTGATGAAACTGCGGCGTGTGCACCTGCTGCATGAATGTGCAGGAGGAGCTGCTGGGTGCGCACATTGCTGGGCGGGTGAGTGTGTGTGCTTGCTGCAGGATTGATGCGGTGTGAGTGCATGCAAGAGCCCTCAAGCACCCCTACCTGCCTGCAATGCCATGCCATGTCTGGTGGGGAGCCCGATCACACTTGGTTGCCCGGGCAGTTGCTGCTCCACCCTACCACCCTACCACCCTACCACCCTACCACCCTGCCACCTTACCACCCTACCACCCTACCACCCTGCCACCTTACCACCTTACCACCCTACCACCCTACCCCCAACCCCCCCGTCCCACCTGCCATGCCTTGGCGTGTATCTCATGCAACGCCGCATCATGGTCCTCCTCCACCTGCTGCCCCTGCCCCTGCCCCCTGCGGCGCTGCTGCTGCATGAGCCCCCGCGTGAGCAGGCGGCCCCAGGCGCGGCCCTGGCTCATCTGGTTGTAGCAGTGCACATACAGGTCCTCCAACACTGACAGACGGGAGGGGCGGGGGGGAAGGAAGGGGGAGGACTAAAGATAAGTGCATGGGGAAGGTGATGGGGAAGGTGATGCAGGGATGAGGGGGATAGTGGTTCTGGGGGGGTGGGAAAACGGGTGAAGGGGACGGCACCTGGGGTAAGTGGCCACGGCAGGGATCCGCTGGCCCTCACCCCCACCCTCGCCCCCACCCTCACCCTCCGTGGTGCAGCTGCTCAGCGCCTCCCGCGCCGCCTCCACCGCCTGTAGCGGCACCAGCGGCAGCGGGTCGGGCGGCGCCTGCTCGCTGCCGCCCTCCCAGGCCTGTGGGAGGGGGGGAAGAGGAGAGGAGAGGCGAGCAGCGAGCAAGACATGAGACGTTAGAGAAGGCGGGAGGAGACCGGTTGACGCAGCAGAGAGCAAGGCGAGATGAGGCAGGGTGTGCTGGTGAGGGGAGCGGGAGGGGAGGGGAGCTGGAGCGGGCGAGAGGGGCTGGGATTGGGCCGTCCCGTCCGGGTTCGTTCAGGTTTAGGGCTGGTTTTACCGCTACCCGACTTCGGGACTTACCTGGTCCGTCATAATACTCCGCATCACCTCTCGGCTCAGGTAGGCGGCTGGGAGCTGTGGGGGTTGGGGTTGGGGTTGGGGGTGGTGAGGAAGATGGAGGGGAAAAGAGGGGGGTTGGGAAACTAACCATGTGTGGCAAGGCGAGGAGGAGGAAGAGGTGAGGGTAAGGGCTGGGGTCGCCTGTATGCTTGGCGTATACCCTGTGATACCCTTGCTGTATCTGTACGACACAGCCTGTGTGTTAAAATAACTGGCCGCGAGGCGAAACGTACTGTGATTGCCGAAAGATGAAGTCCTCCTACCGAAACGCCACAGCCTCTGTGTGTGCCGTTATGTGACATCACGACAGCGCATTCGTCCATTCACGAGGTCACGACCTCTCCCCCCAGTTCTATGTCCAAAATTGACCCCCCCAGTCAAACCATGATGACGCCTTATCACACCGTCAGTTAGTTGTTTCCTCTTTACCTCCCCATGGCCCCCCCCTCAGTCGTACCTGCAGTCGGTCTAACAGGAAGGTGCGGTGCGGGTCGGAGGGGTCGTGTCCCGAGGGCTGTACAGGTGGGTGCGTATAGTGAGGCGGGGCGGGAGGGAGCGGGTGCGGCGTATACAGCGTTAATAGCGTACATAGTGTGTTAACCGTATAGCGGATAAACAGCGCGCGAGGTGCAGAAGGAAAACATGTAAAAATGCAAAAAAAGTCAGTTAAATAACGCCGGTGAAGGAGGAAATCCGAGGGGCCGGACACGCAGGAGAGGAGAGTGGGCGCCCCTCGCACCTGCAGTACCGCCAGGCAGTGAATGTTGCGAGTGGTAGCCTCGCTGGAGTAGAAATTGCGCGCGGTGGGGTTAAACAGGTGACCTGCCCAGAAATCCTCAAGGGGTACATCGCTGCCGCCGTCCGTGGAGACGCCAGCAAACGGCAGGAAGGGCCGTACGGCACCGTAAGGGGATCCCAACGACGACGCAGCAGCGGTTGTGGCTACCGTTGATGACAAAGATGATGGTGATGGTCCTCCGGTGCCGGAGGTTGTAGCAGCATGGCCCACCATGGCTGAGGAGGCTGCTGCTGATGTTGATGCTTGAGCAGCGGCAGCAGTAAAAGGAGCAGCAGCAACCGTCGTTGCTGCTGACGGAATGCCTGGTTGCGGTGGTGGTGGTGGAGGTGGTGGTGGTGGAGGAGGAGGAGGAGGTGGAGGCTGCTCGCCTCTTGCGACCGCTCGGAGGAACTCATATTGACGCTTTAGGGATGTGCCCTGTGTGTTGGGTACGGCAGGTACACGAAAAGAAGGTCGGTTGTACGACTTGTACGGGTACCCTTGTGAATGCAAAAAGGTGAAGAATGAAAGGATTCGGGTCAGACCTTCCCTAACACTCAGTTCCTCAGGAGGCCACCTTTGTGTAGGTATGTGTAAGAGGACAGAACTTGGTCTCAGTGTCTAGTTCACCAGCTGCTGTCATACAGCGGCACTGCCTGCCTGCTACATACTTCGCCTGCATGCCAGTATTGCTAGTGCCGTACCGTGACAGGAAGGCCGAAATCCAGAAAGATGTGACGCTGCCAGGCGTCATCGGCGCCCGCCACCACGGCCCGCAGCCTCCGACATGTGGCGTTTAGGTTAAGCAGGTCCTGTTGGGAAACGGGTGCAACCATTGGGAGGGAAGTTGTTAGGGCTTATAACGAGTCTGGAAATGGCAGTGATGGATGGGGTTAAACAGCGATAGGGGCTGCGGCTGAGGGAGGGATGACCGTGGAACAGCGAAAGGTCGCGGTGTGGCATGTGTTAGGACATGGAACGCCCGATCATGCAGTGTTCGCACGAAACCTGGTCGTATACGGCATTTCAGATTCAGCCAAGCACCGGTACTTTGGTGCTGCCATGGGAAATGCCATGCGACTACCGTTACCCGCAATTTTGTAAGTCGCATTAAGCCCCTACCTTCAGGGATAGGGTCGAATTTGCTATATGCAGAAGACAGAGATCATCTAGGGAATCAAGGCAACCAATCCCAAGCTGCATCGCTGCAGCTTCTTCGGTACCGGTGCCCATGTAAGCACTAGTGTGTATAAAGGCAACTTGCTTTAGAGTTTGCAATGGTCTACGGGGAAAGGCTTTGTAAGTGATCTCTGGTTCCCCGTGGTCGCAAACTGCAAGCAGAAACGTACGGATGAACGGCACGGAAGTCCCCCTCCATGGCGCTTACTGATCGATGCACCTCCACCGGGTCTGTAAACTTCGAATACGCGTTAAATTGCGTGCAAGCATAGTCGAACGACCTCTACAGCAGCCGCCTTAAAGAAACGTTTCCTGCGAGACACTACCCTGCAATTGATCACATAAGAACAATCTGAAAACCTGAACATAAGAAAGCAGCCATGGTGTGCATTCGGCCAGCCACTATCGATGACCTGATGCAGATGCAGCGATGCAACCTGCTCTGGTACGCGTGCCTATCTATTTGCTTTTCCCGAATCCATTCTCGGTGAATGCTAACGTGATCCCCGTTCGCTGCAAATTCTACTATCTATGACCCGCACAGTCTACCAGAGAACTATCAACTTAAGGTAAGCGCCATGGGTCGGAGCCGTCATGCCGGAAGGGGCGGAAGGTCAGGGCGGAATGGGCCCCCCTTGAGGGGTGTTCTAATTTTACACTGGACGCTAAGGCGTTGAGGTTAGGCCACCGCCCCTTCTGCACGGTGGAAATACTGCTTGCGGACAGCCAACATGCTGCATGCCCTGGCTCGCGTTTCTCCTAATACCTTTTTCCCCTGTCGTACACACTCCCCCGCCTTCTCCTGCCCTAAATAAATGCATGCCCACATCCCGCCTATTTCCCTGCCTTGGCCTGCCGCAGTACTACTTGTACCACATCCTGTCGTGGCCCCAGCTGCTACACGTTGCTGAGGACTATGACGGCAAGATTGTGGGCTACGTGCTTGCTAAGATGTGGGTGGGGAGGGGTGGAGGGGGCTGGGGGGTAGGGCAGATTGGCAGCTACGGGGGTTGGGTGGGTGGGTAGGAAGAGCGTTTGAGCGGTTGGGTAGTGGGAGGGGTTCGGACGGGCAGAGCGTGGGTCGAGCGGGCAGAGAGGCCTCCACGGGGGATTCCATGCCTAGTCAGCATAAGTACCTTGCTTACCGTCGGCCCCACCCTCAGGGGAACTCTACCCCTCTGGCCCTCCTCCCTCAGCTACTCGATGGGTTCGGCGGGTTGGTTTGCCTGGTCAGCATAGCAGGTTTCCCTTTACCTGCCTCACCCCAACATGACCCCTTGCGTGTGTAATGCTTTTCATTTCTCGATTTTCTCCCTGCCCCACCTCCCCTCCCCCCCTGCTGCTACTAACCCAACAAGTTTGACTAAACGCAATCCTAAAATCTTGCCTAATGCAGAATGTAAAGTATCCCTATGAATCCCCCCCTGCTCCCCCCCGCTCCAGGGAGGAGGACGCCGCGGAGCCGCACGGGCACATCACCAGTGTGGCGGTGGCGCGCACGCACCGCAAGCTGGGCCTGGCAACCAAGCTCATGAGCGCCACACGTGAGAGGGGGGGGGCCATGAATAAGAAAACTGTATGACGTGAGAGGGGGGGGCACGAATAAGGAAACTGATGGGCTGTATGACGTGAGGGGGAGAGCAGGGGGGAGGCGGAGGGAGGGAGGGGCGGGGCAACTGACTAAGGGGCAGCCGCAGGAAGAGCAGCAGGGGCAGTCCCCATGAGTGGCGCTGGAAGAGAGGGTTGGACGGGGTTGGGGGCAGGAGGGCAGCAGGGGCTAGAACAGCCCCGGCGCAGGCCTTATATATAGTGCGCCGTGGAGAGGCCTGCTTGCTTTGCCGAACGGGGTCCGGAGCGGGGTCTGTGAGTGTGAACGGGGTCAGGAGCTCAGATTGTCAGAAGCACATAAGCAGCGTGGGCATGCGCGGCCGTGTGTGCCGACATCATCACACGCCTGCACCGCTGCTTTCCTCCCGGGGTGTCCCACCCGCCCTCCAGGGCCCTTCATCGCCCTTCACCCAGTCATACAGCTACAGGACACAGTGATACGCAGTGATGCACATAGACGACATAGCGGCTGGTCCGGGTCTCTCTCTATAAGTTAAATGACATCGGGCCCTGTGTGTGTTCATGTTATGCTTGTTCTTTGCAGACAAGGCCATGGAGGAGGTGTTTAGCGCCAAGTACGTGTCCCTGCACGTGCGTGTGACCAACAAGGTCGCCGTACACCTCTACACGCAAACACTCGGATACCAGTGAGTAGTTGGCAACGGTAACTGGCAACGATAACAATCTAGCTCGTGGGGAACGGTGCATGCAAGGGTACATGCAAGGGGCGCATGCATGGGGAAGCATCATACAACGTGCCTTCTTACGCTGCAAACACCAGCGCCGTATTGACAGCACAATCGTAATCGACTGTCGTACTGCACGTCTTCCAACGTATGACACACACACCTCATCCCTGACGCCACCGCACGGCTGCCCTTGTTGTACGACAGGATCCACGACATCGAGAGCAAGTACTACGCGGACGGTGAGAACGCGTACGAGATGCGAAAGTACTTTGCTGCTCCGCCCGCGGCATTAGCGAAGAAGGCGGCGGCGTTGACGGCGGCTGTGACGGGCGTCAGCGTGAGCACGGGAGCCGCAGCGGCGGTGGCTGCTAGCAGTTGAGGGGTTTAGGGGTATGGGGGTATAGCGGGGCGTGTGTGTTTTAAAACTGGGCGTGTGTGTGAGAGAGCATGAGAGGGCGTGTGGTAGGGGGTGGTGCTGAGCATTGGTGCTGGTGAGGATGATGATGAGGGGGTCTTGGGCGTCCTGCACTGGAGGAGGGTGGTGCTTCTTGAGGGGACTTGGTGTCGTGTTTGGTAAAGGGTGGAGGTACAGAATTGCTGTAGTAGGATGCTTTAGAGGGTGTGCAGCGTGTAGAGTGGGTTCGTATGATTTGTTTTGCAGGGGGAGATGACCCGGCTTTTAGGGGTTAGAGGACATTTAGGGGAACAAGTCGCTGGCTTAATTGCCCGGCCTAACACCGTAATGGGCCTGGAAAATGGTTTGCAAGTTGTCGTGCATGCTGCTTGTGCGGCGGTGGCGGTGGCGGACACCGTTACGTTTGGTTGTCGCGGGAAGTGCAACAACCGCGTCTTGCCGTCGGCACGCGATGATGACAGCATAATTCATCACTAGGTGCGGCGTCACAACTACGGTTTGGAATAGCCGAACCCTCCTAAAGGAGTGGGGTGGCTTACAAAAATGGGCGTCGCAAAGCCAGTCAAGCACCGCATACATGTTTCTATTGATAGCGGCTGGGGTAAGGACGGGGTAAGCGGAGCGAGCATGTCGGAGCCGTCCCGGAGTTAGGATGTTGCTGCTCTGCGTGAAACCTGAAGGAGAGGATACCGCGCTTGACGTGTCGCATAGCAAGCCTACAATGTGCACTGCTTTATCTTGATGGCACTCATGCACGTTGGTGGGGGGAGTGTATGCCGAGTCGAGATCCTCGACTAACCTACCCGTAACGCGAGCTGGCATAAAAAGCGAGACATCCTTCTTTTCCCCTTGAATATTATGGAGCAGAGTGGCAATCCTTACATGATAAATTGCTTGACACCACGGTGGAGGACATTTGCGCATGTATGACCTGGTGACATGGTGGGCCTTCGCAAGCCCTAGCGCATCGCTACTCGTAATCTAAGCGTGGTGAGATCGGGAGAGTACGAATCGGACTTGGATGTGTAGGATACTGCAACTGGCCTTGTGGGTACCAGCTTGCGCATACCTGTAACCCTTTGCGGGGTGATCAAGCTTAGTGCATGTCTATCAACGTAATACTGGTGCTTTTGTTGTATTATGTGGGTCCGTTGCTGCTTCATCCATGCAATCGACCGGTACTGCTCAATCCGACAATCCTGGACCATTCTTTCCGAGAAACGCCCCCGCTCATCTTCCGCTACTTTATCCGCGCTTGTACATATTTGTATCGTGAATAGTAAACACGTGCATGGCCGCGAGCGATACAAGAGGATTGCTAGCTTTTACATCCCGTTTTCACGTAAGCGCGTTCTGTTGCTCAGCCTTAGATTTCAGGACAGCTGATCCCCTCTACTTCGCCAGTTAGGTGGTTAAGGACATTTGGGGTATTTTCGGCTTGAGGGAGCCTGACGCACGCGCACCTCGGGGACGCCCTATAAAACGAGATGGGCGTCCCCGAAGCCGGGACAGAGGGGCCCCCTGGTGCCCAGCCCCCTGCTATAGCTCAAACATCGGGTACCGAGGTGTCACAGTCAGCTCAGGCGTTGCAGCAGTCTCAGCCAAATGCTTCAACGACTCCAGGCACAGGACCATCCGTAGTTTCTACTGGGGTAGTTGCTTCAAGTTCAAATATATCTACTCAATCGTCTGCGACGGCGTTTCCTGTGCCTAACTCACTGGGCCTGTATGCATCCTCACAATCCGGCCTTCCCATGGGCGCGCCACGGCCTGGTATGCCTGCAACAAACCCGTTATTAAACGCATCTGCAGCTGCTCTTCAACAAACAACCGCAACGGCAGCGGCGATGTATAATACGCTTTTGCGCTTTCCTTCGGCAGCAGCTGGTGCGCAAGGAACCGGGTCTGCAAATCCCCAGCAGCTCACGCAACAGGCTCCTCAAGGGCTAAGGCCCTTATATCAGCCCGGCCTGACAGCTCAGTCGCTTCCTCCCCACGTCCTGCAAGCTATGCAAGGCCTCCAGGCAGCTCAAGCCCAACTGCAAGCCACGGCGCAGGCCAACGCTGCAGCCCAAGCCGCCCACGCCCAGGCACAAGCGCAGCTGCAGGCAGCCGAAGCTGCCAAAGCGGCCCAGCAGGCCGCTGGTAGTATGCCTCCCAGCGCCACTTCTCCCGAGACAAGCCAGCCAGGCGCGCTCGCAAACAACCCACCTGGTGCGCTTCCCCCTGCGCCAGTAGGCCCCGGAGGTAACGGCGCACCAGCTCCTGGCTCCTTGCAGCCCTCCGCTCTGCCGCCCAGCCCTGCTGCGGCGATGCAAGCCCTTGCCTCCGCCCAAGCAGCGTTACAGGCTGCTCAGGCGCAGATGGCAGCAGCAGCGGCTGCTGCCGCTGCTGCCGCCGCAGGCCAGGCCCAGAGCCAGGCGGCGGGTGGCCAGGGTGCAGCAGGCCAAGGACAGCCCGGCCAGGCTCCAACGCCCGCTCAGGTCCAAGCCCAGTTGCAGGCTCAGGCCAGCTTCCAAGCTCAACTCGTTGCGGCACAGCACCTTCGCAACGCCGCGGCCGCCGCGGCTGCAGGCGGCCAGCCAGGCCTCGTGCGGCCGCCCTTTCCGGGCGCCTTGCCAGGGCAGCAGCCCTCAGGCCCCGCCGCATCCGCGTCCGGGCCAGGCGGCCAACCGGGCGCTGGCAACCCCCAGCCGCCCGCGCCGCGTCCCTTGCAGCAGCCCGGTGTGGGCCCAGCGGGTGCGAACCCCGTCCTTGCTCAGCCTGGAGTGGCGCCCAGCATCGCTAGTCAGGCCGCTGCAGCAGCCGCAGCAGCTGCCGCGGCTGCTGCCGTAGCTGCCGGCCAACAGGGCAGGCCGCCCACCCCGCCACCGCCGCCCTCCATGCCACCGTTGGGGCCTCCAGGGCCGTTGCCGGCCTCACCTCCTCCTTCTGCTGCTGCCGGCGGGGCTGCTGGGCCATCTTCCTCGGCATCGGGGCCCATGCAAGCAGGCCAGCAGGGAATCGCGCCCCCAGGACCCGCCGGACAAGCCGCTGGTCGCCCGTCGCTTTCGTCCATCGCAGCCGCGGCGCCGCCTCAGGGAGGAGCCCCTTCCCCAGCAGGACATCAGCAAGCTGGGGGCTCCGGCCCCACCTCTCCTGGAGGCCTGGGCGGCGGCACGGCTTCCCCGGTTCACCAGCAGCTGCAGCAGCAGAGCCAGCAGGCGCAGCAGCAGCAGCTGCATCAGCAACAGCAGGCACAGCAGCAGGCACAGCAACAGGCAGCACAGCAGCAGCTGCAACAGCAACAGCAGGCGCAACAACAGATGCAGCAACAAATACAGCAGCAGGCGCAGCAGCTGCAACAGATGCAGCAGCAAGCACAGCAGATGCAGCAGATGCCTTTGCACATGCCTCAGATTCAGCCGCCAGCACCCCAGCTGCCACCCCCCATGCACCAGCTGCCACCACCGCCTCCCGTGCACCATCACGCGCCAACTCACATGATTGCAGAGGAGGACGAGTCCTCGGATGAGTCAGAGGGCGACACCACTTCTCCGCGGAAGCGCCGAGAAAAGGTTGGTTCATTGCCGTCGTGAAGAAGCGTTTTTACCGTGGCTGTAAGGGTTGAGTTGGGTTGGGTTTTAGCTGGCGTTTTGGCAGATATGGCAGAAAGGATGCTTTTCTGTGTTCGGTGGTTGTTTGTTGCCCACTGCAAGACTGCATGTTGCTTACCCTTTCCGCACCTCCTCTTGTCCCGTTCCGCGTCCTCGCCCTAGCAGAAGAAGAACCATCGAGGTGGCGGCGGCGGCGGCGGGGGCGGCGACGACGTTGTGTCCAAGGGCAAGAACAAGACGTATCGAGGAGTGCGACAACGGCCTTGGGGGAAGTGGGCGGCGGAGATTCGCGACCCAACTGTAGGAGCTCGCAGGTATGTTGGGCTCTTTAGCTGCCTCTTCGGATTGAATCTCAGGCCTTTGACCTACGGCAAGCCAGGTGTTGCCCAAAAATGCTCCTGCATTACTAGTTGTGTGTTTTGCTTTTAGCCTTCTTTCGGTCCTCCTTCTGAAGCACAAGGCGTCCCATTACTCATCTGGATCTCGCCCAACCTTGTCTACACCTGTGCCCTGGTCTACACCTGTGCAGGTGGCTGGGCACGTTTGACACCGCAGAGGAGGCTGCTCGCGCGTACGACGCAGCTGCTCGCGCCATCCGCGGACCGGCCGCCCGCTGCAACTTTCCGCTTTCTGCGAGCAACGAGGACAGCCACTACCACTCCCTCGAGGCTCAAGCCGTGGCTACGGTCTCAGCCGGAGGCGGAATGGGTCAGGGCGGCATGTCGCAGGGCATGATGGGCGGACCCATGGGTCAGGGGCAGGGCCACAATGGCGGCATGGCGTTGGGCGCTGCGGGAGGCCCGGGAGGAAGTGGTTTGGGTGGTGCGGCGGGGCCCGGGCCGCCAGGGCAGGCGGGGCCAGGACAGTTGGGACCCATGGGTCAGCTGGGCATTCCGGAGGACCCGGCTGCTGCTGCGATGGTGGGGCTGGGTGGAGTATCAGAGCAGCCGAAAGGTGGGTGCGTGTGGGTTTTGGGGTTGGGAGACTACGCACCGATTGCAGCCAAGGCATAGGCAGGAAGATGGCTCAATGCCGGAACATGCTTCCTAGGCCCATGCGGCAATAGGACCGCTGGGCCAGGTACGGAGATACTGGAGTGCTTACTGTGTGTCTGGCATGAGCGGCTACCATTCGCCCGCATGTCATTCCTGCCGACCGCAAGTTACCCAGTTTAGGGCTGCATGTGCTCGTACCAGTGGTGCCCCAAGCCCCACTCAACCCATACCACTTGCTTCGGCCTGCAGGCAAGCCTCCAGGGCTGCGAGTACGGCCCCCCAAGAGCCAGAAGGGCGGCGCAAAGAGATCAGGTACCCGGGGTTTGCATGACTAACGGCATCCACCCGTGAGGCTCCTCTCCATGCTCCCTACATGCTTAGCCTCTACTACACCTCCTGCAACGTGCTGTTGTATTCATCCTATCATGTCATATTCAATTCTTTCTTGTCGTGTCCGTCCTATCGTGTCCTATCCTATCATCCCGTCTAAAACCCGTACGAACACCCACAGGTGCGGACGAGCCGCTCATTCAATCCACCATGCATGGCGGCCTGGGTCCGGCAGACATCCACGGAGCCATGTCGGTCAACGATGCCATGGCAGCGGCGGGGTCGGGTGGCCCGCTGCTGGGGCCTATGCCGGGACTCAACGGCGGCAGCCCCTCGGTGAGAGAGGGGTGCGAATGTGGATGTGGGGTTGCGGAGGTATGACTTGTTGAGTTGAGGCAGGGCTTGTCCTCTAGAGCTGAGAGCTGCGTTTATGCTACCGGTATTGCGATGAAGAGAAGAGGAATGCGGGGTAGACGCGCTTGTTGGGTCAAAGACAGTGGGCGCTTCGACTTAGCTCATGATATGAGTTTACCACTTTGGCTGTGGTGTGACGCCTTCTTTGTCGATTCATGTCCACGCCGGCCCGTCCTAACCTCCCTGTCCATGCCCTCCCCACCTCACCCGCCTCCCCTCGGCTCCCTCCTCTCCCTCACAGAACTTCCTCCAGATGCGCGTCAAGACCGGCCTCACCCCCAACTTCAGCGGCTGGCACGGCCCCGTGCCCTCCAGCATCTTCGCCGGCTCCTCCGGCGGCGGCATCATGCTGCCCGAGTGGCCGCCCGCCGGCTCCATCGGCAGCGCCGCGTCCATGATGATGCTGGGCATGTCGCCGGGCGGCGAGCTGGGCACCTCGTACGGCAACTACGGCAAGTCTGTTGACATGCTGGACATGTGTGCGCAGCTGATGGAGGCTGGAGGGGAGCTGCTGGAGACGCCGTGGGGCTTGGGCAGCGGACAGGGTGGGTTGGGGGGGTTGGATGAGGGTGGCGTGGGCTTTGGGTGGCTCGAGGGGTATGAGTAATGGGGAGGAGTGCGCTAGATGCCGCCCTCTTGATTGACTATTCGCCACGCATCGTGGATATTGTTCGCAGTAGGGCTGCGCGTCCCGTCGCCCCGGCCCCTTCCACGAAACATTTGTTGCCAGTCTGCTGCCCGCGTCCGCATGAAATGATGATTATGTAAGCCGGCTACTCACTTCCTTCCTCCTCTCCCATCCTATTCCATCTCATACAAGTAGTGGTTAGGGCCGCTAACCACCCTTTGGCTTGCCGCCTCCTATCCTCTTTGTCTTGCCCTCACGTGTGGTTTGGCATTTTCTTCGACCCCCTTCTCCACCCCAGTCGTGGACCCCCTAGCCAACCTCGGCAGCCTTCGCAACGAGCTGGGCCTGCCGCCGGACTTCGCCAAGCACGAGCCGGGCGGCGGTGTGGGCGGTCCCGACGGCGACATCGACGAGCGCGAGGTGCTGGACGAGATGATGATCCTGGGTACCACACCCACCGACCTCTTCTTCCGCTCGCCAGCCCTCCCGCACGGCTTCCCACAAGCAGGAAACGTGCTGCCAAGCGCCGCCGTGGCGGCGGCGGCGCCCGCCGGTGGAGCAGCGGCTGGCGGCGGCGCTGGTTCCGCCGGCGCCAACACCGTCGCGGCCGCCGCCGGCGGCAGCGGTGGCGCAGGGGCCGTGGTAGCCATGGGCGGTCCCTTCGGCTCCCGCGGCGGCAGCCCTCCCAGTGACGTGACGGGCGGCATTCCGGGTGCGCTGGGCAGCTCACCGCTGAGTGCCTTCGTGCACCAGCACCTGGTGGGGGGCGGGGACACGCTGCTGGGGCTGGGGCGGCTGTCGGACGGTGAGGGGCTGCCGCATGTGAAGCTGGAGGATGATGAGTACGACCTCATGGGCATGTCGCCGGACGGTCCCTCGCTGGCCGCTAACGGACTGGGCTTCCACCAGCCCGGGTTCGGCACGTTTCTGAAACACCATGGGGCTGGTGGTTTGGCACCTGGGGCGGTGGCGGCGGCTGCGGGGGGGGCGGCGGGAGGTGAGCTGGGCGGTGCGGCGGGCGAGTCGCATGATGGCTTGCCGCCTGAGCTGCCCCAGGCCTTGTCGTTTTCGCTTGGGCTGCCGGGGCAGGGACAGATGTGAGGACAGATGTGTTTTGGCTGAGGAGAGCTGAGAGGCATGGTGTGCGGAAGAAGAAGAGGAAGAACGAGCTTCAAGATATCAAGAAGTTATTGATGACCATGCTGCTTAAGGTGATGAGGCGGACAGGGATTGTTGATTGGGTTGGTAGAGGGTTGGTTGCTTTGTAGTAAATGTGAGGGGCATCTGCTTTGCCGGGCCTGTGTCTGTTCTTTGCCCAATTGTAGCGCGCATGTGCTTCTCACAGCGCTCGCGTGTAAGTGTACGTGTACGTGTGTAAAGCGCTGTGCAGAAAGGAACCCCCGTGTGCACTTCCACTTGTTTTGTAAATCTGCGTTAATGGCTGTGCGATAATATTCTGAAGGATTGTACGTACGTGTAAGTTTCAGCGGTCTAGGGGCGGCGGCGTGTTGTCAGGAAGCCTGCTTACTTGTGTCAATTCAACCCAACAAAAAAGTGTTGCTTTGTGTGTGCTCTGCCTGCTTGCGACTCCTGTTCCTAAGGATTTGGTATTTGCGTGGGTGTTTCTTGCTTGCTGCTTGCTTGGTTACATGCGCACTTGGGGGCGACCTCACACTGTACGGACATGTAGTGCGGTCCGTGCGTTAAAGTGCAGATTGCTGATGGAGATGACAGTTGGGTTGGGAGGGAACGTTTCACTCTTAGCTGGGTTCAAGGGGCACTTGGTAAGGTGATTGTTTAATCACCCGGCAGGCCCCGGTTATCATACTTGGAAGCGTTTTCAGGTTGCGGGTTTGGCTTGGCTTTGCAGAAACGGGCAGAGCAACGACGGATGGAATCTGTTTTCGTCTTTTGAGCGTTTGCGTTGTTGCGTCACGCATGGGACCGACAGACCATGTGTACTCTCACGCATATTCACGTAATGACGACATCCTCCAATGAAAAATCACGGAATGCGGGGGCTATTCCCATGGTTTCTAGCTTTTCCTTGACCACCACTCCCAGGGCGATGGTTGCGCTCTGTGGTTAGATTGTCTCCCGGCTTTTCGTTTGGTCTCATCCTGCTGCCCCATTTTGCAGGTTGCCTTTTGACTTGGCCGCTAGTCGTTGGTCGTTGACTTTGGCCTTTTTGAACGCAGCGATTGTGCCTAGTAGTATACGTTGTGCAGTTCGCGTCTGCATCATGAACCAAGCCTGGGACCAAGATTGGGCTCTCTTGCTGCACTACCTTTCCAGTTTCCTAGCCTATTCCGATGCCTGCGGGTGGCGCGGGTTGATTGTGCTGCGTTCTCGCTCCCTAAAGGTGAGCTGGTAGCAGCAGCTGCCCTGCGCGTTCCCAGCCTTCCCTACCAGGCATATTACCATTTGCAAAGGACGTCAAAGGGAACACAAGGTGCATATGGCCGGGCATCGGGCTCGGGATTGATCTGCTTGGGACATTCTTTGCGTGTGCGTGTGCGTGTGCGTGTTTCAATCAATTGCCTATGGGTGTTGTGTGGGTGTGGTAACCACAGCTGGTGTTGTGTGGCGTAAAGTGTAAAGTGTATATCTGCGCAGCCTGTGCGGCCCCGCATGTTGGCTCTGCTCACAGCCCTGTGCGGTGGCTAATGTTTGATGCTTTCCGGAGGGTGGGGTAGTGATGAGCATTCGCCGCCTGCCTCTGTCAAGGATGGGTGTGTGGGTCAGCAGCTCCTTTGCTGCTTGCGCTATTTAGCTGCTGCTGCTGCTACTACTACTACTACTAGTAATATACGGCAGTGCGCTGGGCTGCTCAGCCGGCAGGCTGACTTTACCGTACGCGCTCCGTACGCTTTTGCAGTGTTTCTGCTTCCTAAAAGGTTCGAGGAGGTTCTGTGCCGATTCAACTACTCAGGTAGCAAACGTCCAGATCTAGGATGTGGGGGATCCTGGACATGCGGAGCGAGTTCAGTTCGGTAACACGGGGTGTGTTAGGAAGGCCCTGCGGTTATGTCCTGGCCGCTGGCGGGCATGGGTGTGACCGCGACGCTGCTGGCTTGGCTTCGTTTGACGCTCAAGACGTTTCAAGTAAAAGAAACACCGGTTATGGGTTCTTCCCTCCTTGCATGTACGGGTTTTCGTTGGGAAGCTAACAACCAACTCTGACGAGGCTGGGTCCTCATAGACACGCTTTCGCCGCGTTTTCTTTGCTCATGTATTGAGGTCTTACTAGTTTACAACTTTGTTCTCGATGGGACGTTCGGCGATCGGGGACGCTTCCGTTGGACGCAGCCTTGGCGCGGGTGGTTGCATGAGTGCTGCGGGATTTGCTCGGGAAAGGCGGCCTTGGCCGGTAGGGGTGGTGTGGCTTGAGTTGATTGGGTCTGGAAGATGCCGCAAGACTACTGGCTTCATTGCCTCCTTTGGCTGTCATGCGCCGCTGCTAATGGGAGGGTGATGGCTGCGGGGTTTGAGGGGAGGTGGCGGCGACGTGGAGAAGAAAGCGGGGCGGTGGGACCTCATGGGGCAGGTCCTGGCTGCCTTACGGCCTGCATTGGGTGTAATAATCTGTGGGTAATGCGCAGTATTTGCGCGTTCATGGTCCTCTTTGTCCTCCTGGTTGCAACACAGGCAAAGGTAGATGAGTCATTGCATCATTGGTTACATACCCCATAAATCAAGGCGACCGTCCACCAGCACATATCCGCCACCTTCAGCTAGCCGTATTTATTTCCCAGGAAAGGGTGCTGCAACATACAACTGCAATTATGCACAGAGCCGTGCTTTGAGGACAGCTAGGCATACATGAAGACATCGCCCCGGTTCGTCTGCAAGGCAATCACCCAAGCGCTAGGAACTAACATTCCACGTGGTTTGGAGGCGTCGGAACCCATCCCGAGCACTTTGACTATCGGTACTTCACATGAAAGCCGTTGAAGGCGAAAAGAACAAAACACAATTGTTCAGGCACCCGCAATGAAACGCCCGCACAGTTCAGGCCTTTGGGCTCCGCTGCATTTGGCAGTTACTGTCCAACAGATTGTACGGCATTAATGCCGTGCTGACTCCTGTTCTCTCCGTCTTAAGACTTCTTTGTTCTTTCTGTTGTGCGGTCCATGAACCTCCTGACTTCACTCACGCACGCATGCCACCGAACATGCCGACCCCCATGCAGGCCCTTAGGCGCCGTACGGCAATTGGAAACGCACCAGGCAGCCAGACCTGCGTTCTCATCCTACCACAGCTCGGCATACCTCAGCAAGCAAGTACAACAGCTAACCTTAACAACAGCACATAAAACAAAAGAACCCCACAACACAAGGAAAGGAAACGCAGCACCCTGCAAGAAAGCACGCATAATGCACAGCTTGGGTCAGCCTGCCGTCTGGCCAAGAATGCGTAATGCTCATAGACATGCGAGGAGCACGCTTGCATAATGTCAAGTTGGACATGCAGAGGGTAAGCAACTTCACATCTTGCATGCCTGCTTGGCTTGCGTACGGTACCCCAGCTCACCTGCATGCTTGCCTGACGAGCCAACCTGCATCACGCGTTGGAGCAGCACTAGGCAGCTCAACAGCATCCGTCACACCCCAACACAGCACTCACTGTATGACACATGTACGACAGCCCCATGACGCATTCCTCGTAACGGCTTTTGCAACCAACGCACTTCTATCTACAGATCTGCCAGCATTATTGCCTGGGGATTGCATTCTTCACGCAACGGCAGCCGACACTCTAACTACCCCTAACATGCCACGCATCCAACCATGTAGACACCCGCAGCTAGAAGAGGGGGGTTGAATGCATTACCCCTGACCACAGCAACAATGCATGCGCGTTCTCTATCCTTCCTCAGCCAAACATGTCCTCCGCCCTAGAAACCGTATTGCCGGAGACAAGCCGGTAACAGCACGCACCGTGCACACGCCCATCTTACTTTACGCTCGCTATCAAGTCGCACGCTAGACTCGAATTCATACGCTCGCCCCCGCAACCAATTCCCCTCCCTTGCTCCGGCTAGACCTCTTTGTCGACGCGTCTGCAGCATCCGTACAAACCGTAACCGTTGGCGATGGCGGCCTCGCACCTTCTACCACAGGTCGCACGCGATGCGGGTCCTCTACACCGCCTCCATCTTCAATGCAGGGTTCAATTAACCCCTGTTCGTACAACGACGTCCTGTGCCTCCGCTGACGAAACATCACGCCCGCTATCACCGCCACAGCCACCAGCAGACCCACGCCCACGGGCACCATTACTCCGATCGCCGCCTTGTCTCCTGCTGACAGCCCGCCGCCGCCAGAGCTGGGTGAGTCAGCAATGATGTTGGAGGCCGGCGGAGGCGGAGTGGATGACTCCAGCCAGCCCAACGGTGGCGATTGGGCAGGTGGTGATGGTGCTGATATCGGCGATCCTTGAACAATCGTTCCGTTTTTGTGCGTTAGCGTGCCAGGGATGGTTGCCTTTTGTACGGCTTCCAACAGGGTTGCGATGGTGGTGGCGCTTGCAAAGGCTGCCAAGGAGAAGCTACCTGAGCCGAGCCCGCGAGCAAGGGCAAACAGGTATTCCTGGGCTACCATGGAGCCCCTGATGAGCTCCAAAAGCGTGCTGGCGCTTGCCTGGATGTCCAGGAGGTTGCTGATTGCGATTGCCATGGTGCCTGCGTAGGTTGGAGCTCCGACGCTGGCAGTGACTCCAGGGATCGAGCTGCCTGCCGGCATCTGCTGGCTGGTAGCTAGGAGCAGCGACTGGAGGACGGAGGTGTTCCGTAGGTTGAGCCCAACACCGGTGCTGCTACCGCTGTCGCCGCCGCTACCAAGTGCTGCTGCTGCTGCTACTTTACCCATTTGGGTCATCAGTGCTTCAGCGCAGGTGGGGACGTCACTGTTCTTCCGAGTCAGGAAGGCGCACATGGGCATGATGACGGAAAGCACGGCCTGCTCTGCGACGTACAGCTTGCCGCCTGCGGACTGGACGCTAGCCAGGGCAGCGTCGTAGACGTCCACCTCACAGAGCGCGGGAGTGACCCATGGGTCAAGGCCCAGCTGGGCGATGAGGCTGTCGCGGATGTACGACCAGCTAGGAGCGCCTGTTGTTGTTGTTGTTAGCGACCCAGCCGCAATCAACTCTTCCTTCGTAGCAGTCAACATGTTGGAGAAGACGGTGGTCAGCGGACTAATCACGGTGCAGTTTGCGGGTGCAGAGAGCTCGAAGGCTAGCGGTTTGAGTGTGGCAAGGTCATGGCAGCCATCCGCCTGCGTAGGCCAGCCTGCTGAGGCTGTGCTGCTCCCCTCGGGCACGTTAGCGGCTGCTTGCACCCTCAGAGTGTAGTTATCCAGGGAAGGGTCAACAGCGCTGGCCTCGTAAGTAAGGCTCCACCCGAATGCACCTTCTACGCTGTAGCCCGAAACTCCCGCTGGCTCCCCAGAATCCCGTTTAAGCTTTCCGTCGCGGTCTAGGTCCAAATACACGGTGCAGTTATCCAGGTAAGCTTCGTATGTCTGACCCGAAATTGTACGGAAGTCCTTATCGCTTGGCTTACGACCAGGAGAGGGGCTGCTGGTTGGGGTCGGCGGGGGGACGGCAGCTGGAGTCGGTGGTGGCGAGTATAGAATGCTGACGTCTGTGACCTGCGCCTCAATAATGGTGTAGTCCGCTATGAACTGGGCGGTGAACAGGTCGCTGGCGCCGAAGCTCTGCAACTGCTCGGAAAAGGATTCAGGCGTCTGTACGGCAGGGGGCGCCATGTTGACCGTGACGTACACGCTACCGGGCTTCACGTCTACCACCTCACAATACCCCGCGTGGGTGCTGGTCTGCAAGGAGCGAGTGGCATGCGTCGGAGGAGTGTTACCGCGCCTGTTGTTTCGGCTTTGTTGGATTTGCCGTGCAGGCATGGCATCAGCGGCGCGCAGGGAAGCGCTGCATAGGTAAGTAGTTGAGCGGGTGAGATGCATTTGATGGGGCAGGAAGGGCTCTTGGTATCCTCGCCCGTGCTGTCGTTGAACTACTGTGGTCAGCTTGGTGGTAATGCTTTAGGCAGATTGGCCGTAATGATCCTTGCAAGGAGCAGGCTAAGTGTATAGTTTTAAGACATGACGAGGATGGCATTTTCAGTCATGAGCTCATGATGCAGTGCAGCAAGCGTCCGAGCTAGCTCACCTGTAAATCCTGGCAAGCCCGACGCTTAAATTCATCGAGGTGCGCCGTGACGTAGCTATAATCTGATCCAGCCAAGTGGACAGTGCTAACCACTAGGACGGATTCTGGTGGTATGGGAGCAGGGGGGTTACGGGGAGGAGCCGGGCTTGGAGGTGGTGGAGGCGTAGGGCTGGGTGGGAAGGGAGGCGGAGGGTTGGGCGGAGGTGGAGGAGGGTAAGGCTGGGAAGGAGGCGGGGCGCTGGGCGGTGAAGGTGGCGGGGTGTTGGGCGGTGAAGGTGGCGGGGTGTTGGGCGGTGATGAAGGCAGGGCGCTGGGCGTAGGAGGAGTGGTGTGGGGTGGCGAAGGAGGGGGGGCGCTGGGCGGTGAAAGTAGCGGGGTGTTGGGCGGTGAAGGAGGGGGGGTGTTGGGCTGGGAAGGAGGAGGGGAATTGGGCGAGAATGGAAGAGGGCTGTGAGGAAAAAGAGGTAAAGGGCTGGGTGTGGGCGGCTGCGAAGGGCTTACCGGATAGGCAGGATGAGGAGGGCTGTGCTGTAGAGGCTGGGCGTTGGGCGGGTAAGGCGGCGCGGGCATGGTTGGAGGCGGTGCCAGGGGGACAGCTGCGAAAGGGGGGGTACTTGCAGCGGGAAGGGCTGGGCTGGGAGGGGGTGAAGGCCACGCGTCGAGGATGATGGTGGGAGATGGGTTGGTTGGGTAAGGAGGCGGTGTGCTGGGTAAGACGGGGCTGGGGCTGGGTGAATAAGACGGGGCTGGGGCTGGGCTGGGCGGGTAATGAGGCGCGGGGCTGGGTGGAGGTGGCGCCAAGGGAATGGCAGGGTAGAGAGGTGGTGGGCTGGGCGGATAATGAGGAGCGGGGCTGGGTGGAGGTGGCGCCAAGGGAATGGCAGGGTAGGGAGACGGCTGGCTGGGCGGATAATGGGGAGCGGGGCTGGGTGGAGGTGGCGCCAAGGGAATGGCAGGGTCGGGAGACGGCGGGCTGGGCGGATAATGAGGAGCGGGGCTGGGTGGAGGTGGCGCCAAGGGAACGGCAGGGTCGGGAGACGGCTGGCTGGGCGGATAATGAGGAGCGGGGCTGGGTGGAGGTGGCGCCAAGGGAATGGCAGGGTAGGGAGACGGCTGGCTGGGCGGATAATGAGGAGCGGGGCTGGGTGGAGGTGGCGCCAAGGGAATGGCAGGGTAGGGAGACGGCTGGCTGGGCGGGTAAGGAGGTGCGGGGCTGGGTGGAGGTGGCGCCACATGCATGACCGGGTACGAAGGCGGTGGGCTGGGCAGGTATGAAGGAGGCGGGGAGGGCGGGTAGGTGGGAGGCGCGGGCGGAGGGGGCTGCGAGCTGACGCCAGGCGACGGCCATGTACTGGCAGGGACCGGTCCGGACGGGTACGGTGGCGCTGGGCTGGCCGGGGAGGGCGGCAGTGGCACGGTTGGGTATGACGGAGACGGTAAAGGAGGTGGCGGAATGCTCGCATAT